TGTTTGTCAAACTGCTATATAACCAAAGAAATTTTTCTGATAAAGTGGTTGGTTCAAATTTTTTGAAATTTTTATATTTTTGTCAAAGGGTCAAAGTAAACATTTTGTCAAAATTTTAGGAAAATTAAACGAGCCAAATTAATATTAGTCAAGGTGTTGGGTACCACCTTAATGTAAAAAGAATTTTGCTTAAACACCCAAAAAGTGGGGATCAATGGCCAAAGCCAAATGATTACATTATTGTTTATTCCTTTGTAGATAATATAGTTACTCGTTTCTTTGAAAAGCAAAATATTGGTGAAAGTATACAATGTCATCCATATATGTTAAACAGGGAGTGCTACAACAAGTTGATAACAGTATGGATCAGACGTATTATCTTAACACATAAGCGGAAAAATAACAAGTGGCAGACACGATTATTATAAACATGTGACCTGAATACTATGTAAAGTAATCATTAAAATATGAAAATGATAAAAATAAAAAAATAAAAATATACCGAGTTATCTTTTACGACCGGGTACCTTTCAATCTATTACGATGCTATTTTCATTTTCAAGTCAAGCTGGGACATACAATAGTGCCGCAGTCAAGTATTGGTATCTTGCAAATACCTATTACAATCTTACGGCATTTTCATACAAAAATATACATTTAATATAAAACAAGGATATGTGGTATGATTGTCATTGGCAATAAATGAGACAACTATCAACCAGTCCAAAATGACGTGGATTAAAGCTAGGACATAATATATTAAAGTATAATAGTCCCAGATTAAAGCAACCTCACTTCTATTCCAACTTTATTTATATGTGCACGATTTCAGCGGCCCTATTCGTTTTAGTCCCAACTCCTAACGTTGCACTCATTTGGTGGCCAATCCCCCACCTTTCTTCATTTTCAAAATTCTGAATCCGCAACAAAATAATTACCAGTTCTACTGTCGAAAGTCTGTGGTTATCTCCGGCTAACTCCATTAATAAAAACTGGCCGACATGATGTAGCCAAGAGTATTGAAAGTGGCGTTAAACATTAACAAATCACTCAATCCTTTTACAGAAATGTTAGTGTAAAAACTTCTGGATACTCAATCCCTCTTTTTGAAATTTTCTAGAAAGATCAATACTGATTCTGTCAATGTTGCAAATCTGGTTATAGATGAGTAAATTAAATAATATGTTCTTATCTAAAAACACTTCAACAAATATCTACTAATACAGCGTGGCTTTTTTTTTCTTCTTCAGAATACTTTTGGTAATTTTTTAAGTGTTAAAAGTGTACATTCCCGAAGAATATCTGTTCTTCATAAAATCGAGTTTATTGATAAATTTTCAATAAATGACTGTACAAAAAGGACATGAACACCAGGAATGTGTAGAAAATTACAATAGAGATGGAGGTCATACGTACGTCAATGAGACCAAACTTTGCAAAAAAAACCAAAAGACCTATTTATAATTGCTTACATCCACGTTGTAATTTGGGCCTCGGTAGATACTAGTAGATGACATTTTTGGAATTATATCGCGACAGGCGCGGTTACAAACCCTTGAACACCATGAAACGTTTACAGAATTAAAAAAAAAATCGAAAAAATTGTTCAACCCCGCCGGAACACCCCCTTGTATCCGCTAATGCGCATTTCCTTATTACTGTACGTAAACATAAGGCAACTAGAGCTAAGACACGGGTGTCTTACAATACGTAAAACTCTTGAGGCGTAAAAGCTATATACAATTTGAGGAACTTAATGTTTTATTATATTCAGGGTTGTTGATCTGTTCAATATTAAAACTGTCAAAATATTTATATGAATGTATGCATGTTTTGGCGTTAATATTGATTCACTTATAGGGTCTTTGCATCGGCACTAAACACATTTATTTAAAAACCAGTTGTTGGCATGACACGGGTTATGTTCTTCTCATATATGTTATGATGGTATGATACTAAACCCCTAACGGGAAGGATTGTGCCTGATATTCATATGATGAAAACATAATCTTTCAATCAGTTTAATTGAAGTCTGGAGCTGGCATGTCAGTTAACTGCTAGTAGTCTGTTGTTATTTATGTATTATTGTCATTTTGTTTATTTTCTTTGGTTACATCTTCTGACATCAGACTCGGACTTCTCTTCAACTGAATTTTAATGTGCGTATTGTTATGCGTTTACTTTTCTACATTAGCTAGAGGTATAGGGGGAGGGTTGAGATCTCATAAACATGTTTAACCCCGCCGCATTTTTGCGCCTGTCCCAAGTCAGGAGCCTCTAGCCTTTGTTAGTCTTGTATTATTTTTAATTTTAGTTTCTTGTGTACAATTTGGAGTTTAGTATGGCGTTCATTATCACTGAACTAATATTTGTTTAGGGGCCAGCTGAAGGACGCCTCCGGGTGCGGGAATTTCTCGCTGCATTGAAGACCTGTTGGTGACCTTCTGCTGTTGTCTGTTCTGTGGTCGGGTTGTTGTCTCTTTGACACATTCCCCATTTCCATTCTCAATTTTATGATAGACATTTAATAAGATCTATAGTATAAAATATTTGAATATTTATCTCGAATAATGACTCGGTATATAAAAATGTTGGGAAGGATATACAAACTCATACAGAAAGTGATGGGTATTGGTATCTTAAACTTATTATTCACCTTATTTGTTAAGGATGTACACGTCTGAGGAGCCAAAAATTTCTTGAATTAAACTTTTTTGCTTAACCTGATTTTTGGGTTTATATGATTGTAACAAAGTAATTGATGAAGAAAAAATCATATGGTGGTGAACTTCTTTTTTTGCTACGGCCATTTGAAAGTACGCAATTTTTGATGATTTTCCAATTTTTCATCAATCTTTACTCCATTTTTTGGGCTATTATCATGAAAAAAATCATAGTTTCCCAATTAAACTTTTCTTCATACTTTCACTAAAGATGAAGAGGACCAATCTGAATAAATTTAACCTACAAAAACTATAGGTTGGTGTTGATATTAGAAATTTTTATAAAACTTTGTTGCTTTTTTGTGTCAAATTGATCATGCTGTCAATTTTGTGAACTTTGGGATTTTTCTATTTTTTTTTAACAAAAAGCATATTATTTCAACTTCTTTGTTATAAATGATTGAAAATATACATATCTTAGAATTTTGAATGGAAAGAAATGATATGGGATGTACAAATTTTTGGTAAAAATCATTTCTTTGTACCCTCACCCATTTTCTCAACATTTTGGCTGATGACACTGACCGGATTGGTTATAAAATTTGAAAATTTTATTACTCAAAAACTACTTATTGTAAGTATACAATTTTTTCAAAAAGTTTAGTTTGATTATAATATTCTTTAAATTCATTGATATTTTCCCCTTGTATCACATGTTTTGGAAATAATTCCCGAACGAAATTTCAACAAGACTGAAACATTAGAAAAATACATCCTTAATGAACTGATTTTGCATATGTGGCGATTTCGCCAATAACACAAAAAATAGGGACTAAATTTATCGGGATTTAACCCTTTTTCATAAGTGGGGAGAATTGGTAAACAAGAGGGGTGAGTTGGTGGAAATGTGGGGCGATTTGGCAGTGGGGCGAGTTGTCTTGCTACCGTCGTTGAACAAATAAATATGTATAGTTAACCTATACCAATTTAGTATCCAACAAATAATGAATCCTCAGTAAAACGTTTTTCAACATTTTACATATTTAAAAAAAAAATGAAAAAGTTACTCACAACAACATATAAGAGTTGAAGGCATTTTGATACAAAATTGCAAATTTTACATGTTTTTTTAATAATTAATTTTGCATTAAAGAACATTTCTAACTAAAATCTAATAAATTATGGGACAGGAATGTGTTAATTACAATTAGACATATCTGTCGTCAGCTGTGAATAAGATAGTCCATAACAAAAATCTATTTTTGTTGGCTTCCGTAAAATTTTCGAAGGGATTACCTCAACTTCTTCACTGTGGACTCTTTGGTTTAATAGCTTCCTTGTAAGCAGCAACCTAGATTAAGGAAATTATGGTAGGATATGAAAGCTCTTGAATATCATATGAAATGGGAGATATATACTCTAAAATTTTGAAATTAATGTGTGCATTTATTATTGTGAATCCTTGACCTTGATAAATGCGAAATCTATTAATGCGATTGCAAAAGTATTATGAAAGAAAATCACTACTGAAATTATGAATGCAAGTTTTTATTATTGGGAACCTGATACTGTCTCACTTTTCGCATTAATAAAAACATTGCAATAATTTTTTTTCTGAATTGATAGTACTCCATATGCAGGTTCTGCTGGAATGGTGCTTCATAGAAATGAACAATTGGAAAGCTGAAATCATCTATTTGGTCATAAATTTTTGTCAATTGATACAACTGCAGAGGTTGAACCCTGAACAGTTGGGACGTGTATGGACACTAAATTCAAGCCTGATACAGCTCTGAATTTAAATTGTGATTTAATATTTGACACAGCATAGGTTTCTGACACAGAATGAATGTGGTCAAAGAACTGAAAATTTTGAAATTGGACTTTTACCTATCATGAATGCTTCATCATTGTCGCCGTCGCTGGAAAAGCAATCCCTATGACTTTCATCGCAGGTGAGACAAAAATTGCTTGTTTTTTTATCCTTTTCTCCCCTAATTCCTAAGCGGATACAGCCATCACCCCCCAATCCAATCTTCCTTTTGTGGTATGGTACCTTGTGGTACAATTTCATACAAATCCATACACTTATACTCAAGTTATGTCAGGAATCCAGAAAAGTGTTTACTTTTGGCCCAAAATTACTACACGGTTAGGACCATAACCCCCTAAATCAATCCCAACCTTCCTTTTGTGGTATAAACCTTGTGGTACAATTTCATACGGATCCATACACTAATACTCAAGCTATTGACTGGAAAGCAAAAGTCTACAGATGAGGACATCGCTGTACCATTATACAGCCGAAAATTTTGCAGTCATATGAAAAGGAATGAATTACAGAATGAACTTTATTTTATTCAAAAAAGTATAACATCTGTGCAAGGTAAATATTCTTCAGCTGTTAAAGTTATGTCACATATTCATGCAAGATAGTCAATTTTTGTGTTTATATCCATTGTTATATCTGCCTGTGTGAGGTTTCATCCAAGTCGATGAAAATTGATTCGATTCTATCTATAGCCTCTTGTAACATGGAATAGCCCTACAATATACAAATTAAAGATTTAAATAAATATACAGAAACAAATCTTAAAACAATCATAAAGTTAATTAAGAATCCATATATCCTTAAGGGAGAGTCATTGGTATATATTTCCTCAGATAGAATTTTCTTATACTCTGCCAGAATGAAGATTTTTCCATGCTTTTTTCAAAAATATAATAAAAAGTATGGGTCACTGTGCTATTTTTCAAGCTACAAGTTGTGCAAAATTGCCGAAATTTGCATAGATTGTTCATGAAATAACACTTATGGTGAATAAAAAGAAATCTATGAGATAGCATTTGGAAATAAAATATGAGAAGATAGGTTTAAATATATGCTTTAAGAAAATAAAAATAAAAAATGGTGTCACCCACCTTGTTTTCTTGCTACAAGTACAAACATTTGTTATATGATAAATCAGTCTGAATAATGCGATAAATCACTTATTTTTCTTAATTCCAATAAATAGTCTGGACCATTAATTGTCAATCTGTCTCAAAATTTTCAGATTTAAACAAAGAACTAGACCTACTAATTTTCCCTGTAAATTTACCTGCATGTATATATTTCCTCGTAATTTTACCTGCATGTATAATTTTCCCTGTAAATTTACCTGCATGTATAGCTTTTCCCTGTAACTTGATAGTTGTTTAGGCGATGCTGTTTCTAAAAGTGGACTAAAACTTTCCAATTCCACATGGTGTGGAGGGAGAGGGATTGGTATAGGGGGCATAGAATCTTTCTGAGGGGAAGCAGCTCCTTTCTTTCTGTTTTTCGATGCTGAGGTGGCCATTTGCCTGCCGTGTGAGGGGGATAAAGTATTCTTCTGTTCATTCTGAAAAAAGACATTTTGAGGGTCTGGATAGGGTTAACAGAATAGAGAATAATGAGATACTTAAATGTAAAGGATAGACAATAATGAGATACTTAAATGTAAAGGATAGAGAATGATGAGATACTTAAATGTAAAGGATAGAGAATGATGAGATAATTAAATGTTAAGGATAGAGAATGATGAGATACTTAAATGTAAAGGATAGAGAATGATGAGATACTTAAATGTTAAGGATAGAGAATAATGAGATACTTAAATGTAAAGGATAGAGAATGATAGGCTAAAATATAAAGAATATATAAAAATGGCCTCAAAAATTTAAGAATCCCCTATAGAGACCCCCTCACTAAACCTCCATATAATGTGTAATTCAAAGTATCAAAAAACAGGTATCAAGTATACTTCAGAATGTAAGAAAATTTAACATGAAAAACATTCTATTGTCAGTGAAGTTTTTTTTTCTTTTGTCATAGAAATCACATATCAGTAAAATCTGGATTTCAAAATGGTTAGTTACAGACGGGTAGATTGAGAATTTTATGCTGGTTGGGGTTTCCATTCAATCAGAATTATGGATACTAAATTATTACAGTAGAATCAATTTATGAACTTTTATGCTGAAACAACATGTAGCTTGTATTCAGGGAAAGTATATGTTTTTTGGAAAGAAGACTATGGATTTTTATGCACCTGTCCTAAGTCAGGAGCCTGTTGTTCAGTGGTTGTCATTTGTTGGTGTGATTCATAGGTGTTTCTCGTTTCTCGTTTTTTCATATAGGTTAGACCGTTGGTTTTCCTGTTTGAATTGTTTAACACTAGTTATTTTGGGGCCCTTTATAGCTTGCTGTTCAGTGTGAGCCAAGGCTCCGTATCAAGGGTCCGGAAACGGTCATATATGCCAGACATGACCGATTTGGAAACTGAAAAGACCGAAATGATTTATTGGGATTTAGGTCTTTTTTTTTTTTTTACAGAAATAATTTCGGTCATTTCATTGAGATCAGGGTTTTATCGGTCGCCATTTTGAACTTATTTTTGTTTTCAGGTCATCAAGAAAAATAGATTTGTTTGAGACAAAATAAAAATTTTATTGATTTGTGTTAGTGATTTAATAATATTGATCATTAGTCTGTTGTTTATTCTATAATGTAAGTGAAAACAATGTACAGGACTCTGTCGAGTCACACCGTGGGGTAAGTCTGGGTTCAAGCCACTAGGTTTGTTTACATAGTAATTATCACCACTTGAGGATAGTAATCAATGTCCAGGAAGTTTGAATTCGGCTTGGGTGTCGTTATTGTCTTGATTAAAGCCATAAAGGCCATGTACACAAATCTCACCTGTAAACACCTGTTAAGCAATAAAAACAATATGGCGATTTGCTGTGCATCAAATTTAACGTTTTAACCATTCTGACCTAGATTTTCCCAAAAAGATATTATTTTATTCATTAAAGAAGTCAAATAACACTGTTGACTCGAGAATCTGTCCATTTTTATCCAAATAAAACATATAATCCATTTATAATCGATCAGCTGATTTGGTCAACGTTTGTTAAATATAGATTTATGTTTACTGAGTTTGCGCATGGAAAATGGGGATCAACATGGGTTAATTGATGATCTTATTTGAAAGATCGATTTTACTGTTAACTTTTCGGTAGGAAATGGCAGATAAAGATATTAATAGATTTACAAAAGTGGTAAAGCGTATAATTTATAGGAATGCAGAATTAAAAAAAAATGTTTAAAAAAGGAATTAAAACTAAATAACGTAATTTAGATTTGAAGCCATACAGCCTATTTAAGAAATATACTCAGCGAATGAACAATCTCGATTTCTTTTTGTTTTTTTTGCACTTCCGATTTTTTGAAACCATCTTACTCACAGAATGTAATGGGCGTTTTCCTTTCTTTTGTTTTCCTGGCTAAACTTCCGATTTTTACCCAAGTGAAGCCATACATTCTCTCTGGACTGTATTACAATGCAATTGTTTTTCATTGAACTGTTGTAATTGTGTACAAACTTCTGTTCAGATAAATTATTTATTTATTTAAAATCATGAATTTTATTATTAAATTCAATTGTTATCACTATACCAGACTTGAGTTATTTATTCAAAGAAAAGTTGAATCATAGTTTCCCCTTTTTGATCCTCTTATCGTAAACCAGGTGAATACACATTATCTTGTTGTGTATTAGGTAATCACTTACACTCATCCAAACAGCAGCAATTTGAACAATACAAACGATATCTTGTACATGCAATAAGAAACTCAACACAGTTTATTAATTGGTTTACATAACTTTATTTCAAAATGATGAAACATGCCGTAATTATTCCTCTTTTAATTTATGCAAATTTAAAGGGTTATGCATACGACCTCAGTGATGCAATACACAACAACAAAACTTCTCCTCGTGTAGTTTCTAACTCAGAGACATCACTGTTACTGTTAGATCAGGGTACAGTTACACTTGTTTGACCCAATACTTCACAAAAAAGGACTTTACTTGTCCATGTGCAAGACTTGTCACCCTCAGAAAAATGCATTATTGTGCATCACGATATTATTACATCACAAAAAAAAATGACCGAAATGACTTGGGAAAATTTCCGGATCCTTGCTCCGTATAGAAGGCCGTACTTTGACCTATAACTTTTTATACATTGTGACTTGGATGGAGAGTTGTCTCATTGGCACTCATACCAGATCTTCTTACTTGTATGAAGCGCATTTATCCTCAATATCTAATGCAAAATCATGGACAGGTAAATTTTTGTTCAAAATGGTCTACATAAATTTTGCTTTCACCAAAAGGTTCATTTCTGCAAATTTGTTTGTTAGTTTAAGCATTTGTTAAGTAAACAATGACATCAAAGTACTATTTTTTGTCAGGGAAGGGCTACTTTTACATATGTTCTAAATTGAAGTGAGTGAATTGGTGGTCTGACACCTTCTCTGGGAGAATATATCTGTCATGGCTATGTGCTTCCTTAAACTTCATTTGTATTTCACACTAGTTGAGGATGACAGCCGATAACTACAACTTACCCCTTTCTTTTGCTTTGGTAGTATAGAATTTCTCCTCTTGCTCTTTTTATCTGAAAATGAAATTTAGAGGTCAATTCTTAGCTAGAAGCATAACAAACAAACCAGATTCATTAAGTTTTCATCAAAGAATTCATAGCTCAATAAGTTTGTATCATACCTGCTAATTGTTTTTAAGGGATAAACATTTTTAAGTAATTTTCACATGTTTTTTTTCTTCAAATAGTGTCATCTCTTCATTTTTCTTTTTGATGATCAACTGGTTGTTTTATTAAACTGTAAGAATCTTGTACTTCTTAAAATTGTCACAAATTTGGTAAATATGATTATCTCTCAACCAATAAAAAACTCAACTTGACCTGTTAATTCTAATTGATTGATTGGTGTTTAACGCCACTTTCAGCACTATTGGCTATTTAATGGCAGCCAGTTTTTTTTGGTGGAGGAAGCCAGATTTCCCAACGCGAACCTACCACCTTTGGTATGAAAGCTGACAATACTAGTCAATTAAGATTGTAGTCAAGTGCACCTGCCACATGTGGGATAAGAAACTCACAACCTCAATGTTGACAGGCTGGTCAATTGGAGTACTTAGACCACTCAGCCACTGAGGATCCTGTTAATTCTTATGATATGACTATATTATACAAAATATGGAATCAATTCATTCATACATAACAGGGTAAAGTGCAGAACACTGATATATTATTTTATTACCTTTCTAGTAGGGCCACAAATTCTGCAAATATTGCTAAAGCATAAAGAAAGTCAAATTTGATCACTGAAACCTCTGATGATATGACTATAACCAAAATACCTACTAGTAATCAATCCATTCATGTTTACTGTGGATTCATTTATTTTCGTGGGCATGAATTTTTGTGGATTGAGGAAAATTTGTATTTTCGTGGATATTTGATTTTGTAGTTTTGCCAATCATGCATGCAAAGCCTATATAACATTTGTAATTCATTGAACATTTGAATTTGTGGGTCACCCGTGCCCACGAAACCCACTAAATTTGGTATCCAACAAATAATAATGAATCCACAGTAGCAGAAAAAGAGAGGAAACCGGTATTTTCAAAAGCACAAACAAGCACAAAGGCACAAAGCTTTCAAAAAGCTGCTCAACCAGACCAAAATTCAATCAATATATATGTTTCTTCCTAAGATATGACTTTATACAAATAATTTTTCAATGGGTTAAGGCATTAAAGAAAATATGTGTGGAAAACAGAATTTTTCTAGCAATTTGTCTGTAAATGGGCCATAATTTTGCAAAAATCCCTCAACTGGAATGGATTTAATGACAAAGCTCTAAACAATTAATTGCACCAAGATTTCAGAAAACTAATATTTTTCAGCAGATTTCTTATTCCAATACCTACAGCTTCTGAAGAAATCACTCAACCGGAATAAAACTGAAAATTAAATGTATCACAATGGGTTGTGTTTGAAAGCCTCATCACTTGGATGCCTATATATCACATACCTCTTTTTTCCTCATTATTTTCCTCTGGTTCCAGTGGATTGACAGGAAAACCAGTTTTGTAAGCCATTATAAAGGCTGAATGGGTGAAACTTTCTATCATCTCATGAAGCACTTGTTGACTGAAATTGATGAAGGCAAGCATCTAAAACATGTAAACCCTACCACATTCTTTATGTGTCTATTTCAAGAACAGGAAGTTGTAATCTGATGGTTGTTGTTGGTAGCTGTCTGCCATATTTGTTTTTTGTTCATTGTTGAAGTTTAAATCAGGCTTTTATTTCCTTTTTTAAAATTGTTTCACATTTATTCATACAGGTTTCTTTTATAGCTTTCTGTACAGTATGGGTTTTGCTCATTACAGAAGGTCATATGTTAACCCTCGAGTCTAGAATAAGTCATATTTTCCAGTCATGACCAATTCTTAAAAGTCCTCTGACAGAAATATATTTAAATGCATAAAATAGAAGCAGGATACAAGGAGTTTATATTGGAGGAATTTATGCTTTATTTGTTCCGTAGTTAATTCATGATGCATGTGAAAATGTATGGCACTGCCGATTGTTTATTTTCGTGGGTACCAATTTTCGTGGATTGAGGAAAACTTGCATTTTCATGGATTTTTTATTTAATGGTTTTGCCAAAGTTTGTATATAAGACTATAGTAAATGTGTTATTCGTTGAACATATAATTTTGTGGTTTACCTGTAACAACGAAATCCACAAAAATTTGTTTCCCACAAATAATAATGAATCCACAGTATGTTAATGTCAGCCTGATGACAAGTTACATGAAGGTCTGATTTGTAGTCCCCACAAAAATGTGCAACAAAAATTTCATATCATGTGTAATGATAGATGACTGCTTAACGTCCAATGGCAAATTAATATGCAGATTCAGGAGGAGAACATGTTACTGTAATATGAGTATTTACCCTGCTTTATACTGTACTGACACGCTGAGAAGGATTTTTAATGTGCTAGTTTACAAGGTAACAGTCCTCAGGAAGCCAGACACATTATTCTGACTCTGAGCCAACCAGTCTTTGGCAGCATGCTTAGTGGAGAAGCAGCAAATACCAAGTTTAAAGTCTTTGGTTTGACCCGGTAGGGGTTCGAACCCACGACCTTCGGTACTCAAGGCGAACACGCTACCACCAGACCACCAAGGGGGTTTGATATTAAGTGTAAGAAATATAAGTATCTTCAAACAGGAAGTTGATGATTGATAAATGAGAAAATGCATCAACAGGGTAAAGCATGTTCACATGAAGACCTACTAAAAGTAGTAATACTTGTTCATGGGACAGTTCATTTTAATACAGGCCATCTTTGCCTTCCCGATTTAAACAATGTTGATTTCCATATTTTTTTAACACTGTAGGTATATTGTATATAAATCTGTATTTGAATGATTTATACTCAACATGAGAGATAACTCTTATATTAACAATCAGAGGGAGATAACTCTTTTAACAATCAAAGACAGATAATAAGATTAAGACCCAACAAGAGAGAGATAACTCTTATATTAACAATTAAAGGGAGATAATTACATCTTACCATATATGATTATGCTGCAGGTTTATGTTGGTGTATGGTGAAAGATGTTTAAAAGACATGTCTGTAGTCAGAGTAGTGTATTCATTTGTTAGCAAAAGTTGTTTGGTGTACTTCTGTTGTAAAAACTCTTCATAATTATCATGATCTGCAGATGGTAACTCCATTGAATCCAGCATACATATTGCCTACCAAATAAAAGGAAAATTGTATGAGGGCTATTCCATTAAAATGTATGTGGGAGGGTAGGAAGGGACTTTCAAAATCACTCTACAACCAAGAATTATTTTTTAGATAATTTTGCATAATGGTCATAGAGGCATACTGAAAAAAGTCCCATGACCCACATTCAATGGAGGGGGGGTTTCCAGGGATTGGAACCCCCCTTTTTTTATACGATCCATGCTTTTGAATGGGGACATATGGTTGGGTTAATATCCCTAATGCGCCTCGAAATGAGGAACTCAAAAGTTGTGTGTAAATAAAAAATCTCTGTGTAGTGATATTGGACATGTTTCTATTTTTTACAAATGACTGAGCTTAACCATTTGTGGTGATTAGGAAAGTAGAGGAACATAGAATAAATGTGTAAAAACTATGGAGCTATTAAATGTGTTCAAAGTATTAAATTTTCAAAGAACTTATTGTGTTAAAAAAGGGATTTTTTACCACAAGGAGCCGCATCACGAAAGGATGTTCGGGGTATGCTAATTTACGGAAAAAGTAATCTCACTTCGTACCCCGAAAATTAAACCACATATGTGAAAATGTCACAGCTTCGAAATGAGCTATCATACATATCCAAGTTTACGATATGGACTGAGCTACAGGAAAAAAAGTTACCATTACCGCCTATGGAAAAACAGTTAAAGATATTGACCCAAATTACAAGAAGAATTTCAGCAGTTTTCAGACTGATTTATGGATGATGGCACCTTGTACACCAGAGAAAATTGTGAAAATAACGGTTAGTAGTCTTTTATTTATACCTAGTTATCCCAGCTGGTTTTAGATAAACATTATCAATAAAGATCAGCAAAAATTTTCGCTTTTGAAATGCATTACTTGCATGGGGCTGAACACTTCTTTTAGGCACAATCATAACTTTGTTTACCCCGAGAGATCCAAAAGGCACTTGTTATTTACTTGAAGAAGGCATGAACTGCTTATGGAAACATTTAATATTATTAAATTGTAAGTAAACATGACACAATAAAGTCTTTGTTATGTAATTATCATTCCGGTCTACAGGAATAACTGATGATCAAAGGAAATAACACTCTTCATACGAGTAAAGTGAGATACATCATCACATGTGCTTTTAACCAATAATTTGACTCCTGGTCATTAGAATTATATGCAGACAAACATGTATTTAGAAAATCATGAACTATTATATTTTAATGCACACTAGCAAATCACAAGATATTGTCTTTTCTCAGTGAAAAAGGGGGAGGGTCAAACCTTTTGAAAACAATAGTGCTGCACCTATTCAACTATTAATGCTACTATTCATTGCTCCTAATATAAAAGGTTTAAATGAAGGTTGATAAGCCACAAGGGAGAAGCATTTCTCTTTCTTTGTGATAAAACTTTCAAAAATTTGATTTTTTCTCTCTCAATAATACTTGTGCATTTAAATCAAATGACAACACAGCCTGAGTAAATTTTTTGTCTTATTTCAGTTCCAGACATATCATTACTATTTAACCTGAGACGGCAAACTAGAGGTTTTAAAAAGTTCTGAATAACTGGTAAGCATTTTGTTTTATTAGGCAAGCTCTAAATTGTTTATTTATGGTATTTATGCAATTGAAATTACAGTCAGTATGTCAAAAATATGCTGATATGAAAACTGTTGCTATGGTCTTGATATTATATAAAAAATACCATTACCGCCTATGGAAAAACAATTAAAGATATTGACCCGGTTGGAGCCCACCCTTTATCCTGGGATGGAACCACCCCCCCCCCCTTTTCCCCCTTTTAATAATGGCTTGATCCGCCCCTTCATGAAGCAGTATCTACCTACCCTTCTGATATCACCTCATGTTTTTAGCAAGGTTCATGTTTCTGTCTTTAATTCTAATGTTGTGTTTTGTTGACCTATTGGAATTTTAGCCTAAATTCAGAACTCCACTGAAACTTTAATGAATCAACAAAAATATAAAGAATAATATTCCACTGGATATTTATTGGAAAATCTTTGGAAGTTTCATTGGAAATTTCACTGATCTTCCATTGGAATTACAGTGTTTTGGATGAAACTTAAATGGGATTCCATTGGAATATTTTTTTCCACTGAATACCAGTGCAATTTCACTGGAAATCCAGTGGGATACCATAGACATTTTGAGAGGGGAATTGCTCGTCTTTCTTTGTATTTTCGTTTTGTTGCCGTAGCATTGTCACTTTCTTCTAAACTTTATATATATATGAGTTTTGAAATGTCTACTTGGTACCTTACGACTCTTTTTTTATACATATTTTGGTTAGCACAACATTCGCTTTGTGAATAACCATCATTGGGTAAATGGAAAATTAATAAAAATAATAATATGCACCTATAGGACAAAATGTGCCGCTCACACTATAAGATTTCCATATACAGTGAAGCGCCAAATCTGACACCAAAACCCTAATTTAACATAATTTGTTTTAAAATTTCACATCAAAATGAACATGTTAACAAAGTTTCAAGAACCAAATTTAGTAAAATTATGAACTTGGAAATGTGTTTTTTACTTGAATTTGTAGAGGTGATATTTTTTCATATAAATCTACCAGATATTTTTTTCTTCTAAACAGAATCTCAGATACCTGTGTTACGCTAGACTCTAAACAAAATAAACGTTTTTTACGGATTTGTTTACATTCACTTATCCAATATCTTTCATTTCACTAATTATGAATAAGCCGAAACTCTACCTGCTTCATATTATTAACTGTAAAAGATGCCTCTGGTTTCCTTGTCATGAGATCACTGTTACAAACAGCATCATGCAACTCCTCCATCTGCTTAAGCTTAGCACTGTGGTAGAAAAGCTGAAACACAATAGTTTATTCACTAATAATAATTCAAACTTACTTGAAATTACAAAAGAATTATCAATACTTTTAGTATATCAAAGAAAATAATAGATTATCTCCCCTTTTAACATTTCTGGGATTATAATCTTACATGCACATCTGCAGATAAAGCTCAACAACTGTGTAAAGTTTCAAAAATATCCATCTAGTAGTTGAGAGGTATCTGGGATTATAAGGTACATGGATGAACATCAGACATTTATGGCAGACAACAGTTTCCAAGCTTGGGATTATGACACATAAAAAATGTGGCAGGGTTATTGGTATACACAACAGAATTGATCAAAACCATTTTAATTATTTAAATTTCAATTTTCAAATTATCAGGTTTCAAAAAGCATAGTAAAATGACATTACTAGAACCAGATTTGATGACAAAATATTTGTAACAAATGAAATAATCCTATAATTCTTTGGCAAGATACCCTTAACACTTCATCATGTGTTTGGCCTTATCACTAATTTGGCAAGAAACCCTTAATATTTTTTCTTTGGCCTTCTCACTATTTTGGTAAGAAACCTTCAATATTTTTCTTTGGCCTTATCACTCATTTGGCAAGAAACCCTTAGTATTTTTCCATGGCCTTCTCACTATTTTGGCAAGAAACCCTTAAAAATTTTTCTTTGGCCTGATCACTCATTTGATAAGAAACCCATATTATTTTTCTTTGGCCTTATCGCTCATTTGGCAGAAACCCTTAATATTTTTCTTTGGCCTTCTCACTAATTTGGCAAGTAACCCTTAATATTTTTCTTTGGCCTTATCACTAATTTGGCAAACCCTTTATATTTTTTCTTTGGCCGCATCACCAATTTGGTAAGAAACTCTTAATATTTTTTCATTGGCTTTATCATTAATTTGGCAAGAAACCCTTAATATTTTTCTTTGGATTCACACTAATTTGGCAAGAAACCCTTAATATTTTTCTTTGGCCTTGTCACTAATTTGGTAAGAAACCCAGAAACCTTTGATATTTTTCTATGGCTTCTCACTAATTTGGCAAGAAACCTTTACATTTTTCCTTGGCCTTGTCACTAATTTGGCAAGAAACCCTTAAAATTTTTCTTTGGCCTTATCACTAATTTTGTAAGAAACCCTTAATATTATTTTTGGCCTCTTAATATTATTTTTGGCCTTATCACTGATTTGGCAAGAAACCCTTGATATTTTTCTTTGGCCTTATCACTAATTTTGCAAGAAACCCTTAATATTTTTTCTTTGGCCTTATCACTAATTTGGTAAGAAACCCTTAACATTTTTCTTTGGCCTTGTCACTAATTTTGCAAGAAACCCCTTAATATTTTTTCTTTGGCCTTATCACTTATTTGGCAAAAAACCCTAAATATTTTCTCTTTGGCCTTATCACTAAATTAAGCTTCATATTTTTTTCTGTAGCATACTTACGCCTGGATATGACTGACTAAATTCTTCTTCTAGTGACAAGTATGTTACTATGGGTGACAATAACCTTGTAGGGATCACGACCCTTGAAGTGATATTTTGTATGTAGGAATTAACAATATATGCTATTTCTTTCTGCATAAACTTTTTCTGAAACAAATAAATAAATGCTTGCAGCTATAGAAACTTAAAAAAATAATTGTAGACACAGATATATGTCTTGCCTGTGTAAAATGTTAATTTTTTTAACAAATGTTTCAATTGTATACCAAATATCATTGATCTACCACTACTGGTTCCTCTTCAACTGATCTCATCACAAATATTTGTTAATGCCTCTGTAATTTCTTTGAACAGATACAAAAGTTAACAAATTTCTTTTCTTTTATCTAAAACATTGTCACATTTCATTACTCTTTTATTTTTTTACAACAGTCTACTTTTCAATGGAACACATTCAGTAGAACACATTTATTAAAAACCATAGAATTTTTTTATTTTTTAATAATTTGCAGAAATGTAGTTTATATCATGGCTTTCTCAAATATATAATAAAAAGTATAGGTCACAGGGCTATTTTTTCAAGCTACAGGCTGTGCAAAACTGTCAGATTGTGTGAAGATTATTCATGGAAAACACAATTTTGTGTGATAGAAAGAAACTAAACCATAGACTATTAAGTAAAAATATGAGAATATATATAGCTCTTATAATGTAAGAACGTCCCCAAATTAATTTCCGTTCTCTAAAATTAGTTTGCCTCAACTAAATGTTACGACACTTATACACAATGCCACAAAACACAGATCAAGTTTGTATTTGGGTGGCGTCACTTTTACTGTTCAAGAGTTACGCCCCTTCATAAATCTGTGTCCCATGGATGCATTCTCCATTTATTCCTTTTATGTTTTGTAAGCCCATACAGACTTACAGACGGACAAGGGTAACATTTAATGACCCCTCCGCCGCCATTGGGGCATAAAAAACAAGTGAAACTACGAGCTACTGCTCACTGATGATACCCCCGCCGCAATTTTCAACTACTTGTCATATGTAAAATGATGTAAGTGTTCGGTAAACAGGAAGTTGTTGAGTGATGAATCTGAAAACGCATCACACAGTATAGCTGACTTATATAAACCCTGAAACCAAATTTCAGAAATCCTTATGATGTAGTTCCTGAGAAAGATGCGACGAGAAATATTCATGGGACGGATGGACAGACAAAGGTAAAACAGTATACCCCCACTTTTTTTAAGGGGGGAATAATAAAGGTCACAGGACTCGTTTTCCTGCTAAAAAACAAAACAGGTAAATTCATAACATATTCCAGTATAAAAGTTACATTATCTGAGTTATCTCCCTTTATATGGCAAAGTTTAAAAAACTGCTATATTACAATCCAAGATAGCGGATGACACCTGAGCTACCTTAACTACTTTAACTAAAAACTTTAACCTGATACAGGACAGACAGACAGACAAACAGACCAGAAAACACAATGCCCTACTTCTAATTAGTTCAGTCATAAACAAAAACTCCCCAACTGTACCTTAATTTCAGCATAAAAATCACAAGAAGTTCAGTCATATACAAAAAATCCCTAACCAAGCCTCAGTCTCAACATACAAAACACAAAAAGATCTATTAATCAAATACCCCCTAACTGTACCTCAATCTCTGCAACATGATCAGGATGTATTATAGGCTCAGAAGCTATGGCTTTAAAGTTGATGAGGATATCTGCTCCACCACAAAGAACAGGACGGGTCTTTAACTTCCATCTTTCTTTAAAGTTTCCAGGAAAATCTGACTTGAACATGACAGGAAGTTGTATATCACCCCCTGGTGGTAAAATACCTAAAACAGTACATATTTTTATTGTAAAATTTTTCTGCTATTTTAATGTAATTGCACATGCCTATGTCATTTAATTTGATATTTGATTAGAATAAAAGATAAAATTTCAAAAAAAGGTCAAATATGAGTTTGTGATTGCAGATTCTGTGTCCATGTTTTACTGACAAGGATCAGACACTGCTCTTATTTACTTTCCCATTTTTTGAGATCCTAAGGTTTCGACGTAATGATACATACCTTCTAAAATTGAACGCAAAAATCAAATCAGTTAATGTAAAAATTATCAGATTAATTGTTGATAAAATGCTACCAAATATTTCATACTTGTGCTTGACATTTTAAAGATGTCTGTTTTTTGGCAAAAAGGAAGAATGAATTAAACTGTATTGCAAAAAGAGATGAAGCTTGATGCCGAATATCAAGAAGCTTACACTAGATAAATATGATAGAAATGTGTTACTGACAGATAGGTCAAATAGGTAGACAAAAAGAGGAAAACCAGTACACCCCACCACCTTTGGTGCTTCGGTATAATCAATATTTGCAAATAGAGATATATGAATGTTGACAGGCGTGTATTCAGACTGGGGCACATCTGGCGCTCAACCTCCCCCCCTTCCCCCCCTGAAAAAAAGAGAAAAAATGCAAGTTATAGGTAAAATTATGGCCAATTTTTTGTCAAAATATGATCTTTCTAACTTCTTATTCTCAGTAGCATCCCCACCCCACACACACACTTAACCTCAAATCCTGGACCCAAGACCGAATGTTCTAAAATGTTTTTTTCCACAATAATATGCCACTTACCATCCTCTGTGAAGAAGTAATACTGTTGAAGTCTTCTCTTCACAAATCTAAATGGGTTCTCTACTGGAACTTTCTGCAAATTAAAGTTTATTAGAGGCATTTTCATCAATTCTATTTAACCATTCATGTGAAACAGAATTAAAATATTATATGCTCATAATCTTTCAATCAGTTTAATCTGGAGCTGGCATGTCAGTAACTGCTAGTAGTCCTTTGTTCATTTATGTATCATTGTCATTTTGCTTAGTTTCTTTTGTTACATATTCTGACATCGGACTCTGACTTCTTTTAAACTGAGTTTTACTGTGCGTATTGCTATGTGTTTCTTTATTCTACATTGGCTAGAGGTATGGGGAGGGTTGAGATCTCACAAAACATAACCCCGCCGCATTTTTGCGCCTGTCCCAAGTCAGGAGCCTCTGGCCTTTGTTAGTCTAGTATGTTTTTTGTCGAGCCTTCGACTTTTGTCGAAAAAGCGAGACATAGCGATCCTACATTCCGTCGTCGTCGGTGTCGTCGTCGGCGGCGTCCACAAATATTCACTCTGTGGTTAAAGTTTTTGAAATTTTAATTACTTTCTTAAACTATCCTGGATTTCTACCAAACTTGGACAGAAGCTTGTTTATGATAATAAGATTATATTCAAAAGTAAATTTTGTAAAAAAAAAAATCCGTTTTTTCCGTATTTTACTTATAAATGGACTTAGTTTTATGCCAGGAAACATTACATTCACTCTGTGGTTAAAGTTTTTGAAATTTTAATAACTTTCTTAAACTATCCTGGATTTCTACCAAACTTGGAAAGAAGCTTGTTTATGATCATAAGATAGTATCCAGAAGTAAATTTTGTAAAAAAAAAATTCCATTTTTTTCGTATTTTACTTATAAATGGACTTAGTTTTTCTGCCAGGAAACATAACATTCACTCTGTGGTTAAAGTTTTTGAAATTTTAATAACTTTCTTAAACTATCCTGGATTTGTACCAAACTTGGACAGAAGCTTGTTTATGATTAAAAGCTAGTATCTAGAAGGAAATTTTGTAAAAATTTTGTTTTCTTTTTTTTCTGTATTTTACTTATAAATGGATTTAAATTTTCTTCCAGTTAACATTACATACAGTCTGCAGTTTTAAGTTTTTAAAACATTTATTAGATTCATAAACTATCCTGGATTTTTACCAAACTTGGACAGAAGCTACTTACAGTCAAAAGATAGTATAGAGAGGAACATTTTTATTATTTTTTTTCCTCATTTTTGTTGAGCCTGCGATTAACAGCAAAAGTAGGCGAGACACTGGGATACGCGGAACCCTTACGAATTTTTATTAATTTTAGTTCATTTATATGTTTTGGAGTTAAGTGTGACATCCATTTTCAATGAACTAGCACACAATTTTATTTAGGGGCCAGCTGAGGACCACCTCCGGGTGCGGGATTTTCTCGCTGCATTGAAGACCCATTGGTGGCCTTCGGCTGTTGTCTGCTCTTTGGTCGGGTTGTTGTCTCTTTGACATATTCCCCATTTCAATTCTCAATTTTATGCTATTTAGAAGCTTGGAATGCCATATAAAATTAGATGACACAAATGAACCAATAATTTTGAGAATTATGTTCTTAAACTTAAGTTGACCTCTTTATTTTAATACAGGAATATTAGTTTGAAGGTATCATGTTCTTTTTTAAATAATTATGAATTTCCTTTTTGTGTATATTGTCTGTGTTGCTGTATATCATACTTGTTTTTCTTTTAGTTAGACCGTTAGTTTTCTCATATGAATTGTTTTACATTTGTTATTTTGGGGCCTCTAATAGCTTACTGCGTGGTATGGTTTTTGCTCATTGTTGAAGACTGTATGGTGATCAAATTTTTATAGTTTCTACATCATTTGGTCCCTGGTGGAAATTTGTCTCTTTGATATTGAGATAATGGAGAACTCAACAAAGGTCAACTACTTGAGGAGTGATATATTTTTTCTAGGTCAAAGGCTGGGGAAGCATGGTTACGCATGTATCAACAAAATAATTCTCACCTCCCAATAATACCGCAGCTGTGTACTCCCATAATTCATCAGTGGTATTTTCTTTATTTGAATCTGACCTAGTCTTGATCTAAAGGTCAAGGTCAATGGTCGCATAGGGTTTTCTCCTATAAGGTTTTTCCAGGTCAATATATGCTGACCGATAGCTAATGCTGGCCCTTTGCAACTGGAAAAAACATTTTTCCATCATAAAAAAAAAACTTGAGGCTCTCAAGAGCCTGTGTCGCTCACCTGATTCTACTTTGGTTTTGGAAATCATGTAAAAATAGATTAAAAGCATAACAGATACCCTAATAATGAGTGAGGCCAAATTTGGTTTAATATTGGTCCTGTAATTTAATAAAAAATCCTGGTGGCCATCTTGAACAGTAAATCGGCAACAAAGTAGCAACACTTAATCAGCACCTCATAAGAAACATTTATGCCATGTTTTGGTTTCATTCCATTCAGTGCACCTCTAGAAGAAGCATTTGTATGTATTTCCCATAGGGTCTTATGTTAAAGGAAGTCCCCCCATTGGCGGCCATCATGGATGAAGGATCAGCTTCAAAGTAACAAAACTTAGTCAGCACCTCAAAAGGAACATTCATGCCATGTTTGGTTTCAATCCATTCAGTATGTGGTTCTCTAAAAGAAGACATTTGTATGTATTGTCCATAGGGTCCTTTGTTAAACATTGTCCCCATCTGGCAGCCATCATGGATGAAGGATCAGCTTCAAAGTAACAACACTTGGTCAGCACCTCAAAAGGAACATGCATGCCATGTTTGGTTTCATTCCATTCAATGGTTCTCTAAAAGAAAACATTTGTACGTATTTCTCATAGGGTCCTATGTTAAACTAAGTCCTCCGCTGGCAGCCATCTTAGATTATGGATCGGCTTCATAGTAACAACACTTGGTCAGCAGCTCATAAGGAACATTCATGCCATGTTTGGTTTCATTGCATTCAGTGGTTCTCTAAAAGAAGACATTTGTATGTATTTCCCATAGGGTCCTATGTTAAACTAAGTCCCCCGCTGTCTGCCATCTTGGATGATGGATCAGCATCAAAGTGACAACACTTGGTCAGCACCTCATAAGGAACATTTTTGCCATGTTTGGTTTCATTCCATTCAGTGGTTCTCTAAAAGAAAACGTTTGTATGTATTTCCCATAGGGTCCCATGTTAAACTAAGTCCCCCGCTGGTGGCCATCTTGGATTATGGATCGGCTTCAAAGTAACAACACTCGGTCAACACCTCATAAGGAACATTCATGCCATGTTTGGTTTCATTCCATTCAGTGGTTCTCTAAAAGAAGACATTTGTATGTATTTCTCATAGGGTCCCATGTTAAACTAAGTCCCCTGCAGGCGGCCATCTTGGATTATGGATCGGCTTCAAAGTAACAACACTCGGTCAGCACCTCATAAGAAACATTCATGCCATGTTTGGTTTCATTTCATTCAGTGGTTCTCTAAAAGAAGACATTTGTATGTATTTCCCATAGGGTCCACGTTAAACTAAGTCCCCTGCTGGCGGCCATCTTGGATTATGGATCAGCTTCATAGTAACAACACTTGGTCAGTACCTCATAATGAACATTCATGCCATGTTTGGTTTTATTCCATTCAGTGGTTCTCTAAAAGAAGACATTTGTATGTATTTCCCATAGGGTCCCATGTTAAACTAAGTCCCCCGCTGGCGGCCATCTTGGATTATGGATCTGCTTCAAAGTAACAACACTTGGTCAGTACCTCATAAGGAACATTCATACCATGTTTGGTTTTATTCCATTCAGTGGTTCTCTAAAAGAAGACATTTGTATGTATTTCCCATAGGGTCCTATGTTAAACTAAGTCCCCTGCTGGTGGCCATCTTGGATGATGGATCGCTACAAAGTAACAACACTTGGTCAGCACCTCATAAGGAACATTCATGCCATGTTTTGTTTCATTCCATTCAGTGGTTCTCTAGAAGAAGTTCAAAATGTAAAAAGTTAACGCCTTGAACTTCAACTTCATCATAAAATTGTTAAATGGGCATACTTTGGTTCTTAAATGGATCTATTTCAAAAGCCTTACTACTTGGTTAAACAAATCTCTTTTTTAGTGTACATTCTCTGCTTTAATTTTTGACATCTCAAAAAAAACACATTTTTAACCCCAAAAATGTTGCAAAATTTGTGAAAACTAAAGTCTTGTATATCTTTGCATCTAATAACAATGTACCAAGTAAATGACCTTTTTCTAATGACCAATTGAAAATTGACTTGTGTCAGATTTAGATTTTTGGCTTTTGTGGTTAAAATCTCCATTGTCACCACTTAAGTGAAAATATCTATCTAAAATCTGCTTTAATTTCAAAATTATGCTTAAAATATACTAGATTTCTACTAATTTGTAGCAAAAACAAGAAATTGTAAAACTACTATATATGTCAAGATGTAGTGCGTTATTTGTTTTGTTTAGTATAAATACCTCCTAGGATCAAGATCCCTGACTATTGCCATAGAAACTGGACGATGAAGAGTTATGTGTCCTTGGCTTGTCTCTTCTTGAACAGATGGTACTGAAGTCTCCTGACTTTGACTTTTACCTTGAACCATAAGATCAGCAAGGTCCTAAAATATTTTAATGGAAGAATCTCATTTATTCTTGATTATAGAAGTTGGCAACTGCAAGGTCTATTGGACTCATCATTTTCAAAACTGGGTAGTCCAAAGATGCATCAAGATTGTAAAATGTTGTATTAAATGAGCACATATATCATCTTTTTCTAACAAAAGTTTAAAAATAATCTAAAGTCATTTATTTGAACTATTTGGTAATGAAGACTGAAATACTAAATCATATAGCAATAAAATTTCGTTTTTTCACTGTTGGACTTGCCATTGCCAAAAGTGATGAGTCCCTGGACTCTTTTTCAAAATTTATTAGTGAGAACTCTGGTCTGATTTACATCTACCATGTTTACATTTACACTTTATCTTAAGGTGGTACCAAACACCTTGACTAACATTAATTTGGTTCGTTTAATTTTCATAAAATTTTGACAAAATATTTACTTTGGCCCTTTGACAAAAATATAAAAATTTCAAAAAACTTGAACCACACACTTTATAGGAAAAATTTCATTGGATATATAGCAGTTTGACAAACACTAATTTTAATCATTGAGAAGCCTAATGTTTCCTTAACAATAGAACGTGATTAAAACGTTCAGCTGATTTTTACAGAGTTATCTCCCTGTAGTGTTTTGTACCACCTTAAAACTAAAGTGAGGAAGACAATTAAGATTAAAACTGAGGATATTATGATTTTGCCTTTTAATCCACATATATTGGTACCAGACAGAAAATAATAAATTCCATTAAACAAATGTAACTATCCAAGAATATTTGAAATGCTACTAAAAAACTGATAGTGCTTATAAATTAATGTGTTTGAAATACAGAGCACTTAAGCCAAAACAAATATAACAAGTGAAACTGCGAGCTACTACTCACTGATGATACCCCCAGCCCAAATACTTGACGGTAAACAGGAAGTTGTTGAGTGATAGATCTGAAAACGCATCACATGGTATAGCTGACTTATGTAAACACTGAAACCAAATTTCAGAAATCCTTGTAAGGCCAATTAAAATTAATTGATAGATTTTCATCCCCGCCCGCCCCTCTGAAATCGTTCCGCCCCAATTTTTTTTATTTTGAAAAATTTACGATTTCCGGATTTTGTTCATTTTCGTTACCGGTAACTGTCGATAATTTCGTTTCATTAATAACATCCTGTTTCAAATTTTGGTTTTTTGCATTTCTTTGTATGTTTGATTCGTTATACATGTATATACATGATAGAACCTTATTATTACACTTGCATATATGAAGAACACGTCACAAGAGCGTTTCATATCTAATAAAAAATAAAAAATAAAATCCTCCCACCCACCCCATTTTTTTCAAAAATTTGGATGAAAATCTACTAATTAAATTTACTTGGCCTAATGTAGTTCTGGAGAAAGATGCGACGAAAAATATTCATGGGACGGAAGGACGGACTGACTGACTGATGGATGGACAGATAGAGGTAAAACAGTATACCCCCTTTTTTTAAAACGTGGTATAAAAAATTTTAAGAATCTCATTTTGCACATAGTTACAGAAAATCAAATTAAGACTATTTGGCACCATCTAAATAGTTTAACCCCACCACATTCCGTATGTCAGGAGCCTGTAATTCAGTGGTTGTCGTTTGTTGCTGTGTAACATGTTTGTTTTTTTTCTTCCTTATTTTGTACATAAATAAGGCCGTTAGTTTTCTCATTTGAATTGTTTTACATTTGTCATTTCAGTCCATTTTATAGCTGACTATGCGGTATGGGCTTTGCTCATTGTTGAAGGCCATAGGTGACCTATAGTTGTTAATTTCTGTTTCATTTGGTCTCTTGTGGAGAGTTGTCTCATTGGCAATCATACCACGTCTTCTTATTTTTATATAAATAAGAGGCAAAACTTGCATTTTACCCCTATGTTCTATTTTTTGCCATGTCGGCCATGTCAGTCAAACTAGATACCCCAATGATGATTGTGGCCAAGTTTGGTTTAATTTGGTGCAACAGTTTCAGAGGAGATGATTTTTGTAAAAGTTAACAGATTACAACGACAGACACCAAGTGATGACACGAGTGATAATTATCATCTAATTATAATAAACTATAAATATCTTAGCCATTAAGTGTGATATACAAAGATGCATCATGCCAAGTTTAATGAATTAGCATATTGTATTAATTAGTAAAAACAGTACAAACAAATGAGAAAAATAAAGCCAATGATGAAATATTGTTTGCTTGCTGTTTACATTTATTTTAGTTTTTTGCCCAACAACATATAAGTTACATGTTTTAGACAAGAAAACAACATTAGAACAGGAAGAACTCTTTAACAAATTAAAGAGTTCCAATGTCCCCCGTGTTGCACATATTCTATCTATTCAGGGGCAATAACTAAAAAAAAAAACACTTTTTTTTTTGTTCTTTAAAACAATTTACAAATAAAAAGCAAGCGCTGGGGACAAAAAAGTTTTTTATATTGTATACTAAATATTTCAAACAGACCTTCAAGGGCATTACTTATAGTATACTATAAGTTTTATAAAAAATGGTACCTGTGAGAGTGCTAACAAGGCCATTTTCCAAAAATTTAATATTTCCAAGGGTCATAACTCTTTTAAAATAAATGGTGAATGTGTCCATGGGACACAAAAAATGCCCCACTTGCATACCATATGAAGTTATAAAGAGACATAAATGTAGAACGGTAAATCTGACGCTACCCAAATTTGTACTTGATCTGAGTTTTGAGGTACTAAGTATTGTGTATAAGTTTCATAACATTTGGTTGAGGCAAACTTAAGTTAGAGAACGGAAACCAACTTTGTGACGTACAGACGTAGGTATGGACAGACATACGGACATACGTACTGACAGACGGACAGACGAACAAGGGTAAAACTTAATGCCCCCTCCACTACGGCAGGGGCATAAAAAGTAGATCGTCCACCATTATAGAACTTGTCAGAGATATTGCTGATATATAAAAAATTGTACCCGTGAGAGCGCTAACGAGGCCATTTTCATTAAATTTAATATTTCCAAGGCTGATAACTCTTTTAAAAAAAGTCGATCGTCCACCATTATAGAACTTTTCCACGATATTGCTGATGTTAACCTATTGTATAAGTTTTATAAAAATCTGGCAAGAATTGTACCCATGAGAGCGCTAATGAGGCCATTTTCCATAAATTTAATATTTCCAAGGGGCATAACTCTTTTAAAAAAAGTCAATCGGCCACCATCATAGAACTGGTCGAGATATTGCTGATATTAACCTATAGTATAAGTTTTATAAAAATCTAGCAAGAATTGTACCTGTGAGTGTGCTAACAAGACCGGCATCACGGACACCCGGTATTTCCATGTCCCCTACAATGCGTTACACGGGGGGCAAAAATGGAAACGATTCGTGTCATAAAATTTTTTGAGTAGGCTGCTATTTAGTTGGGTAGGTAGGCAACATCAACAATGATCAAACAATCTTAATTTTATTTTTGGCCGTAATTAAAACAGAACAAACAAAGCAGAAAGCTGAAAGCCAATGATAACATATTGTTTGTTTGCTGTTTACATTTAAAAGTAACCTTGAAAAAAATAATATTTTAGAAAAACTGATGAACTGTTTATCAAAAATGTGGTTTTCTTTCTTTTTTATATTATTAAAAAGCAAATTAAAGAGAGACTACCTTGTCAGGGTGTGCAACAGCAAACTAACAAAGAGTGAATATAAATTCAGTACCATTTTAATTTTGCAGTACCGGTATACATATAAAAAAAATATGTTGCAAAAAACGGAAATAGAACCTTCATGAAAGCAAATTAAAATTCCATTTCAATAGAAATGTAATTGTTATAAGAATGTGCATGCATGAAATGATATATAAGCTTACAAGAAACAAACACCATTATGAAATATAAAACAGACATAATGCTAAAAATATGTGTTTAGGGTTTTGTGTTGTAGAATATCTATAGGGTTATTAGGTCAAGATCCTTTTTTTTCCTTGCAAGGGAAATTGCTGTCTTAACACAGCTGATTTCAAAATTAAGTGTATAGTTTTATCAAAAGTTCACCTTTTATAATCTATCAATGACCAAGTGACAAAAATTAACATGGTTTAGAACAAATCTGCCTCACTTTTTATAAAATACATTCATAGCAATTATAACTGATGATATGTTTGTAAATCTTTTTGTGAATATATCCTTAATCATTGGTTTTGACTTTAAAATTAGGGTTGGACAGGAAACCCTAAATACACACATGTCTTAAGCTTTATCTTGCCTAATACTACAATTAGTGCAACAGAGAAACACTATACTCACCTTTGTTATACTAAAATATAAATGGAGTATCTCCCTTTATTCAACAAAATATTTTCAAATCCATTTAGAGGCTTTTGAATCCATGATTCAGATCTTTATAAATCTTATAATGACTATACCTACCTTTGAAATTATTAAAATACAAATTAATTATCTACCTTTATCCATTATAATTATAAATAATCAACTTTTATTTAACAACAAAGGAAAAGATAAATATTGGTCAAAAAACCTTTATGCTTGTCCTTCATATTTTGTTTAGAATGCAAAAAAACAGAAATTATTTACTACAGTATTCATCGTATGGTTTAAAGCAATGAAAACAAATGCAAATTTGGCTGTTTTCTGCTCTTTGGTCGGGTTGTTGTCTCTTTGACACATTCCCCATTTCCATTCTCAATTTTATCTAAAACGTATAAGGAAATGTATATTTAAGGTCAATTAACTTGAACAATTATCCAAACAAAATATTTTTAAAATGCATTTTGCATGATTCTTATATATATATTTGCATTTCATATTAAACATAACTTACATTAGTAAGTTAAAATTTTACTGATATGTCAGAACAGGAGCAATTAAAGGATTTAATTTTAATAAAATTGTGCATGATGGAACAAACTATCACGATTCATCAAGAGTCATGGTCCAGCTAGAGGTTAAAAAAAAAACACTTTGAGACTACCCTTTAATACTTACAGGATGGTGTGGATTCAGTATGTGAATCACATCTTTGACATTTTCCCTCTGTTGGTTAAGATGGTCTGTGTAATATGGTTTGTATGATCTCTCTGGTATTATCTTTCCTTTGTCTAATAGAATATAAAAAATATCAAGAATATAAATGAGAAGACATAAAACAAAAAAACAATGGTACATATAATTTTTTCTCTTTACCCTTTGTTGTTTAACAGATCAAGATTAAAAGAGTGATGTTTTTAGTACATATAAAAATACTTATATCCCACAATGGACTGTGGTTAAGTTTTCTCATTGGCAATCATACCACATCCCCTTATTTTATATTGTCCCAAGTCAGAAATCTATGTTCTTTATAATGTAAGATGGATTCCGCAAAGCTTCAAACACAATACAGCTGTCTCTATTGTAATGCAAAATAAACAAATCATTCAATTTTAGTCATTTTCGGTGTTAAATTTTTCATTAAACCAAAATTTCGCGAAAATTATGTTATCTTATTTGGCACCTAAACTAAGTGACATCATGCTTCCGGTGTCAAATGTAATTACCGGGCATTTCTGGCTTCTGTCCACCTCAGAATACAATAAAATTTGATAAAAAGAAGATTTCTGGGTCCAGAATGTTGAGTTGTTTTGCTTATTATTGGAGAAAGTACACATCAATACATTCCAGAATTCAAAAGGTTGGCTTCCCTTAGTTACAGACAGGTAGATAGATAACCATAAGCTGATAAGTCCTCCAATCAGAACCATTGATACAAAATAATTGCATTAGAAAAACAATTTGAAGTTGTTTGTTTGTCCGTAATAATAAAAATAGTGCTACATGAGTACCAAATGGGGATTCATTTATTTTCCTTGGTACCAGTTTTTGTGGATTCAGGAAAAATTGTATATTTTCGTTGATATTAGATTTTGTTGTTTTGCCAAGGTCTGCATACAAGCTTTAATATAGAAATTTTGTACTTTGTTGATCATTTAAATACGTGGTTCACATGGACCAACGAAATTCACGAAAATTTGCATCCCAATCAATGGTGGAAGAGATTTTAGTCTAACCTTTTTCCAAATTAATCAGGTCTGGAACTTGTCTGAACTCTTGTGGACAACAGTCTCCTGTTTCACTATGTTTCAATGTTGACCTGAAAAGATAAAGAATAACCATGGTTACATCACAAAACATAAAAAGATAAATCATCTTGGAACATCTCTGAAGAGTTTATTCACATTACTGAAATAGTAAATATTCTTGTAAAAATTGTCAGTGGTTGTTGTTGGTTCATGTCTGTCATATTTGTTTTTCATAAATTATGCTGTTAGTTTTCTGCTTTGAATTTTTCACATTTTTCATGTCAGAGCCTTTTATATCTGACTATGCTATCAGCTTTTCTCATTGTTAAACACTGTACAATGACGTATGATTGCTTATATCCACATCATTTGAACTCTGATGGATAGCCGTCTCATTGGCAATCATACCACATTTTCTGTATTTTTACATTGTAGCTCCCCAAGCTTGTACGTATAATTCTCAGCTTTCAAATGTTTACATTTAAGTGTTCCTGATGAAGGTTGTTTTCATTATTTACAGCACTGGGTTGATACAGGGTTTGACACTAACTAAATGTATGTACTAGCCTGCAGGGCTAGTGAAATTATTATTCTACTAGTCCTCTATCAATTCACTAGCCCTCCAAGTGCCAAAGGCTCTTGGATCGTCATGCCACCGGCACAACACTATCTAGGAGGGTCTGGGGGCATGCCCTAGAAAATTTTTATACAAATGAAGCTTAATCCTGTGTTCTGGAGCATTTGCAGAGGGTTTTGAACATGTTATGTTTCATGAAATTTCACTAGTTTGCTAATAAAAATACCAAAAAAAAATATTTTCATATTTTAATCATCTATATTAAGATTGTGTTTGACTTATTTTGAAGACCCCTTTAGATCATTACTTCATCATTCTCCTCATTTCACTCATCATTATTACTAGTGTCTTTAATGAAGATGGATAACATGGATAAGTAAGGGATTTAAAAATACACCTACAAAACATCAAAAGAGGAAAGGTTTGTCCTTGCTGTTTTTTGTCACAATTCTTCATGGATTCCTTCTTTTCCCTTGTTGTTTGTCAGTTTTTTTTTTGCATGACTAGATTTTTTTCCTCAGAGATCTATAATTTAGTATATATGACAATAATAATAATCAGTGATATTGTTTGCCTCAAATTACATCAGAAATATGGCTTTTTCCCCAAGAAAATTCCCAATTACTAAAAAAAATGGCTTAAAAATCCTCCCAATATTAAAGTTGTACATTTTTCCCAAACAGTGATGGTATCAGTAGTAATGTATGTTAATTTCGTATTCATGTTATATTATTATTTTGATATTATGAAAGCACTTTTGAGATTGAGGTTTATGATTAGAATCATCACGACGTTTGTAACACACATGGTTTTCAATGTATTAAGTACCATCATTGTTTCTGTTTCTTTCCCCTCCCCAAAAAGTTCCTTTCATGTTAAAAATGTCTGACAATCAAAATATACGTGAATAAACTGTACAATAAGCAAAGGTCAGCAAAAAATCTGGGATTTGTTGACAATTAAAATTTTGTGAAATTCCTAGTTTTAAACAAAATATTGACTAGCCCGTCGGACTACTGTGATGAAAACTTGACTAGCCCTCCCCAATTTTTACTAGCCTCAGGCTAGCGGACTAGCGTTAGAGTCGAACCCTGTGATACCTCTGCTGGTGGACTATCAGACCCTGAGGGTATCATCAGATTAGTAGTCAGTACTTTGGTACTGACATGATTTAAAACAAACCTTTCCAAAATTGTCTGTAAATAAATTTTGAAAGTATAAGAAACTAAGGTTTCAACTCCTTCAGGCAAAGTTGACCTTAGATGGATGTGGCTATTTTTTAGGTCCTTTTTGGTGATATAGCTCTTCCATGGTTTCAGTTCTTATACATCCTTGGCTTTCAAATATTCGGCTTTGAGCGTTCCTGATGAAGGTAAATCCAGAAAAGCGCTTTGGATGCATGAAATTTATAATGTGTTGTTTTCATTTTTTTAATCTAGAAAAGAACTTGGAACACTCAAAATTTATAAAGTTTAATTTTCATTCAATAATCAAGAATAGACTGGTCAATTAAGGGTGGATTTTTTTTTTATTTTTTAAATGTCCAGTGACAAATATTTCATTCATATCAAGGATGAAAACAAATAGATAATGATTTCAATAGACTTCTGTTATTAAAGTGGGTTGACCCAGAGGAAATGCAGGCATTTTGATTGCGAAATTGTTGGTATATATATCTTGTATTTTTTTTAAATTTTGGTTCATCTATATGTTTCAGAGTTTAGTGTGTCATCCATTTTCTCTGAACTAGTACACATTTTTTTTAGGAGCCAGGTGAAGCCTGACTCCGGGTGCGGGATTTTCTAGCTGTGTTGAAGACCAATGGGTGGCCTTGGCATGTTTTCTGCTCTTTGGTCTGGTTGTTGTCTCTTTGACACATTCCCCGTTTCCATTCTCAATTTTAGACAAGAGCAGAAATTTTACCTTGCAACAGGCCTCAGAGTTGTTGAAAGGGTTCTTTTATATGACGAAAGTTTAGCACTCTCCCTACACTAGGCCTCAGAATTAAATTCCCCATTCTGACTGGACATGGCAAAAGAAGCACAAGTAATGAAGAGCTACAAATAAGCTTCTGTTAACAATTTTATTATCTCCATAAAGGTGAACCAACGACGAGGTGTTTACTTTAGGTGAAGAGTCCTGGAGTGGATAATTTGGTATGCAGAGTTGTCAAATAATGCAAATGAATGCAAAACTAAAAAATTAAAATTGACAACAACACTTCAAGTTTAGTCTTGTTGTCAATTTTAATTAATTTTACAATCTGGTTTAAGTACAAAAAGTAAAATAACAAAAATACCAAACTGCAAGGAAAATTCAAAACGGAAAGTCCCTTATCATATGGCACTGTGTACAAGGAAATTCATTTAATTCCTAAATCAATTTACCAGATAGCTGTGTCATCTTCATGTCCAAAATTTATGTGCTGTTTCCAAAACTGAGAATTCACTCGTTTTTCACCTGAAAAAAAAAAAAAAAAAAAACATTACAGGTTTCAAACCTGTATTAAAATTGGTTAAATGAATAAAAGTCTAGAACCTTTTGAAATTTTTTATAAAGAATTTTACAATTAATGAATTATACAGTTTGATAATATTGTCTTACAGTTTTCATTTTTTTAAATATCTTATCCCTTAATTCAATTCAGTTCAATTCAATATGCATAAAATTTTAATTTCAAAACACCATCAATCAATTTTTAACTACAAACACCTATTTTACATGGTATCTTTACAAACTATAGCCACTTCACTAGTCTTTTTCCATTGTATAGGGTTTACTTCTTTTGTTTTACATTCAGGATGATTTAATTAAGGATGTACTTAGGTCAGGTTTAGGATTTTTTGTCAGATGTTCAGACTCCTTGGATTTTTTTCTACGATACAGGGTAAAATATTTGCCCCATTAACACCCATTTTTCTTTTCATATAAGACTTCAATAGCTCATAAAAGGTAATTTACCAAAATTTAAGCAGATTCTAGATTTCTTTTCTTTCGATTTGAGACCCAAATAATACCTACGCAAATATAAGATAAAAGTCAGAGTCAGCCTTTTCCCGCCATTTTTAAATAAAATGCTCCGCTGGGCGCAGCTTGATACGACCGCAGAGGTCGAACCCTGAAAAGTTGGGGCAAGTATGGACACAACATTCAAACTTGATACAGCTCTGAATTTGTATTGTGATTAAATATTTGACACAGCATAGGTTTCTAACATAGAATGAATGTGGTCTAAGAACTTAAAATTTTTTAATTTATCTATTATGGTCCAATATCCAAAATCTAAATACATGGTTAGATTCAGCATATCAAAGAATCCAAAGAATTCAATTTTTGATGAAATCAAACAAAGTTTAATTTTGGACCCTTTTGACCTCAATTTGATAACGGGGCCCAAAAATCAAAATACATGGTTAGATTCAGCATATCAAAGAACCCCATATATTCAATTTTTGTTGAAATCAAACAAAGTTTAATTTTGGACTCCAACTTGGACCAACTTGAAAACTGGGCCCATAATCAAAAATCTATACATGTTTAGATTCAGCATATCAAAGAACCCCAAGAATTCAATTTTTGTTAAAATCAAACTAAGTTTAATTTTGGATCATTTGGACCTTAATGTAGACCAATTTAAAATGGGACCCAAAATTAAAAATCTAAATACACGGTTAGATCTGGCATATCAAAGAACCCCAATAATTCATTTTTTTGATGATATCAAACAAAGGTTTATTTTGGACCCTTTTGACCTCAATATGAACCAATTTGATAGCGGGGCCCACAAATAAAAAATCTAAATACATGGTTAGATTCAGCATATCAAAGAACCCCATATATTCAATTTTTGTTGAAATCAAACAAAGTTTAATTTGGACCCCAATTTGGACCAACTTGAAAACTGGGCCCAAAATAAAAAATCTAAATACATGTTTAGATTCAGCATATCAAAGAACCCCATATATTGAATTCTTGTTAAAATCAAACTAAGTTTTATTTTGGACCCTTTGGACCTTAATGTAGACCAATTTGAAAACTGGACCCAAAATTAAAAGTCTAAATACACGGTCAGATTCAGCATAACAAATAAATAAATGCGGTTAAAGATTTTACAAATCTAATGCGCCATACTGTGCAATTAAAGATTACTTCTTGAAAGGACAAGGTATGATAAGGGTTGTTTTTGGCCCCCTCTCCAAATAAGTTTATATTAATATCATTGATGGTCTTAGTAAAGAAACTTGAAAAAATAATGATTTTATATTGTTCCGGTGAAAGGATGGTTGCCAAGCAACGGTTTTAGTTAAGTATCTAAATTATCACATAGGAATTGCTTTATCTGTACAAATTCAAATATTTCAAAAATAATATTGTTTGTCCAAGAAGAACTTGAAGTCACAAATAAAAAGCCTCTTTGATTTCGTTTAATATATGCTTAGAAACAACCTAGCAACAGAAATTTTGCCTATCAACGGTTGAAGAATGTGTGTTTTTTCCCTCTGAAGCATGCATATAGCAGTTATTTGAAGATTTTACATTTCCATATGGTGTTTTATTCCCATATACTATCATATACATCTTTATTCTTAACAAATTCCGTATTGAGCATAGCAACACAAATGTTGCTTAGCAACGGGGAAATATGTTTGAATTGAAGACAAATACAAATCAATTAGTCATTTTATTGAACAAACTAAATGAAATGTAATGCAGACTGTCTGTTGATGAACAACTTTTAGTTAGAAATGAAAAGTAAGTTCAATTGTAGTTCACTTACTGCTTATCAACAACTAAGCAACATAACAAGTGCTTAGCAACTGTTCAATAATAGTTCTTAATGTTATCTGAAGTATGAATTTAGTCATTTTGAAAGAATGTACTTTCCCATATGGTGTAACAATATAATACAAACATCATTAAGAGTATCATTAATCCTTTTTTTACGAATTCCATATCGAGCATAGAAACCCATGTGTTGCTAAGCAACAGCAGATATTTTCTTAAATTAAAGACAACTTCACAGCCTATGTTTCAATGTGAAAGTCTTTTCATAAAAACACGAATTTAAAGGATTTACTAATTATGGGTGGGTCTGAATAGATTTTAAAGATAGTCAACAGTTAATGAAATGAAAAAGACTTGGCTTGTACCACACATAAACCTCGTAGGGAATATATATGGTTTAAGGGTTGAACATATGAAGCTCAATCATTTTACCAAGAACAAAACATCATTTATTTGACCTTGAGATTAACGGCAAAGGTCATAATGATATTAAACTGATATCTCATTGCTATACACTTTATGCCAAATATTATAAGTCAATGTCACAAAATTAAACAAGTGCGGGCTCGGACAAGTGTGTATGAGAATAAAATCCAAAAAAAGAAGAATACTTAAGTTAAACATAATGTATTAATTCAGTTCAACTTGGAAGAAAGGGGAAAATGACAAAAAATAGTGGGAACTGAGTACTGTATTAACTGCTGTTTCTTTCGATGAAATGAAATATGGAACGATTTTTTATCTGTAATTATGATGTGGATACTTGCGATGACAAACAATGATATCTCTTTCCTATCGTTGTCGATTGATTCGTGAAATATCAGGTAAAACCTATAATATATGTTTATTGTGCATTATGGTGTTTTCACAACGGATGACCGTGAGGGCATTCCGGTGTATTGCTATCGCCTAGATTTCCATTACGTATACGTAATATTCGTTTTGGGTTTTAAACCGATCAAGAAACATGATGAATACGTAGACATCATCAAGTGCAAACTAATATTCCTTATCGCTTGTTATACATTCATTTCTTCAATGAATACTTTTTAAAGAAGATAAATTAATAATACTAAAATGTTTTATTATATGTATATACATATATAAGTAAAAAATCATTAATAACTATGCACACACATGCGGAAGAATATCTCAAGAACGTTTGCAATCTAAAGGAACGATAACTGTGCATGGATGATTAAACTTTTTTTGCGGGAAAATACGAATGCCTACTCAAATCCATTCTATTAGAAAAATTGAATTATTACAAAAGAGTGACGTGTCCACCATGCACTTGCACTGCACTATTATTAATATAGTAGAATAGAATGATATACAAATGCATGAAAATTATATATACATGTAACTGTAATATACAAGTATTAATATAATATATAACAATAAACCAGAGTATACTGATTTGTATCACTACAATATAATAGTCATTACGGTGAGGATGCATTCGCTGTCATTAATTTATCATCCATGCACAAACTTGTCCCAGAAAAAAAATATATCTGTACATTAACCTCACTTTCAGGTATAGAGATGTGATTTTTTTTCTGAGACAAGTGCTTGTCGGACCATCTACAAGAACTTGCGGTCGTCCGATGTTCAGTACTTCAGTTTTGTTTTTGTGTTTTTATCAAAATGAACAACTGTACTTGGACATGTAAGATACTAATAAGAGTATAATTATGATCACAGAAGTCAATTTTTTGAGTTGAGGCTTATGTTTAAGCGAGGATTTGTATCAATAAGAAGAATTCATTTAAGTCGTTGTACAATTAAACAAGCATTCTGAGAGTATTGCATAGCAATACATAGTCCACCACCGGTTAAAAATTAATTGTACTGGAACAAAATGCTAACTTGATATATAACTTGCCATGGTGTAAACTTTCTAACAAGTATTAAGTCAATTTCTTCAAGCATGACGAAAATAAAGTGCGGAAAACTAATTATTTGAGCGATTTTTTTAAGTCCAAGGACCATAACTCTGCACAAAATCATCAGACCGGAACAAAATTCAAACTTGATCTGTAACTTGTCATGACAAAACTATATATCAATTATCACTTCAATACTTAGTTAATAAGCTGGGTTTCTGTTACCCCCCTTTTCATTTGAATTTAAAAAAAATGTATACCTTTTCATATATTGCGTAGGTTAAATTGTTACCTTTTCCCATATTGTTTTGGTTTCGTTTGGTGTGTAATGTAACAGTGGCCATGGAATACCAAAGTGCAAAAGGGAGAAAATTTGTTGATAAAACAAAGCCAGGAACACCAAAAAGATGACAGATGAAGTTTATTGACCTTATCATATATTTCTGATAGTTTTCCTGACATATTCACATATTTTCAAGATTAAAAAGGTGACCTATTCCAGCGGCATGTCCTATCATCTTATATATAGGAAGTGGACCTCCCAAGAAATTATCAGACCGGAACAAGATTCGAATTTGATCTGTGACTTGTCATGATAAAACAATACACCAAATATCAAATCAATATCTTCAAGCACGAAGAAAATAAAGTGTGGAAAACTGATTTGCTGGACTGACGGATGGACAAACAGACAGACGGATGGACAGACAGACAGACAGACGGACGGAGTGCAAACCTAAAGTCCCCTTCAACTTCGTCGGTAGGGGACTAATAAATTGAAGAAATGAATTGAAACTATGCAAAGTCTTCTTAAAACTGAATGCACATTTAATGTTTTATCAAATCGTGCAATTTAAAAAGTTGTAATAGAATGACATTTGGTGATCTCAACTTTTTATGATCAATAATCACATTACATGTATGTCTCATAAGAAGCCATATTTTGAATTGCATGACAACACTTTAGAGGCATTCCAAAATCAGATGTTATTTCCCCAAAAATGAAACATTTATGACAGCACATACTTTTCTTAACAACGTCACAAATAAGCATAGGAAAAAACAACGAAGAATTTGACAATACTCAAAATTTCATAGTTAAATCATTGAAATGTAATAACGCTTTGAATGCCTCTTTAGAAACTTCCGTGCTTCATCCAAAATGTGCTTCGGTCATTGCTTTACACCCCAATTACAAAAAGAAGTATTTGATTCTTAATTGGTCCACTAATTAAATGCGCATAAACATACAGCTAAGAATAAAAGTGATGATATGTTTATTTTTTTTTTTTTTCAAGTTAAAAATATAAACCATTTATAGTTACATTTATCTATTGTAGTTAATTTTCGAATGATCCATATTCATCTTTTAAAACACCATGCACATTTTGGTGCACAGTTTCGCTTTGTTAGTTATTTTCCCACCCAGCATTAAACTCATGAGACACCACCTCAGTTGTCTCGTTGAAGCGTCTTCACCTCGAGTACCGGATACCATGTGTTGGGTCTAACCAAAGACTTTGCTAATTTTCTGTATCACGTGGCTTTCAGGGGTCAGAGCAAAGACTAGTTGGTTCGGAGTCAGAATATATAGTGTCCAGTTAGGGTGATATGTTTTCCTGCGGACTGTAACTTTATGAGCACATTAAAAATAGTTACACAAACATCCCATGCAGTAACACAATGTCCAGTATAGATAGTGTTTATATCATGAATTATAATTGATATGGTCAAATCAATAAACTAACTGATTTAAAAAATTGAATTGTTTGAAAAACTACAACTTATCTATTCAGGAAAAGATAACTTTGGCTGTATTTTGCAAAAGTTTCGGAATTTTGAGCCTTTCATGGCCTTTGACTTGTTTTATTCGACCGTCACTGATGAGTCTTCTGTTCTTTGAAATATGTTTAAAGTCATAATTGTACTGCAATTTAAGAGGAGATATGATTGATTGAATGTTGTTTTTTGACCGCCCAGTGGCAAACACCTCATGCATACTTTTGACGGAAAGAAATATAGAGAGTAATTTTCAGACAAGACATACAAAGTAGCATGTGTTTTCCTTGAAAAAGATCGGATGCAAGGCGGTGGACAATTGCAAATAATACAAACTTCACAAACACACAAATTATACTCAATATACATACTAGTGTTGGATAGCTTTGTTTGATCTTTATTACTGTTACACTTACAAAATTGAATAATTAAATTTACCACATGGTTTCTTCTTATGTCAAATGAACTACAATATATGTAATTATTCAAAGTTTTGTAATTCATTTTCGCCAACCATAATCATTGCCTAAATGTTAACTTGGCATGCCATACTTGATAGAAATGCGGACGTGAAAGAAAGCACTTTGATAAAAGCGTCAATGCCAATGGAGATATTACATTCCAGGGCGTCGATTTCGTCATTTATAGAACAAAATACGTGTTTCTGAATGGGCAATTTGTACTTAAATATAATGTTGACATCAATATCGATCTGGTGAGTAAAGAATTTTGATTTAAAATGTGGGTTTGCTTACAGTTCTATGGAAAATACATGCTTAACAAATCTTTGCAGTTACGCTACAAAAGACATGTTTATGCTTCAACATGATTAACTTCAGTGTCACAGTGTTCTAAATATTGAAATTTTGTAAAAAAAGGAACTGTTATTAAATAACTTTCGTTTCATTTACATTCACAAAATTTCTCTGAGGTTTGTCAGATATCCTTCTGATTTTGTGTCAAAACTCGACCGTGTCTGCTAATATGTCTCTTTAAATTCATACAATAATAAATACAGGAATATCCTGTGATCCTTTCTCATAGATGGTAATTTTCGTCATAAAGAAACTAACCAGTATAGATCATTATAGCACGAACAAAATTTTGTCGTTGGATCCAGTTAATACCGGAAATCATCTCCGGTCCGTAGTTCGTTCAAATATTTCGATGATTCAATGAAAACTACGACGATTTTTTTTCACTTTTTTTATTTTTAACTATGAGCGTACCTACGGCCCACTTAGATATTTCAACTGCATCAACATTTATATTCAAGGAACATCTGGTATAAATATGATCGTGGGCTGTAGGTATGCTCATAGTTTAAAATACAGAAAAAGGTTTGGAAACTGCCATTTGTATGCCCTTTTCTCGAATCTTGAGGTGTTTACAGCAACAAAGCATGAATAATATCAACGGAAGTTGACAAATCTATTGATGCTAACAAAAATACAGGTTTTAAACTTTAAAAAAATGCTATTATAATCCATGGCATGTCACTTTTAATTTGAACGAAAATTGGGGGCCGTTCTCTGATGCTTATCGTACCTTGTCCTTTTTCAATATTTGAAATTTGAAAAAAAAATAATATTTGAAGAATAATTCTTTTTAATTTCTAAAATCTGAAATGAGAAAAAATTGACCCCCTACAATTTCTTTTTACCCTCCCCCCCTCCCCCCCCCCCCCCCCCTTTTTCCCCCAAAAAATCTTTCTCTCAAGATATGGTCATAATCTCAATTCAAATTTCCAGTGGAATTTGCAACCATAATTACCCATTTAAATTTACCATAGTGCTAACTTAATCTATTTTATAATAGAATTTAAAATATGGTGTCAAATCTTTCATATGGATTTTTTGGTAAAAAAAAAAAGATGCAACATTTGCAGATATTTTTACTGGTCTTCCTTTATAAATATGCATTTCTTTAAACATAATTTAAAAGCAGTGTAAGGGAAGTAATCAAAACGTTTTATTTGGATTACATCCCTAACACTATTTTAAATTGTCTTAATTGTTCATTAACCATTACTTTATACATAATTTAAAAGCAGTGTAAGGGAGGTAATTCAAATGATGTATTTGATTTATCTCCATTACACTGCTTTAAATTATGCTTTGTACTAAAGTATTTGTCCATTAACCAGGACAACCTTGTTTTCCCCCTTTTTTGCCCCTAATTCCTTAACGGTTTGAGCCATAACCCCCAAGAGCAAATCCTAAACATCCCTTTGTGGTATGGAAACTTGTGGTATAGTTTCAGAGAGATCCATACATCGTTCCATCAGTTATTGTCTGGAAACTAGAAAATGCTTATTTTTGGCCCCTTTTTGGCCCCTAATTCCTTAACTGTTGGTACCATAACCCCCAAAATTAATCCCTACCTTCCGTTTGTGTTATTCATCCTTATGGTAAAATTTCATAGAGATCCATTCACTTAAACTAAAGTTATAGTGCGAAAACCAATGTGTCTTCGGACGACGACGCCAATGTCATACCAATATACGACCACAAATTTTTTTTTGCGGTCGTATAAAAATTAAATATCTCGAAAAGGAACTCCATAACCTATCGATACTTTTAGCTTATTTTGTTCCATAACTTATGCACTTCCGACTTAAATTATCAATTTTAAATTCTAGATTTTTATAATTTCACCTAAAATGCCTAAGTACATCCTTAATTGTGTTTTATTGTACCAAAGTTTTCCGTTTTAACACTGAAATATCAATACTAGCTGGGTGGGACATTTGGTTTACATAATCAAGAAATGTATGAATTATGATAAATAAAGGCAACAGTAGTATACCGCTGTTCGAAATTCATAAATCGATTGAGAAAAAAACAAATAAGGTTACAAACTAAAACTGAGGGAAACACATTAAATATAAGAGGAGAACTACGACACAACAGAAACACAACATTAAAATGTAACACACACAGAAACAAACTATAATATAACAATGGCCATTTTCCTGACTGATAACACATGGAATTGCAGCCATTTTATTGCAATATCAAAATGTATCATTAGGTAGACAAATCATTACAGACTTTACTGGGTTTTGCTCATTGTTGAAGACCACAAGGTGACCTATAGCAGTTAACTTCTATGTTAGTCGATAATGAAAAAAATTATAAACAATTACTGTAAACCAGCTCATTTTAGCAAGCAATTTCGTGACTTTTGGGAATAGAAAAATAACATGAATATAAAATGTTATGATTATGTAACAATTGGACCTTTCCTTATATATATTTATACATCATGACAATTAGAAAATCGCTAAAGGGCTAAACATGAAAGTAAGTATCCGTGAAAATAAGTAGATTTATTGTATACTGTGAATTCTTTATTAATAAATAATATTCTTGAGATACCAGTTTAAAGAAGTACAAATCTTCTATAGGCTTGTATGCAAAACCAAGAAATGATTGATTGATTGGTGTTTAAACTGATTTCAACACTATTGTGCTATTTCGTGGTGGTCAGTTTTTATTGGTGGAGTACTGGGAGAGAACCAACGAACTTCTGTAGGAATACTGACAATACTAGTCAATTAAGTTGAGTGCACCTGCCCAGTGCGGGATTCAAACTCACAACCTCGGTGTTAACAGGCTAGTGATACAGTAGATCGGCTACTTAGGCCAATCAGCCACCGAGGTCCCACCAAGAAATGAAGTATCCATGAAAACACAATTCTTAGTTTATCAATCTACAGTAATACTACTCACATACCGTATCCAGACACTGTAGCTTTTAAAGCCTGAACAGTTTCTACCCTACTGTCAACCCAGGCAGGATAGACGTTAGCTGTCCTCATCAATAAATCTTCTACTGGTCTGTGTAATTTACCTAAAATACAGCATGATGTCACAAGAAAAGCTGAGTAATTTACCTAAAATACAGCATGATGCCACAAGAAAAGCTGAATAATTTGTCTAAAATACAGCATGATGTCACAAGAAAAGCTGTGTAATTTACCTAAAACACAGCATGATGCCACAAGAAAAGCTGTGTAATTTACCTAAAATACAGCATGATGACACAAGAAAAGCTGAGTAATTTGTCTAAAATACAGCATGATGTCACAGGAAAAGCTTTGTAATTTACCTAAAATACAGCATGATGTCACAGGAAAAGCTTTGTAATTGACCTAAAATACAGCATGATGTCACAGGAAAAGCTTTGTAATTGACCTAAAATACAGCATGATGTCACAGGAAAAGCTTTCTAATTGACCTAAAATACAGCATGATGTCACAAGAAAAGCTGTGTAATTTGTCTAAAATACAGCATGATGTCACAAGAAAAGCTGTATAATTTGTCTAAAATACAGCATGATGTCACAAGAAAAGCTTTGTAATTTACCAGTCAAGGGTGTAACTTAAATAAGTTATTAGAGAAAAATAACATACATGTGTTATTACAGATACTTTCATGAGTTGTCTACACTTTTTTCTTAATCTGTAGTAACATATGTTTGTTATCAGTTAAATGTATCATAAAAAATTTTATTTTCAGTGGGCACTTGGGAGTTCTTGAAACTTGTGCAGTAACTTAATACATAACCTTGAAAACTAAATTTTCCAATTCAATTAATACATTTTTGATCAACCATGGTAAATCAATGAGACAAGGCTTTTAAGTGATAAACTTAGCTGTAATAACAAGGCTTAGTTATTACAGGCATGTAACTAAATATATGAGACACTTGGGAATGATTTAGAAGCTTGCGCAGTACCTCATTACATGCTCTGATCATTATTTATTACAATAAATTAAAATACATTGTGATATATGTCTGAGAAAAGGCTTTGAAGAGATGTAGAGAAGCTGTAATAACACCCTTTAGTTATTACAGGCATATATTTTCTGTAATAACATAGGTGTACTATGCATGATTGGCAAACTATGGACTGTTATATCTTTCTAAAGTTTAGTATACATAAAGACAATTATAATATCAAAAGAACTTGTATACAATTTAACAAAACTAATGATGTATATTGTCCCTTTGAAACATGTAACATACACATGTTATCACAGATTTTTGATTTTTTAGCCCACTATAACAAATGTATGTTATTTTTCTCTAATAACTTATTTAAGTTACACCCTTGACTGTTTACCTAAAATACAGCATGATGTCACAAGAAAAGCTAACAAATGTTATTTACATAGAAATAATTTTGTTGAGAAATATTTCAATAAATGGTCTGTGTAATTTACCTAAAATACAGACTGGTGTCACATGAAAAGCTTATAAACATTTTTTCCACATAAATCCATTACTTGAAGAATATTTTAGTAAAATGTGTACATCAAGGTCAAAGGCCATTTCATACTAATATCAATACTCCAAAGGAACTTGCCCTAAATGATTTGTTTTGAGGCAAACATTTCATGAAGACAGGTGTTCTGAAAAAAAAATAAGACAGCCAGACATTTATTTCAAACAGTTTAAATCTCTTTTTGTTTTTATAAATTTAGGCATTTGGGCCAATCAAGGTAACTGTAAAGAGAGTCTCAAGGACAAAAATTTGGTCACAAAGCATGAAAATGTTTTTATCATATTTTGATGTTGGTTCTGTAATCAAAGTGGCAGTATCTTCAACTATCTTGAACATTTATATTCGCATATTTATTGAAAGAAACTAATTTGTCAGGCCAAATAAGACCCATTTTGAAAGCCATGATGTAAGGTACATTTGTAATTCAATACTCTTTTACCCTAAGAGAAACAGATCTGTGTTGAACAAAAAGCTGAAAAAAATTACGATCACTTATTAATTTTAAGTCCCTGAAGCACAAAATATGTTATTTTTGATGCCTGAATAATTAGAGTAGACGTTGCAAAATTTTTAGTAATGAGCTCCATAGCCAGTGAACTGAAGCTTAAATAATCAATACAAGAGGCTCTGAATGGTGGGGGGGGGGGGGATCCTCCATTTCTGTATTCTTTAATTTTTCAGGCCATTTTTCACTATTTTTTATACTTTTTGCCCATGATTCTCTATTTTTTATATTTTAGAACTTCATTATTCTCGTTTCTTTATTTTTTTGGTCCATTCTAACTAAAGAGGGTTAGCCATGTGTGCATGATTAATAGATTAATTTTACTTTCACTGATATTTCAGAATGAACTAACTAACCCCCCTTTTGCATGCATGGCTAACCCTCCTAAATTGGGTTAGTTTTCATCATATATATTTTTTATCAATTTTCCAGAATTCAAAAATATTCCGGATTTAAATAATTCCTTGTTTATATATGTCTCCCATTATTCTCTACTCTGTAAATCCCAATCCACACCCTCATACATTTTAAGTCAAAACACTTACTTGAAAGATAGTTCTGGGCTTTGTTCCATTCATCTATCCTTGTATTCCACTTTTTCAGAGAATTGCAAACTTTCAATTTTTTACTTGTTTTTGGTAAATCTCCTGCTGATGAATGGGTCTTTAGCAGATGCTAAAAAACAAGTAAATGAAGATTTTTATGATAATGTTTGTCTTTGTTTTCTTATCTTATAATCGATTCAGATCTGTTTTATCGATTTTATCAGATAAGAGCAATTTTTTAAAAATAAAATCAAGGAAATTTAATAATAAGAATACTGTATATTGGAAAATTTTTGTGTGTGTCCAATTTTTGTATTTTCTTAGAAATACATTTAACCATGAAATTTACTGTACACAAATATTTCACTCTATATATTGCAGATATTTATTTCTCTTACCATTTGAGAGCATTGTACAAAGCTCTGAAATGGGGGAAAATGAATACAGCAAAAATTTATGTCCTTTTACGGCCCAAACCACGACTGAAACCTGAAGTGAAAATAACCTCATGTACAGTATGTCTACAAAACAAAATTTTAAAAGATTACATCAATGATGTGACCACAAATTCAAGATAAAGTGCCTTGAACTTTGACCTGAAATGTTACAGACAAATGAACAGACACACAGACAGAAAATAAAATAGTAGACATGGTAGATGGGGCATACAAATCTCTCAAAAAAACCCTCTCAATTACTTACAAGGTTTTCTCCCCTTCTCTTAGCTTCTGTTCGAAAATCTTCAAGACTTCCCAGAATGCTGTGCGGTATGAACTTCCCATCATCTGTAAATCTTGGTCCTGTGTAATCTAAACAAAGAAAGATTATACAAATATAATTAAATTAGTGCATCTGACAAATACATTCCGGGTAAAAGAGGCAAGGTTTAGCTCTCATAAACATGTTTAACTCCACAAGATTCTTTATGTGACTTTCCCAAGTCAGGAGCCTGTAGTACAGTGGTTGTAGTTGGTTCATGTCTGTCATATTTGGTTTTTTTTGTTAGTTTTCTCGTTTGAATTGTTTCACATTTTTCATGTTGGAGCCTTTTATAGTTGACTATATGGTATGGGTTTTTCTCGTTGTTGAAGGCCATATGGTGGCCTAGAATTGCTTACTTCTACTTCATTTCAACTCTGCTGGATAGTTGTCTCATTGGCAATTACACCATATCTCTTTATTTTTCTACGATCAAAGTTGTTTATAAAGACTGTGTTTATGACACTTAGAAACTATCAAGATGAAGAGCAGCTATACATCACTTATCAGTTAGTGTGAAATTCTATAGACATGCTACTTCCTATCGATTGCATCAGGAGATATTATTAAAGATATCAAGATTCTTTTAAAATTTTTACTGCCTTTTTCAAGATTTTTTATAAATTTCCATTGTGAAATTTTTTTTTTTTAATTTGAAGTGTTTCAAAATAACAACTTGGAATAAAAAATGAGATGGTTTGATCTGTCTCATTTTTGATTATAGAAATCAATTAAAAGGTCAATTTTCAACACCTATATTGCTGGAAACAAAGCATCAGAATAAGTTCAAATGTTATATCTAAACCATATAATTTTAGTACTGGCAACTAGCATATAACTGTAGCTGTTGAACCATTAGTCAGCTTGCCATCACTCAATAATTTATAAGCAATCTAAAATCTATACTTTGGCACTTACTTTTAAAACATTTGTTTAGTTTATAGTGTACTATTTTTAGTGGATTTTGTAGTTCCCTCCAAGTACAAAAAAAATGTTTCCATTTCGTCTAAATTTGTTAATTATAAAATCAAGAACTTGAAACCTTACAAACCAACAACGTTTTTACAGATCAAGAAAAGTTCATATCCACAAGGATCAGTACTTCGATCACAGTATACAATTTTTACCGATTTTAAAATAAGGGCTTACTAATGACAAATTCCATTGGTCTAACAGCAACTTGGCAGTCAGACTCTACTGGTTTCATTACAATCACGGTCTTCCTATGAAAAGAAATATAACACACATCTGTAAAAATATGTTGAAACTACAATTATCTGTTCTAAAATTCCACCCAAAGTTAAAATCAGAAAAAATCTTTTTGTCACTGCACATGGATATTAAGGTGGTACCAAATACCTGGACTAAAATTAATTTGGCTTGTTTAATTTTCATAAAACAGGCCTCTACAATAACTTTTTTTCCAACTTGCCCAATAGGACAAGTACATACCAAAACTTACTTGTCCGAATGGAATTGTAACTTGTCCCAAAAAAAACCTTTATATTATCCTTTTTTGCATTTTAGATTGATTCAATGAACAAAATGAATTAAAACAATAGAACAGAATTTGATTTATATTTCTTAATATCCTTTTCAAAAATATTAGTCGAGAACAACTGAATCTAGTCATGTCTAGTCACAGGACTTAGGTCCTTAGGTTTTCATCAATGCCAAAGACTCTTCACATCAGGCACAGTCTGGTAGGCCTTCAGTCTACACTCTTTTGGTTTGTATCCTGGTCTTTTATGTTGATAAAATATTGATTATTATTATTAATGCCTTACTACAATCAGCTTTGTTTTAATATATTAAAATGTTTATTCAAACACAATCAAATATTGTTTTGTCTAAATATGATTATATGATTTTATGAATTTTATGGTCAATAATTTCTTCATTTTTATTTTAAAAATATTTTTGTTAAATACAATTTATCATTTTTTTATTATAAAGCAACAGAATAACATGGGGAAAAACGAGGTACTGGTTTTTCTTGGTACCGAAATGTCTCTAACAGTACCGAACTGTCTATTAAACATGGAGCCGATTCGTTTCCTTGCCGGTGCCGAACTGTCTTGTTACCTTATCTACAAAGCGCACCGCTGATTCCTATCAGTAAGACTGGTTTCGAGAATAGTATGCATTTTATTTGTTATAAAGTATCTGACAAAGAACCAGTTTTAAATTCTCGATCGCAAGTAAACATGTCAAATTACTATTTATTTTTATCCTCTTTTCTTGTTTTTTGTTTATTACTTTGATCATCAAAGTTGGATTTAATTAATTTTCTACAGAATGATTTTACTTGTCCTGTCGGACAAGCTTGATATGGCTTTTACTTGTCCGACCTTTTTTTCCTCTGGTACCGGACAATCGGACAAGCGTTATTGTCGAGCCCTGAAAAATTTTGACAAAATATTTACTTTGACCCTTTGACCAAAATATAAAAATTTCAAAAAACTTTCATTGGATAAATAGCAGTTTAAACAAACACTAATTTTGATCATTCAGAAGCTTAATATTTCCTTAACAAAAGAACGTGATTAAAACGTTCAGCTGATTTTTACATAGTTATCTCCCTGTTGTGTTATGTACCACCTTAAACAAACAACAATCAATCAATTATAAAATCTTTTAAAAAAAACTCTCTTTTTTTTCTTAAGCTGTATTTTGCAAAACTTTTAGAATTTTTGGTCCTCAATGCTCTTCAACTTCTTCCTTTTTCTTTGGTCTTTTAACTTTTTTGGTTCGAGGATCACTGATGAATCTTTTGTAGATGAAACATGTGTCTGGCATTCAAGCCTGGTATCTTTGATGAGGTTTTTTTTTAACATAAAATTGAGAATGGAAACGGGGAATGTGTCAAAGAGACAACAACTCGACCAAAGAGCAGAAAACAGCCCAAGCTATCAATGGGTCTACAACACAGCAGAAATCCCGCATCTGAAGACAAACTTCATATGCATACAATTATATGTGAATTTAAATAAAATCTTTTTAAAACATGATTTAAAAATATCTCCAAGAATGCTTTAGATTCTTGACTGACCTTTATGACCTTGCTGAAGAATTTTTGGTGCATGCTGTTTCAAATAGCTGTTAAAGTTCATACTTACTTTGCCATATATTTTTCTTTGGGTTTAAGTTTCCGCACATAATAATTTTCCACTGTGGGTTCCATCTTTGACATCTTTTTTCTTAAGCCATTTTTGTGTTGAATCTGAAGTGTTTAAATACAATGGTTCAATGACACTGAACTTGATGTACAGCCTAAATCTATATTAATTTAAAAACTCTAATGTTAAAACAAACAATCAATATTTTTAGTAATGTCACCTTTCTAATGATTGAACACACAATCCACACACTGGTGATGTTTTTTCACTTCGAATCACCAGCAATCACCTGTAACATTGTTAATGCGCAAAACCATTCTGTTTATAGATATAGGAAGATGTGGTATGAGTGCCAATGAGACAACTCTCCATCCAAGTCAAAATTTATAAAAGTAAACCATTATAGGTCACAGTACGGTTAAGCATGTTTAGGATGTATAATCAGTCATATTAGGAATAAAACCACTAATTCATAGCCCCATTGCTTTCTATGTTACATACTGCAATTTCAAGAATTAATGGCTACTTTGTCAATTAAGTTTAAATAAACTGGCAGACATTTCATGTCAAAACCCTACCTTGTTCTTGTGCTGAAAAACTCAACATACTATTAATTGCATATACATAAAATTGAGAATGGAAATGGGGAATATGTCAAAGAGACAACAACCTGACCAAAGAGCAGACAACAGACGAAGGCCACCAATGGGTCTTCAACGCAGCGAGAAAATCCCGCACCCGGACGTGGACCTTAGCTGGCCCCTAAATAAAATTGTGTACTAGTTCAGTGAAAATGGAAGTCTCACTAAACTCCAAAACATATAAATGAACTAAAATTAAAAAACATACAAGACTAACAAAGGCCAGAGGCTCCTGACTTGGGACAGGCGCTAAAATGCGGCGGGGGTTAAACATATTTTGTGAAATCTCAACCCTCCACCTATACCTCTAGCCAATGTAGAATAAAGAAACACATAGCAATACACACAGTAAAAATTGCATATATACATGTATATCAGAGCGCACTGCATGCACTGGTTCATGGAAGTTTGGTAGTACAAAAACAGGTACTTCCGATCATGCTGATCTGAACAAAAGGGCAAATGTGCCCTCCTGTTATATTTTCATATATTTTTTTTATCATTGAAAAGAAACTTTCAAAAAGGTGTTCTACAGTGATCCCAAGTCCTTAAGATTTCATTTAATACCAACAATAACAAAATATTTAACTTATTGACATAGTTACAGCTATGTGCAGGAACTATTTTGTTAGAGATGATTTCTATGGCATTAAAGACAACTTATGTGATGTCAGGAAAGATATATAAGTTATGGTTAAAATATCAAATTATCACTCACATTTTTAAGGACATCTGCGTCAATTGAAAACCTGCGACGCACATCATCTTCTTTTGGTTTTTCCTCTAGTGGTGATTCTAGCGTCATTCCTCTCCATTTCCCTAAAAAAACAATTGTAATGACAATGTCATTGTGTGATCCTAAACAGTATTATAGGCCAAAAATAAAATTAAAATAGTTGGTTTTGCCTTAGTCTACCCAAAAATTTTTATGACACAAATCATTTCAAATTTTATTTTAAAGTTTTCATCATGCTCTAACGTCATTTTCTTGTCTAAAACATGTATCTTTAATGTTGTTAGCAAAAAAAAAGTTCCTACCAACCTACTATGGTAGGCAACATCAATCAAAGAATTTGTTAAGGGTGGCCTTAATACCAATATTCAGAGTTAACATGATTAAATGCATTATTCATAAATACATTTTTATTGTGCAGTATTACCCTAGTACACTCTGGAGAAGTCCTGTATGACATGTATGAAGGTCTGGATGGGGTTTACAGAATAGTGTGGATTCATTTTAATTCATAGTACTAATTTTTTGGAGTTTAATGGGTAACAGAAAACCACGAATTAAGAATTCAACAAAGAATAATCCAGAGACATGTGTATTCAGTGAGATGTTTATTTCCGGTTATGTTGTGGAATTCTAGTATAGTGTTGACTTGCAATAAACATGGTAACATATGCATATGTTGTGAAATAGAAGTTCCTCCATAATATAAGTTCCAACTGGAAAAAATATTTTGGATTATTATTTCCACTGGAATAATTATTACAGTAAATGTTCCTAATGGAATAAATGGTATAGAATATTTGTTCCAACAGGAACAGATATTATGAAATTGTTTATTACAAGGTTTCCAGTGGAACTTCTGTTAGGCGGAACAAATATACAATGACACATAAAACATGTTTTTGAAATGAAATATAAAATTTACCTTTGGATTTTATGTCCATAAATGGCAGTTTAAAATTTCCTTAGCAAGAACAAAATTGGACTAGTCAATGCTAGTGGTATTCTCTTTCAGACAAGTAACCAGAAGGGACAAGTTATAAAAAAAGTTAGTGTTGAACCCTGTTATGGCTTCTGATCTACATGTATTAAAAACTAGTCCTTTTGTCAAGAATATAAGTTCCTCATAATATAAGTTCCAAATGGAAGAAATATTCTGATAGTAAAATCAAACTAAAGGCTCTTAAGAGCTTGTGTTAATTACTCACCTGCATCTTCAACAAAGGCGACTTTTGGGTAAAAATTATCATTATAGGGGACAGTCTGTCTATTAAGAGCTAACTTACGATTTCAGTCATGTTGACATATTTGTAGAGCTTGTCCTGCTGATTTTTGTTTTGCTTTTTAAAGATTCTATCTATATTTGTATCTATTATTAAAATACTTTTCAAGATAATAGGCAAAAACTAAAAAAAACTGGTAAAGAATTGTTTTCACTTTTCCAGAATAAGAGATTTTTTCTACTTGTATATATCTATTCTAGTTTTCAAAATTTTCAGCCAAAATGAAAAAAATTGTAAAATTTGACATTTATGGGCAATAACTCCTATATTTAGTATAAGCAATGATAAGAAGTCATCTGACAATTTTGGCCATGTTGACTTATTTGTAGATCTTGTCTTTCTGATAATTTCAACATACATGGGCAGCAGGTAGATCTCAACATTCTGAATATTTCTTCCTTAGTCAGATTATCTCTATTTAAGCTGTTTTCAAGATAATAGAAAAAACTTACATTTCACCCCTTTGTTCTATTTTTAGCCATCAGACACACCTTTTAAACTACATATGCCCTGGTGATGATTGTGGTCAGTTTTGTTTAAAATTTGGTCACGTAGTTTCAGAGGGGAAGATTTTTGTAAAAGTTATAATGAAGACAGATAATGAAGGAAACCGAGTGATCAGAAAAATGCAGGTGAGCAAAAAAATTGGAAATATAAAATAGCTAACTATAAATAAAATGACAATATCAAAAATAAATAGAAATAGAAAATAATACCCCAAGGGTCATGTTATCTATAGGACTACCCTCCCAAAAAAAAAGAGAAACATTATAAGTATCTCTGCGTTTCGTTTACCAGCTGCTGATAAAATTGGTGATTGTGTTTCAGTAACCTCCTTTACTGTCTTTTTCACTTTACTTCCTCTCCTCATTTTCTTCATAATATTGTCGAATCAAACTGTTGTCAACCATGGACTAATTGATGGAGATGCAAATCTCCAATGCTCATTGACATTGTGACGTCACATTAACCTAGTGATTTTAGCAACGAGAGAAAGCGTGTATACAGCTCGACACTAAAAACATCAGAGTTTTTAATGTTAAAATGCATGTATGATATGATCTTACGTTCTACATTCTTGTCTCGGCATAGATCTCTAATCAGTAGTCTCATGGCTTTACTTTCACTTTCTATTTATCCCGCGAAATTAGCCTCCTTTCAGATTAAACTTCCGGTTTCACTTTCATTTCAGCACGAGCTGCGTTTCTCTAGTTCCAACGATTACGATGTTCAGAGGATAAATTTACTAGACGTTGAAAGTCAAATATTTAGCTAGATTGTTTCTTTATATATTTATCAAAGGTACGGAACTATTTTACACAAAATGAAAACCTTTCAGGCGTGCTAGCTGTGCCCTTATTATTCAACTTCGTCTTTTCAGGTTTGTTTGTTTTTTCCCTTGCAGATTTTGCAAATTTTATCAATTTTGAATTTTGTTAAACTGCCAATGACTATTTTTCAAAGCTTATTTCGTTGTTTTAGAAGCTCAGTCAGAATGCGACCAACGTGACAAACAGCGAGATTTGATGTTTGCAGACGACGTTGATGGTCAAAGTTCAGGGAGGCTTAAACTGACAGGTTGTTGTGGTGATCATCTTTTAATTGATACATCAAAGGTTATAATTTTTTTTCAATTATGATAGATATATATGTATATATTTAGAGTAGATTCAAACATTCCATGCAAGCTTTAATACTGCCCCTTTTTTAACACGTGTGTGTGGGATGGGGGTATCTATTTGGAATTATAGTTATATCGTACCATTGCAAACTCGTACCAATATCACCTCGTACCACTAAAAACAAACTCGTACCAATGCAAACTCGTACCACTGCTAACTCGTACAACGGTAAATTTGTACCATTGTAAACTCGTACCAACTTATTAAAAGCATCACTTAAAAGCACTAATTCTCAATGTCTGAACACTGTCTATGTTCGGTTCTCTCATAATATAATGTTCACTAGTTGTTGCCTTCTGTTGTTAGTGCAGGGCCATTTAAACGCATAGTCTGTTTAAGAAGTTCTGCACTTGTGATGGAGGGAGATGTGTACTTTTCCCACAAGGTGAATATCTGTTCCTGAACAGCACGGACCTTCTTGCGTTGGCACCTTTTTAACTTGCCCTCACCAACCAGTTTCACTTGAAGTGGGACCTTCGTAGTTTCAGCATGTAGTAATTCAAGGAGTTCGTAGAATGGTTTGTTGGCCTCGACTGCCTTAATTTAATATATTAATTAACATGGTAATTAAGAAATTACATTCTTATTTTTTTCTAAGTTTTCATTAAAATCTGGTATAAAATTCAAGAAATTCAACTTTTTTTTATAAAGATTTAAAAAAAAATTCATAAAACATTCGTATATTGAATACATATTTTAATGGTACGAGTTTGCAGTGGTACGAGTTCTGAATGGTACGACTTATCAGTGGTACCAGTTTACGTTGGTACGAGTTGACTTTTAGTGGTACGAGTTGACGTGGTACGAGTTTGCAATGGTACGAGTTAACTTGCTTCCTCTATTTGTATATATATGTACGTCCAATTCTCTTATCCGGTGTGACGTAGCAGCTCCTTAGATACAGCATCTGGGCATCACTCTTAGGTGAAGCTTTTCTATCGATACGATGCTGAGGGGAACTTGTAATTATAGAACCTGTTAATCATTGGCAAGGGGCCTCGGTGGCCGAGTAGTCTAATTAGTTACTACTGTAATCACTAGCCACTCGACTCCAATATTAATTGACTATGATTGTCAGTTTTCCTATCGAAGGTCGGTAGTTTTCTCCGGACATTCTGGCTTCCTCCACCAATAAAAACTGGCCGCCACGAAATAGCCCAAAAGCGGTGCTTAAAAGTGGCGTTAAATCACCTAAAATCAAAATCAAATCAATCATTGGCAATAAACATTTCTTATCAGGTGACAACGGGTGTGAAAAAGATAAAATCTTTTATCTTTGTAAAATGTTAATCTGAATTACCGTGACTATTTAAAATTATTAATTAATAATTGTTTAATACAACATTTTTAGATGATGCATACATATACTGATATCTGTATATATATATTGAGAAAATGTGATGATTTTGAAGAAATCTAAATTGTATTAAAACAATAACATTTAAAAAATATCTCGTTTATTTATTGATTATTATATGTCATTTAAAAAAAGACATTTCGAAAATTTGGTAATGTCTTTCAAAGTTTCTGTAAAAGCTAATCGTTTACACAATCACTTAAAAGTATATTGTACATTTAGAGTGAACCTTAATTTAAAAACATATACAAGTAATAAATTTTCAATTATATTTAGATATCATATTTTGACCGATAGATAGATTTAATACAGAAATTATAGAAAACATGAAGGAGTTCCACGAAAGTCGTGTAACGCTAGAATTACTGACTAAACAGTTATGTTGGAAAACAAGAATTCCCACGTACCTGCACACACTGACTGAAATATAACTCCCTACATCATGTGCATGTTTACACACGCTAAAAGGACGATACTTGTTTTACAAGATGTATCTAGTTTCTCTATAGATTACAATGCATGCATGCCCTTATGTGCCAGAATTATGCTACACATACAATAAGAGAGTCAACCTGTACGGTGAATTCTCTAACTGCAGGAATTTGGTTACATGGTAGGGGATATGCGGTACTATTGAGTCTGGATGATCTCATAAGTTCACTTTCAGACACCCTACCACCAAATATAGAAGTTCAAAAAATATTGAAGGTATTGAAAAGGCACAACTAATGAAAACTTGAACAATACTGTGCTTTTTATGGTCTGAGAAACAATTTGCTTTGGCTGCCAATTTTTTTTTATCGATCTAGAAATATCTCGGAAGAAGTCTTTCATGCATGGAAGTCCAGTTTTCTTTAAGTAGATTCGATACTAGATCAGTCCATTGAAATGTCAAGTTCTGTATTCTTTAATAAAAAAAAAGAAGATGTGGTACTATGATTGCCAATGGACAACTATCCACCAGAGACATATGACACGTATAGAAGTTTATATCTATAAAAATGTAAAACAATTGATACGAGAAAACTAACAGCCTGAGTTAAGTATAAAACAATAAAGAAAAACAAATGATTATGATATATAGCAGCAAACGACAACCCATGAATGGCAGGCTCCTGATTTGGACCAGACACATACATAATTAGGCGGTGATAAACATGTTTTCTGGCGTCATTACGTCTTTTAACCCCCAGAACATGACTGTCATGAAGAAGTGAAGTAAGAATTCTACATTGTTCTGGCACATACTCGAATTTGTATAAAATCTGCTTGCTATGAGCCAGAAGACGTCTTATTTTGAACACCAAAAGAGAAAAAAGAAAATATCAACTTGAATGATTTTATTATTTTTAAATTGTATTTGATTATTAAAATACATGACAACATAGATTAAAGTGAAATGTAATAGACCAAAAATCTATAAATCATACACGATCAATTATTTCTGATAATAAATTTTTGGATTTTGTCTTGCTAGTCGCGGAAGGCGACGCATAGCTTTTGCTTTTCCGGCTAAGACATTGTCGTAATCGAGGGTGTCAACAATTGTTAAGCTTTCTGCTTAAGTTAGTTTAATAAGAACTACTAGTGATAGATCAATGATATATTGTATGAAGTTGCATTACTATCAGTACATTTCAGTTTGACAACTATTTTGAGGCCTGCCCCTAGGTCATGGTCTGGTAACTGATTGAATTTTTAATTAGGGCCCGCCAAAAGGCGGACGCCCTATAGTGATCAGTCTTTCCGTCCTTCCATCTGTCCGTCTGTCCCTCCGTCCGTCCTTAACAAATTGTGTCCGCTCTATATCTAGAGAAACGTTATGATTTCAAAGTTTATACTTGACATGTATATTAACCAACACCAGAGGGTGTGTCGTAATGTATGTACAACTTCCTAGGTCAAAGGTCAAGGTCAAAAACTTTGGTTTGAGTTGACAACCCCATGTCCTATGGTAAAGATCGTGTCCGCTCTATATCTTGAGAACCGTTATGATTTCAAAGTTTATACTTGACATGTATATTAACCAACTCCAGAGGGTGTGTCATAATGTATGTACAACTTCCTAGGTCAAAGGTCAAGGTCGTAAACTTCGGTTTCAGTTGACAACCCCATGTCCAATGATAAAGATACAAATTTTTTACCACACATTATTCACAGTGGGGCCCACAGAGATGGCTCCCATCTCAATGATATCTAGTTTTCCATGTTATGTTTTCTGCTTAAGTTAGTTTGATAGGAATTACTTACAATAGACAACAACATTTTCCATAAAGTTACATTATTGTCTCTACATCCTGCTTGAGGTAGCTGGGGTGTCTAAATGTTCGACGATAGATTTTTCTTAAACTTCTATAAAAGACTTCTGGGTCAATGTGCTTTCAAATTTCAATATAAAAACTGGGGGTCACAGACTTTGTTTTTTTTTGTTGTTAAAATACATCCAACATTGAAATTAATGAAATATAGGTTATTTTTATATTAAAAAATTGTTTATATATAGGGGAACTTAATGATTCCTTAATATTGAGGAAACATTAAACGATAGATTTAAGAATTGGCTAAAATTCGATGAATTACTTTTCATTTAATACTTCTGAAATAAATAAAAATAGGGGGTCACTTGCTATATTTTCTTGAAAAATCCCCAAAACACAAATTGTCCTATCAAATTCAGTATACCTATCTGCCCTTGATTTTGAAAGGAATGTTTTCTGAAAATTTAAATATACTTTACAAAATTTTATGATAGTTTAGTTTTAAATTTCAAGTAAAGGTATTTGTTGTATATCGAATGATACTTGGTAAAATATTTTTAAATAAGAAAGTAGTGCATGTAGTGCATTAACATGTCAAAAAAAAAAATGCTCTGAAAAAGACACCCCCATCTACCTTCAGTTAGTTTGATAAGAATAACTTGTGATAGATCGATGATATTTTATATGAAGTTGCATTACCGTCAGTACATATCAGTTTGACAATTATAAAGAGGCCCTGCTGCTCCCTAGGTCATGGTCCAGTGACTTTTGAATTAATTAGCAGTTTTCAGTGTTAAGTTTTCTGCTTAAGTTAGTTCTGATAGATTAATGATATTTTCTATAAAGTTGCATTACTATCAGTTTGACCACTGTTTCGAGGCACTGCCCCCTACCAGGTCATGGTCCAGCAACTTTGAATTAATTAGCAATTATGTTAAGTTTCCTGCTTAAGTTAGTTTGATAGGAACTACTTGTGATAGATCAATGATATGTTTGTATGAAGTTGCATTACTATAAGTCACATATCAACGACTACTCTGACTCCCTGCAGGTCATGGTCCAGTGACTTTCATTCAATAAGCAATTTTCAATGTTAAGTATTTTGCTTAAGTTAGTTTGATTGGAATTACTTACAATAGACAACAACATTTTCTATAAACAATGATAAAGCTTACATTACTGTCTCTACATCTCAGTTTGTTGACCATTTTAGAGGCCCTGTCCACTTAAGTTCTTATTCCAACGACTTTAAATTAATAAGCAAAGTTGATGTCCTTCAGATTGTCTTTTTCTGTATTTTATGCCGTCAGGTGAGACATATCTCAGTGTCAACAGTTTATTGTAAAATCATTCAAGACCCAAAATGAATCAGAAAAAATATTGTACACCAAAGTCTAGCATGTAAGTAACTCCATGCATTTGGACATAACTTTAAGGTGGTATCAAACACCTTGACTAAAATTAATCTGGCTCGTTTAATTTTCATAAAATTTTGACAAAATATTTACTTTGACCCTTTGACAAAAATATAAAAATTTCGAAAAAAACTTGAACCACAAACTTCATCGGAAAATTTCATTGGATATATAGCAGTTTGACAAACACTAATTGTGATCATTGAGAAGCTTCATATTTCCTTGACAATAGAACGTGAATAAAGCGTTCAGGTGATTTTTACAGAGTTATCTCCCTGTAGTGTTATGTACCACCTTAAATGATTATGGAAAGACTTATTGTATACAAATACAAAAACTTTATTTAGATGAACATGCTATTTATATATTTTGTAGATGGAGTTACCATTTGACCTCAAGATATCAGTCCAGGATGCTAATTTATGGTTTTCAATGCTAACTATAATGTTCAACCCTTTATTCTGGAATGTGGTAAGAAAACTAAATTAAAAAAAACATACATTGGTCTAGAAGTACATGTATTTCATATTTATTGGCCATCGCATAAACAAGACAATTTTATGTTTTCATTCTTTTAAAGAAGAAGTTAAGGTACCATTTCAGGTGGACGTTCTATACTAACTTACAACATATTTTCGAGAATACAGTATTCTTTATGACAAAAACCTTAAATAAAAGCAAACTTTTAAATTGATTGATATTTGTTGAAAGCTTCCTTTATTTCCTTGCTACACAATGCGGACTTTAATCCATTGTTTTATACCAATTATCACAAAGAACCAGAAGATGTGGTATGATTGCCTATGAGACAACTCTCCACAAGAGACCAAATGACACGGAAATTAACAACTATAGGTCACCGTATAGCCTTTAAAAATGAATAAAACCCAAACCGCATAGTCAGTTATGAAAGGCCCTGGATTGACAAATGTAAAACAATTCAAATGAGAAAACTAACGGCCTGATTTATGTACAAAATAACAATGAAAAATAAATATGATATAAAGCAATTTAAGAGCATCTATATGTACCTTATTGTTGCTGAATTTTTCGTTTCCATAATCTATCTTAAGTCAACCAAATGTTCTGAAACAGAGCTATTTCAATTTTGGGTGGCGTCACTTTTTCAGTTCTTGAGTTATGTCCCTTTATAACTTTGTTTGCAAGCGGGGGCATCATCTGTGTCCCATGGACTTATTCTCCATCTATTTTCTCTATTCTATATACATGTATATTTTAGCACCCCATTATTCTCTATTCTTTATATTTTAGCACCCCATTATTCTCTATCCTTTATATTTTAGCACCCCATTATTCTCTATCCTTTATATTTTAGCACCCCATTATTCTCTATCCTTTATATTTTAGCACCCCATTATTCTCTATCCTTTATATTTTAGCACCCCATTATTATCTATCCTTTATATTTTAGCACCCCATTATTCTCTATCCTTTATATTTTAGCACCCCATTATTCTCTATCCTTTATATTTTAGCACCCCATTATTCTCTATCCTTTATATTTTAGCACCCCATTATTCTCTATCCTTTATATTTTAGCACCCCATTATTCTCTATCCTTTATATTTTAGCACCCCATTATTCTCTATCCTTTATTTCTTTGACCTATTTTTATCTAACCTTTTTGTTTTTAGTCTATTTTCCTGTAGTATTGACCTATATTCCATATTCTTTAAACCTCATACATACATAGCTCTGAATTTTGCAGGTAGCTAGATGGGAATACAGACACCACACATTAACTAAAGTGTTCAGGTCTCCTCAAAGAGGATGTATATTCCTTGGTGCTACAATTTTCTCTCTGGGATTGTTCAGGGATTATAGGTAATATAGAGATGGGGTAGGATTGAAAAAGTAAAATAACAAAAATACCGAACTTCAAAAATGGAAAGTCCTTTATCAAATGGCAAAATCAAAAGCTCAAACTTATCAAATGAATGGAAAACAAACTGTAATATTCCTGACTTGGTACAGGCATTTCCTTATCGGCTTATGTAGAAAATGGTGGATTAAACCTGGTTTTATAGCTAGCTAAACCTCTCACTTCTATGACAGTTGTATAGAATTTCATTATATTGACAACAATATGTACACAAAACAAACAGACATATTAGGTAAAAATGTCAAAAATTAGGGTACAGCAGTCAACATTGTGTTATAATCTTAATCACTATAAAAACAAATAACTATTTCAAAAGAGAGGTGAAATATACCAAAGGGACATGTGTTCAAACTCATAAGATTTTTGATTTTTGATTTTTTTGTGTTTTAACGCCACTTTTAAGCACTGCTTTTGAGTTATTTCATGGCAGCCAGTTTTTATTGGTGGAGGAAGCCGGAGTGCCCGGAGAAAACCACCGACCTTCGATAGGAAAACTGACAATCCTAGTCAATTAAGATTGGAGTCAAGTGCACCCGCAAGAGCGGGGTTCGAACTCACAACCTCAGTGTTGACTGGCTAGTGATTATGTAAATGATCTTTTGTTCCGATGTTGGAAAGTTCCGGGCGGAAAGAACTAACTAGCCGAAAAGTTTCGGAGGAACTTATTAACTAGTTACTTTGTTCTTCCTCTGGTTTAAAAGTTCCACCGGAACAAAGTGACTAGTTGAAAAGTTCCAACGGAACATATCAACTAGTCAGAAAGTTCCTTTTTTGCCAAATTAGTCAAAACCGGAACTAACAAACTAGCCCAAAAGTTCCAACGGAACTTATCAACCAGGCAGAAAGTTCCATTTGGAGAATTGATGCTAAGTAAAAGCGCAACATATTATATTTGAAGCTTTCAAAGGGAAACCAAGATACTGATTACAAAAGTCAAATGAAACTTATCAACTAGCCACAAAGTTCCTCTTTGGCAAATAAGTCAAAACCGGAACTAACAAACTAGCCCAAAAGATTCAACGGAACTTATCAACCAGTCACAAAGTTCCATTTGGAGAATTGATGCAAAGAACCACATGAGGAGGGGGTATTCTTCCCTCTCTTGAGGGTACTATGAATACTAAATTTGCATGATAATGCAACTTATTCCGTTTTATGTGAGCTATGAAATACAACTTAAATTTTGCATATTTGTCCCCAAAGAAACCCCTTTCAGTTCGTTGGGTATTCTTGTAAATTAATGATTTGCGCTTATATATACTGATACTCATTCTTCCCCCTTTTTCCAGAAAAAGGACGAAATATGGTATATTCAGAACGATGTAACTAGTTGTTCTGTTCCGCCAAAACTATTTAACTAGCTACATTGTTCCGGGACTTTTCAACTAGCTACTTTTTTCCAGAACTTTTCGACTGCACTCGGAATAAAACAACTAGTTGGAAAGTTCCATCGGAACGAAATAACTAGTTGGTAAGTTCCTCCGGAATAAAGTAACTGACGGAACATAGGGGCTGCTACAATTACAGTAGTAACTACTTAGACCACTTGGCCACCGAGGCCCCCAAACTCATAAGATAAAAATAAACTGACAAAAAAGAAAAAGACTAACAGACATTCACAAACAACAGTACAAAAAACACAACATAGAAAACTTAAGACTGAGCAACACGAACCCCTCCAAAAACCGGGGCTAATATCAGGTGCTCTGGAAGTATATAAGTAAATGAGACAATTATCAACCAAAGACCCAAAAGGACAAGGATGTTGACAGTATTGAAATGGACATTTTCTGCAATTCTTAATAAATACTCTGAGGTGAAATTTATAGAAATGAAAATGGAAAGCATTAAGTTTAAGGGACACTCAATATTGGAATTAAGATGAATAGAGTTTAAGCAACATGAAAAGGATGGACACAAATGCAGACCTGATTGGTTTTTTGAGGAGAAATTTAAGTTTCCATTGAATTGCATCAATAAGGCCCATAGAGAATAATAGCTATTGTATTTATTCATGCACTGGTACAGTTCACATTGCAGGAATTCAATTAGCCAGGTAAACACTAACTGTTTCTGGGGAAAGTTTTATTTCATTTACAAATAAATTATTACAAGTCTTGAAAATTTGTGAATTAATTTAACAACTTCCGAGACTATGAAAGAACTACCAATGACAAAACAAATAATATAACAAAAGTCAACTACATTATAGTTTTGCTAAGAGCATAGATGTATAAACCTATGCTACGAGCTACTACTTACTGTATGGATGGGAGAGCAGTGGACACAGTGTTATGTTATCTACCGGTACTTTAAAAGACCATCCTGATCCAAATGGCAAGTTTTGTACAATTATTTTTGACATTTCAGGTTTAGTATTGCCCTTGATAGCCAACCTAAATGGCCTGTGTTGTATGAGAACTGGATTCTGCTGTTAGGATATGGTTGTATACTGTTTGGCTTGACTTTAGTTCTTACTAGTTACTGGGCATTAGGTTTCTATGGAACATTTTTAGGTAGGTATTACAGAGCATAACATGTATATAACTTCTGTGTCTAGTTATGTCTACATGTCTCTGGTATTTTTTATTTTAAGGTAGAAATATATGGCTATACCTTGTGAGTGAAATTGTTTTCAATTCTCTAGATATTGTGGGAGCCTCAAATCTTTCTTTTTTTTATTTTCAAATTCTCCTTCTGAAGTATTGCCTCCAGACAAAAAGTTCAAATATCTTTAAAGATCTCTGTCTGATTAAGACTTGACTCCTGAGAGAAAGGTCATATCTCTCAAAAATGTCTCTCTAAAGAATTTACTCCTGATCATGCTGATAGAAAGATAAAATTTCTTACTTTGTAGAAAGTATAGTTAGCAAGTATAGGTAACCAGTCAATGGTCTAACTTAAACAAGTTATTACAGAAAATAACAGGCATACACCTTTCAATTTCAGTTGTAGAATACACAGCGCATTGAGCAAAAAAACTGAAAACATGTTAACAAACAAGATGGGTCAAGCCAAAAATAACAACATGCTTGTTATTACAGTTTGAAGTTGTCTTCCCCAAAAAATCATTGAAAGTGTTTTAACAGGCATGTTGTTACTTCAGGCTTGACCCCAACTTTTTTGTAAACATTTGCGCAGTGACTTCTTTCTATAAATCCTAAATGCCCAGTAGATTTTATAACTGAAATTGTAAAATAAGCATTTAATTGTAAGGTATCATTGATGAATTGCTAAAAGAATCCCAAATACATGAAAACATTAGATTAATTCCACTAAAAAAAATATTTAAGATGAAGTAATCATCAAAATACAAAAAACTAGTTATCACTGTGCCCACGTTGTTTCACCCAAAATGGTGTGAATATTAATGTTAACGTTGAAATTACACAAGATCTTTACAATAAAATGAAAAGCAGTAAATTTGAAAGTATGATGACCCGATTTGCGTTTCACTTGACAAAAATGCCTGTGATAAATGAAAGGCATTATTACAGACATTGTTTCTTTGTACAATAACAGACATGTGTTATTTCAACACAATTCATGACAGGAGGAGATAACTCTGTCATAATTCCCACCATAGTTGCCAACTCACATGATATTCGCGTGTAATACACGCTTTTTCAACGGTTTACACACGAGGATTTTGTCACATGGTGTGAACACGCTTTTCGCCACTTTACACGCTATTACACGCTTTTTCGTTGTTTTGATTTTTTGGTCGTTAGTGAGATCGCGATTCACGGGTGTTTTCATTAATAGACGATAAATACAGAGAATTTCGAAAAAATTGTTATGTCACCATTGTTTATTTGCGATATGGACGAACAACAAAAGCCCTTAAAGGGAAACTCCGCAAAAAAATGAAAAATTTATATTTTGTTCTTTAAGTATAAAAAACCACATGTTCATAAATAAAAAACTTTTATTCTCTATGAAAAGAGAGCAAAATCGATTTTTGAAATTCACTATCAGTTCTCGACATATCGCCATCTTGTCGGCATGTTCGATCTAAAAAGTCACGTGATATCTAAAAACCACAAATACCAAAATGAATCAGGGATTTACCGACCGTGCGTTAAAAACTCCCACCATCAATCGGGGATTACCGTAGACGATCACTCAGTGTGAAAATGTCTTGTCAAGCGTACGGCTGTTCTGTCCGACAAGGTTATGACAAAAGTCTAAATAGTTTTCCCAAACCCACAAAAAAAGAAAGAATTGTATCAGACATGTTTGTACAATCTTAAACTAACAGCAAATAGTTGCATCTATAGCAAGCACAAGTTGATGTGTGAAGACCATTTTGAACAATCTTGTTTCGAGGGAGATTTGGTGGTAATTATACTTTTTTAAATAACAATATAACCTAGCAGTTCTGATAGCTATAGTTATCAAATCCATATATGATAAGATCTCGTTGATTAAAAAAAATATAGATTTGATGAGGAAGAAAAGTTTCAATTATAAGAAAGAAAAATGCAGTATTCTTGTAACAATCACTGATTTACAAAAGATTCATTAGTATGCCTCTTTTATATAAAGTGCATTGATTTATATAAAGAATAGTTCCGTATTTAGACAAGATAATTTTTCAAATTAATAAAGTTATACGATAAATAAAAATGTTTTACCGGTAATTATGATATTTAACGGCTATTGACAAGGAGCAACGTTAGGAAGAGGTTTTAGCTAAGACAAAATATGTTGATATAGTATAATATTCCCAGGTTATAGAAATGTTAACATCGAAAAATTGGACATCTCAATTTTTTATCTAAAGTCTTTTTTAATTTTATTTACGTTATCTTATTATATATATATATATATACATTTTGGCTTCCTCCCGAATTGATAATAGGTATGTCAGAATTATTGATAGATGTCGTGTCAGAGCGACACATTCAGTTAGTTATCCCAAGGACGTATATTAGATACACGTCCTTGTGTATTCCAGTGACATCCTGTCGACTAAAAATTCGTATTACACAATTATATAATACAGGTTCATGCATGGATTATTTACAGAGGTACCCGGCGTGCACAGGTAACATTTATTGAACCACATTTTTTTTGTATTGGACGTTGCTTATCTTGTGGGTGTTTGAAATTATAATTCCACCAGTCCTGTTAATGAATGATGTTCTGATAATAATATTATCCACTATTTTTTTCTGATAATAAGTTTTAAAATTTTATAAACATGACCTTATTTTTTGTGAAATAAATACTGTTTTGTCATGATTCTGGACCCTTCTTTTGAAAAAAAAAAAATTCTTCACACAAATCTGGGACTATTATACTAACAGTTAGTATAATAGTCCCAGCGCAAATACAAGCTTTTGACGATTGGCAAACATGCAGATGTAAAATAATGCAGCACTTATAGTCAGTATCAATATTTATTTATTGAAGATAAGAGAGCTCCTTCTATGTCTAATGTCCCTATCTTTATAAGGATTAGAACGACAGTGGAAATAGTCATTGTAAAGGAGCGGAGATAGAGTGGCATTGTGAAAAAAAACCTAACCGAATAGAGAACAATATACTATATAGAGAATGATCGACGAAAAGGGTAATAGTAATTGTAAAGGAAAAGAGATAAAGAGAGGCATAGTTAAAAAAAAAATGTTTGTTAGACAAAGTTACTGCTCGTTTGATATTTTTAGTTATACAAAATCACACATCGTGTTCCAAATTGGTATTCAGGTGCCATAACTTGATGCATAGAATGGTTAAAAATATTTAAGTATCCCATGCTATATCGTAGTGTCACTGTGTTTCTTTGTTCAATTTCTTTGTTCAATTTATTTAGTTTGTTAATGATTATGTAAATAAAAAGAGATCTGTATAAAAACTTCATACCCGTTTAGTTATTGCCTGTAGGCGTTTGATTATTGTTACATTTAATATATATATAGAACCTTTCATACATCATAAAGTAAAAGATGTGTCAGTCTGATTCAAACGACATGAGAAGCCTGTAATACTAGTACGACTCGAATATAGCATGTAAAAATTCCTACTCAATATGGTTGTATTGGAAATCTTTTCATACAGATAGATAACTCATGATCCGACATTCATGTAATATTTGCCATATGACGCTCATATTTCTTTCTACCATCATCATCTTATTCATAAATATTGCTGTAAACATCGATGGTTCACACCCAAACAAAATGGGAGTAATATACCTTTAGAGCTTCTTCGTGGTATACACTTGTGAAATATATAGACGAAATTCTTTATTAAAGTGAATCTTCATCTCACAAACACAATTTTTGAATTACGATTTTGAGTGAACACCCATCAAACCATTACAAAATGGCAAGATATAACCATGCAGGCATTAAGTTTCGTCAGACACAAGATAAATAATCACTCTCATAAACGTATATATGCATGCAGTTTCAAATATCAAGAACAAGCGGTCGATGTCTATAGATCATTATTAAGTCGGTTTACTAGCTGTTCAGAGTCAGACATGTCACTTGTACATTCTTGGCCTTCATATACCCCATCCGATGATGGGAACTCTTTTCTGATAGTGTTGACAACATAAGCTTGTATGGTGATTCTGTTTATCTGTACCAGTGGTTGGCCTCTCCTGCCCCCAAAAAAACAAACTAACGAAACGCTACTAGTCTGCTTTGTCTGTTAGAAAGAACCTCTGGCGCTTATATGTCAGAAAACTTACAAGTCTACTAGTAAAGATTGTTTCAAGAACAACGAGGTTGGGACGAACTGTTCTAAAATCGTCAATATCAGTTATACATTACTAAGATATGCCTTTTCTTACAACTACTGTATTTCTTATTTGGATTAATGACGGCTATCCTTTTCAGCATTGCACAAAATTATCATAGAATATAAAAAAAACTTGTTAAAAAAAATCCTCAAGCAAAATAATGTATTAGCTTAGATTTATAATGTATATGTATATCCATTAATGAAATAAACGATTTTTTTTACAAATAATTCGTTTAAGTGATTGGCAGATTAACTTAATTATGAAGAATGAAATGTTTAAAAGAAAATTTAAAAAATCATGCATGTTGTACTGTTGTATTTTTTTTTTCAATTAAAAACTGAAAAATTAAGATAGTTTTACGATTGTTAGCATTTTAACATCGCCAGATTTAAATACAAGTTAAAGAATTCCGGTAAAGTAAATTAAACAGATGTGCAATTATTAATTGGGAAATGAAACATTTAATTTTTAAGATTAAAAGTACTATTCTTTTAACTTCATATTTTAATTTTATGCAAATTGCATAGAACGTAATCGAAAATTGTTCCACTGTAATATTGTATACACTTCCAGAATTGAAAAAAAAATTGAATGTTTATTTTCAATTAATTTATACAATTTAATAATTGTTTCTCTATTGTCATCGGATATTTCATCTTGGTGTATTAAACACGGTATACTCTTTCTGTTAATCCATTCAAACTGACAACATACACACCTGTGTACGCTTGAATTCACACCTGTGTACGCCTGAGGCTGAATTGCTGCAAGGTAAAGTTCAAAGGAATTCTCAAATCGAGAAATAAACAATGACTTTACAAAGTAATATACACGTTCTGTTCACATATATTTTGCATTGAAATGGTTATCAAAGTTATAACGGTAAATAAAACTTTAAATATTTCAGTTCAATATCAGTAAAAATGTTCAATAGATATTTTATAAAACAATCTCAACAAAAATTTATGAAATTAATTCGAAAATATTTATATTTAGATAATTTCACATAGGAAGTTTTATTCAATCAATACAAAACGGTTAACGCGTATTCATTTTCTTTCATTCTTATATTGTGGTTATTAACTACGACCAACGATCATCTGTGCGCTTTTAATTACGTAAAATTCTGATAAGCAATTAAGACTTTAACAGATTTTATTTTTTCCCATGATTCAACAAATCGGGTTAAAACGTCACAACCCAGTGACGTAGGTCAACCAAAAAAGTTACAAATACTTGATTTTCTCCGTTATTAGAAAGAATATAAATTTAAAACTTTGTGAATGTGTTTTTTATGTTAAGATGAACATATTTAGATGATAAGTAAAAAATCGCGGACTTTCCCTTTAAGTTCAGGTAAGTTTGTAAGTAGGTTTTAAGATTTTGTTACTTCTTTCTCTCAAATTCACTTTGGTGAAATGTCCAGCAGAAAGTGGTCACTTTCTGGACCTGTACTGTCGTCTAAAGAGCCGAGTGCTAAGCGAAAACGATACCAGTGTACGTACCAAATAAGTTGGGAGTCCGTGTTAAAATCAAAAGAAAGTGATCGAGGGCCGAACAATGCATTGTGCACCCTATGTTACTCTCATATTTATATTGGGTCATCTGCAAACATTATCAATCAGTTGCAATCAAAACAACATGTGTGAGAGGATGTACTATTTGATAAAGCATTCAATGGTATTCAAATTATATTTTTATTCTTTTTCAGTTTCAAATCTAGCCAACAGATTTCCACAGGCCATATGGGAAGGGAGTATCACAAAATTGTTGGATCAGTTCTCTGAGTACCAGCTGTCTTCTGATGAACTACCCAGTTTTGACCAGACAATAGCAACATATATAATTTGTGGGGAGCAATGACAGACATAGATGACATTTTTGATAGCAAAAAAACCCATTATATATATGACATTCTTTCAAAGCTTGCTATTTAAACGTTAAAGCTATTTTAGTTTTGCCAAATAACAATTCTGACTGTGAGAGAGCATTTTCAATTATAAAGAAGTTTACACTGAATTCAGATCAGAACTCAATGATATATTGTGTGCCTTGTTATGTAAATTTAACAAAACTGGCAGTTATTTTGTATATTTGCCTAGTAGTGTTGTTTTGAAAGTAGCAAAAACAGGCCACTGTTGAATGCAATAAAAGTTTACAGTAGAATATTGTTGTTTTATATTAACAAATTTGTATAATGTTCATACTAAAAAGTCCGCAACTACATCACGCGTTTTAACACGCTTTTTGACATGTCATGTCATGTCATGGCATGATTTTTCATTGTCAGAGGTTGGCAAGTATGATTCCCACAATAACAGTATACCTGTTATTTTCTTGTTTAAGTTAGATCCTTCACTGGTTACTGTACAGCCTTTAACAATGAAAAAAAACCCATACATCATAACAAACTATAAAAGTCCTTGAAATGTCAAATGTAAAACAATTCAAACTAGTTTGGTTACAGCGATTATACACTCTGCTCTCTGTGGCTTCAGAAATATTTCAGAGATGCAGATTAGCAGGGGCAGAGTTAAGTCAAACACCCAAAATTTCAGTCTAGACAGACCGCAAAAGATAAATCAAGTTTTCTTTAAGAAAAAATATTCTCAATGCAATGCTTTTGAATGATTCAGATTAATCAAGGTAAAGTTAAGATTTTTGTTGTATTACGAAGGTAAAAAAAAAATTCTGAGAACTTTTTAAGAAATGGTGTGATTTGTTTAAAATTTGAAATTTAAATTTAAATTTCTTTTTCTGTAGGAGATTATTTTGGGATATTGATGGATAGAAGAGTGACAGAATTTCCATTTAATATATTTAACGATCCTATGTATTTAGGATCTACATTCAGTTTTCTAGGAACATCATTAATGTAAGTATTAGATACAAAGCATATGATAGTGAGAGAGCTACCCTACAATACAAAAAACATGTCATAATACTCTTCAATTATAAAGTGTATGCCACAGATATATAATGTAAATTCATAAATTTTTGTGATGTTTTTATTATTATGCTAATTTTTATGAGATGAAATTAAGTGTCACTAAAATAAAAACTTACATTTTCATTTTGATAACATTTTTGTATGCAGCATTTCCTAAAGTTGCAATAAATAAAATTGGATTTAGGTAGATTGTTTGTTCAATAGCAATAATAAATGGATACAATAATTTCTCAATTTACAGTATGTCAACGTGTACATTAGTTGACCGAGAACTTTAGAACAATTGTTCAATGAAGTTTTTCTGTTTTTCTGGGTACGATTGGATTTCACACACAAAATTCACATGAGTATGGCATAAAGTTAGGCATATTTGGGATCAGCAAACTGAATTTTGTTTTTTCAGCAGTGTGATGGGGTCAAAATAAAGAAATGTCAATTTTTTTATGTGGAGGAAATCTTAGGCTCTTAAAATCATTCCATATGCTTATATTATCCCACCTTTACAAAAAATAGGTGAATGCATATAAAGATGTCACTTGATAAAACCTTTCAATCTCTTCATTGCAACGACCATTATCCCTGAACTTTTGTACAATTGACTACATGTATCATTAATGATAAAATTGGGGAATGTGTCAAAGAGGCAACAACCCGACCATAGAACAGACAACAGCAGAAGGCCACCAACAGGTCTTCAATGCAGCGAGAAATTCCCGCACCCTGAGGCGTCCTTCAGCTGGCCCCTAAACAAATATATATACTAGTTCAGTGATAATGAACGCCATACTAAACTCCAAATTGTACACAAGAAACTAAAATTAAAAATAATACAAGACTAACAAATGTTTGCTACTCTGTTGCAAAATAACAAGCTTTTAAAAGACTGCTATAAATCTTTACTATATAAATAGCTGAATTTAAAAAACATAAAAAAATGAAAGGTCTGTGTCCTTGTTTTTGAGATATATATATCAACAATTCAAAAGTTGGCGGGAAATGATTCTCTCTAGATTTTTCATACATTTATTAAACATTGACACCTTTTTTCTTTCAAAAAGTTCTATGAAAAAATAACAAGGATTTTATAAAACTTTCAAAAATGGCTTTTTAAACTATACATAATAATATGATGAAAAGAAAAGTAGGAGTTAGAGGGAAAAATTTGTATTGGCACTATACATGGACAAAACTAGAGGACTCCGAATATCTGACAAAAAGTCAAAGACAAGAGTAGCGAACTTTCTTAATGTGGAAGTTTTTGTGAAGAAAATTTCATCGACACAATTTTCTAGAAAAATACCTCAAATCTGGAGTATACTGGACTCTATAAATGTTCATAAAGTCACTCTTTACTGCTTTTATCAGTTTATGAATGAATGGAGATATGACAGTCAGAGACAGCAACAAAAACAAATATATTTAAAAGCCATTATTTATAAGTGTGGTGGCAAGAACTGCTGCTTTTGTGTAGTTAATCATACCTTTTTGGTCTGTTTGCCAGATATTTTGTTCAGTTTCATGAGATTTGGCTGAAATTTGTTTTTAGCAATGCATTGATTCAGAATAGAAAAGTTATTACATGTATTTGTACTATTTGAAATCTTTGTAAATATATTCCCTCATTCTTTTCAAGTTTTGTACATTTAAAATCTTTTTTAAAATCAAGGATTGAATTGATATATTTAGACCAATGGTAAATATTCTTATACTTTCAGAAAAGCCAGTCAGACAGGAATATTTTTGACCATTTTTGTTATCATTTGTTACAGAATTGCCACATCTTTTGAAGGGTAATTTATTATCTTAGATAACCAATATATATAACATAGTTTGGTTTCAGACAAACTATGCAATCTGATTAAAATGCAGATCCTGCTTGCTTACAAGGATCTGAAAACACAGCCAATGAAAATCCTGCCTACAAGTTTTTGAAAGGTGTGTATCATAATGACAAAACCCGAGGATATCGAAAGGTCTTTATAACAGAATGTAAACCAGAACGTTTTGAGATCTTTGTAAGCAAAGTGTGGATTGATATAGCTGTATTGTAATCAGATTGTAAACTACATCATGATTTTATTCACCAAGGTACAATAGATATTTACGTGAGCTATTACAAAGTAATTCATTAGCCTACACTCTGAAAGGCTGAGGATATACTGGTTTGCATCTGTCAATGTCTCTATCTGTCCTTCCCATAAAATTTGGTGGTATTTTTCTGAACTACAAATCAGAGTGTCATGAAATTAGGTATGAAGCTGCATGTGAGCATGTTTTATTATGTGATATATTTTCAGATTCATCTCACATCGGCTCTCTGTTTTACCAAATAAAATGGCCATGAAAACACCAATCTGAAGTTGTTTTTTATGAATGAGTTACAATCTGTGGAAATAACGTTATCGAACAATTGGTTCTTACTGTAATGAATTAAGCATTGTGACTTAGGAAATCTACAGGAAAAGAGAGGCGAAAGATACTAAAGGAACATTCAAACTCATAAGTCGAAAATAAACTGACAATGCCATGACTAAAAAAGAAAAAGACCAGCAGACAAACAACAGTACACAAAACACAACATAGAAAACTAAAGACTGAGCAACACGAACCCCACCAAAAACTAGGGGTGATCTCAGGTGCTCCGGAAGGGTAAGCAGATCCTGCTACACATGTGGCACCTGTTGTGAAAAGTGCATGAATTCAAAATTCATCTATGAAATTCCATCACAATTTCTTGGGAACTTCACATCAACCTTCTTGAAATTTGTTATCAAGGTTCATGTCAGGATGCTAGCTATACCATGTGATGCATTTTCACATTCATCCTCCATCAACTTCCTGCTTACCGAATCCTTGTGTGTATATATTGATGTTCAGATGAAAGTTTGGTCATATTTTTGTCTGGAACTAGCATATCAGCAAATCCTAATAAAAGGCTTTCAGACTTAAGAACAATTTCAGACCTTAAAATCTTCTTAGTATAAAAGGACAGGAAGTACTGAAGAATAATTGTTTGTTCATCATTTCATTAATGATATTTTTTGTAATTTTGTTTTCCAGGCCATTTACAGCCTATATTTACAGCCAGAAGAGAAAGACATGAAAATAACAGCATTTGGTGGTGTCTTTGACTTTGAAATATGCTCATTCACATTGTCTCATGTTTTAATATGATTGTTAATCATTTTTTATTTACAAATATACACCAATCAGGTGTACTGTTAATTTTTATGAATACAGCATGAACAAAACATTGAGACTTTAATTTTTACTGTGAATTTGATTGCATTCATTGTCTAGAAAATGATATGATATTTTCTGGATCAGATGAACCACAAATTTTCATGAAAATAACAACTTGACATCAATTTGCAAGGTTAGAATTGCACCGAAAATTTACTAAGGTTTTGGATAACATTTTTCAGTACAATTTAAAATTGAAAATTAGTGCATAAAAAGGAATATCTAAAATTTATAACAGTACAACACAATCTGATTAAAGTACATCTATGACCATCCTTTGCTTACAAGGATCTGACAAAGCTCTGTTCTATTTACTGTTCTGATAATTATCACGTCAACCAATGAAATTTCTCCTTCCAAATATTTGAAGGTGTGTATCATTAAGACAAAACCTGAAATGGTCTTCAAAACAAAACGTAAAATTACAAAAATACCAAACTCCACGGAAAATTCAAAACGGAAAGTCCCTTATCAAATGGCCAAATCAAAAGCTCAAACACATCAAACAAATGGAAAACAACTGTCATATTCCTGACTTGGTACAGGCATTTCCTTATGTAGAAAATGGTGGATTAATCCTTGTTTTATAGCTAGCTAAACCTCTCACTTGTATGTCAAAGCGTTGTCAGGTCCTTATAAGCAAAGTGTGGACATAGAATCTGTATGTCAATCAAATTGAGTACCGTAATAACAGACCAAATCTAGTCCTTAAAAAAAAAGATGTACAAACAACAACGAAGAGCACATAGTCCAGATATCCCAAATGTGATGGCGGTAAACTTCCTGTTTTTTTCCAATCACTTGGCTTTCATCATCTGTCAACTTTTACAAAGATCTTTACGTCTGAAACTACTAGAGCCCAAATTTAACCAAACTTGACCACAATCGTTATTGGGGTATCTAGTTTAAAAATTGTGTCTGGTGACCCCGCCTTCCAACCAAGATGGCAGACATGGCTAAAAATAGAACATTGGGGGTAAAATGGATGTCTTGGCTATTATCTTGAGAACCAGGATAGAAAAAATCTTGACATTTACATCAAAACTGTCAGACAACTTCTTATAGAAGTTATTGCTTTTAAATGACAATTTTTTTACGTTTTTGCCTGTTGTCTTGCAAACTAAAATAGATGGATAGAATCTTTATATAGAAAATATGATCAGCAATACAAGATCTACAACTAAGTCAGCATATCTGAAATCTTCAGGTGTAATACCACCATTGATTTTCCCCTATTAGTCTTTGTTAAATTTGCACTTTTCAAAAAATTGTGCAGAATTTATCTTTGTTTCAAATAAAGAAATACTTGGAATGAGTAAAGTTTTATCCTGTCCAGTACTATAGAAAAAAATTCACATAACATTTCATTGCATATAAGAAAATAACCATCACTGGAAGTTAACCAATCAAATTTTCCCCCTTTTTTAACCTGTGTACAAGCTTAAGTAACCATGTAACCTCAAGTTTCCAAAATATTCTATAGAAACCCCAAATAAAAAAATAATGGTGCTTTGAAATACCCAAGATATATGTTTATGACCCAGAAATGTTTTACTGCAATGAAATGTAGGATCAATTACCTACAACTGTCAAATTCAAGGGAATATTTTTTTTAGACCTATTTTCGTATGCAACCGGATGTGACGTACTATGATTTGGTGGTATTACACCTTCAGTCAATTACTTATTGGAGTTATTTCCCTTTAATAAAAATGTTCACCATTTTTGTCGAGCTTTCGACTTTCGTCGAAAAATCGAGACATAGCGATCCTACATTCCGTCGTTGTCGGCGGAGTCCACAAATATTCACTGTGTGGTTAAAGGTTTGAAATTTTAATAACTTTCTTAAACTATCCTGGATTTCTACCAAATTTGGACAGAAGCTTGTTTATGATCATAAGATAGTATCCAGAAGTAAATTTTGTAAAAAAATATCCTGTTTTTCCGTATTTTACTTATAAATGGACTTAGTTTTTCTGCCAGGAAACATTACATTCACTCTGTGTTTAAAGTTTTTAAAATTTTAATAACTTTCCTAAACTATCCTGGATTTCTACCAAACTTGGACATAAGCTTGTTTATGATCATAAGATAGTATCCAGAAGTAAATTTGTAAAAAACAAAATTCCATTTTTTCCGTATTTAACTTATAAATGGACTTAGTTTTTCTGCCAGGAAACATTACATTCACTCTGTGGTTAAAGTTTTTAAAATTTTAATAACTTTCTTAAACTATCCTGGATTTGTACCAAACTTGGTCAGAAGCTTGTTTATGATCAAAAGCGAGTATCTAGAATGTAATTTTGTTAAAATTTTGTACCTGTTTATCCGTATTTTACTTATAAATGGCCTTAGTTTTTCTTCCAGTTAACATTACATATTATTATACCTCACGTAAAAATGCAATATTTTGATTGGCTTATACGAGGGTGTTAATTTACTCTATTCTATGGTAAATACTCTACTACCCTTCACGGAGATGCTTGATCAAGTGTGCGCTTTATTAAATACATCTCTATTCTATGGCAAATACTCTATTACCTTTCAAGGAGATGCTTGATCAAGTGTGCGCGTTATTAACTACAGATGGTTGTTATGTACAAGACGTCATAGTTTATTACTTTGAATTTAAAATTTAATCAACAGTAATAACAGAACATTCAGTATAATAAATTAAATAACACATATCTGAGAGGGTGATAGAGCAGATTGTTACCCCTCAAAAAAACATTGTCAACCTTGGCTTCGCCTCAGTTGACAATGTTTTCTCGGGGTAAAAATCTGCTCTATCAACCTCTCAGCTATGTGTTATTTATATACAGTCTGCAGTTAAAAGATTTAAATCATTTATTAGATTCATAAACTATCCTGGATTTTTACCAAACTTGGACAGAAGCTTCTTACAATCAAAAGATTGTATCGAAAGGAATATTATTATTTTTTTTCCTCATTTTTGTTGAGCCTGCGATGAACAGCAAAAGTAGGCAAGACACTTGGTTCCGTTGAACCCTTACAAATTTTTTGGTGTATTTGCCTATTATCTTGAAAACTTAAATACATATATATGTTTGCTGCAGAATGACAGAATGACCAATAAAGATTTAACTATATGGCCCCGACCACAAAGCCATAAAAATTTGTAATTGGTTTCCAAAGAGTAATAGTGAATCCGCAGTATCCACCAGAGTTCAAGCGATGAACAGAATATTTTGATTTATGTTACCTGTAGTGTCTATCTGGAATTACTAATACAAAGTTGCACCAGAAGCAAAAGATATATTGGCACATCCTATGCATATTGAGGTGGTTGCAAGAATAAAATGGAATGTTAGAGAAGGCACATGTTTTAATATGTTATTGTTAGCCCTGAACTAGCATCAGTAACTGTGAGGACTCTTAGATCAGTACTTTTGTCTTTTTAGTCTTTTTGTACTTTGTGACAATCTGATGAGTCCAGTCGCTTTTAAACTTATTTTTTCATGTTTGTTTTTTTTCATATGTTGTGTTGTTACACCTCTGTTCCAGGTGAGGGTGAAGTGCTCACAAACATGTTTATAACCCACATTTTGTAAGTACCTGTATTTCACAGGTTGTTGGTTGGTGTCCATGTTTGTTAAGTGCATAAATCAGGATGGTTTTTTTTCTCTTTTGAATTGTTTTACATTTGTAGTTATAGCTTACGTTCTGGGTTTGGCTCATTGTTGCTGGACCTTAAGCAGCCATCCTTCATCATTGTTGAAGGTGGTAGTGACCTATAGTTGCTTAAATCTACTTCATTTGGTCTCTGTTGGATAGTTGTAACATTGGGAATCATATCAAATCTTAATTTCATCTTTAAATCAGAGGCTATTAAAATTGCCTAGCAGAAAAACTTGCAGGGAGATATCATTAGATTGCCTCTATTTTGACAATTTAAGTCCCATTACTGTGGTAAAGCAAATCTTTTAAAATTGTTTCCAAAGGTGAAGGGAGCTTATTTCCTCCTATAGAAATAAGTCTAAATTTTGAAAAAAAATTGAATCAAGCATAATCAAAGTGGATCCGGTCAATATTGTAGGCGGGACATTCCACAATTCTGGAATGACAAATAAGTTGGTCCACCTGGATGAAGCCATTGGAGGACTGGAAATTTTGACTCAAACTGAAAGGTGATTGTTTATTGGATATTAGGCAGAAATTTTTCCTTGCAACAGGCCACTTACAGACCATTTTGACAGTTGTTGCAAGAGTTCTTCAACATGCAGTAAGCCTGGACTCTGAGGTTGATATGAAAAGGTTAACGAATATATAAACAACTAAGAATTGTGGTGCTATCATTTTTAATATCACCTATATAATTATAATAATATAAATCTATTGAGAGAAACATAACATTCTTACTTCTGCATTTTCACTCACTGGTTATGCCTCATGGACATTGAGGATGAGAATTGTGTTTTAATCTAATGTCCCTTAAACGTCAAGACATTTTTGAAGACTGATAGTTGTAAAATACTTTATATTAGAAGGTTACTGTGATTTGATAAAAGGTTTATAAAAAAAATTTATTCTATATATCGTAATTTAAAATGTATACAATGTTAGCTTATTAGAAATCCCCCCATTATAATTTTCTTTTAAATCCTCTAAAGTCCATTTTTATAACAAAAATTAATCAACTGTCCATAAAATATAACTCAGCATAAACATTCATCATTCAACTGATTTGTGCATATATCCCACTCTTTTCTCTTTAATTTCAAATTATTCTATCATCCAATCAAAATCTTCCCAAAAATCAGGTGACATACATACATTTAGATGTGAAATTTTAAAATGGCAAATGAAATTGTACAATGCATGGATATAATATGAGTTCTTGTACATCTTCCTTCTTGATTTTTAATGCAGTGATTCAAGGCAAGGATATTTTTTTCTTTCCTTTTGATACCATGGTGAGATTGAAGCTATTAAGGGGACATAACTGTTGTCATATTATTTGTTCAATTAATTTTGTTTCAAATTCCAGACAAAGGTGATATTTCACTGATTAATCCTGAGGGTACTGTACAATTTTTAATCAAAGCTCTTTGATTTCAATTGAATTTACCACTATCTAAAGAAAGGAAAATTGAAGTTAGACAAAAAGCCTATAGTATACCTAAAGTATCTGTTAATTTGTAAAAATTATCATTAAATAGACTTTCAAATTTGATGGAAATTTTTGGACACTGCATCGAAACCCTGCTAACTATGGTTTGTAATTGTATACAATGTAACATTAAATAAACCCTTCCCAATAGCTTTTTATTTTCAGAATCTATTGCATTCTGGGTAATATTTTCAAAAGTGTAACATCAAAATGTGTTAATTGGGTAACCAACAAATGGTGCAACGTTATTTTCATTTTGGTGTTTATACAATGAAATTACCCTTAATCCACTAGATTCAGAAGCAGCATATTCGACAGGCTTATAAAATGGGGGTATTCTTCAATCAAAAATACAGATAAAGATGTACAAATACTCATTCCAAATGATATAAAATTTGATAATGATGTTTAGGTTTTCCAAATATAGATCATGCATTATTAAACAAGGTAACTCGTGAAACATTAAAGGACTCTTTTAAACATCCCTTGACCCTAAAGGTCAAATGATAAAATCATTTTAACACAAATTGCTTTATATAAATTGGATATTGACATCTAAGAAAGCCTCATACAATCATGTAGAACATCACATATGAAAGCTCAATCATTAACACATCCTCCGAACGTTTTAACAAACTTTTCATTCAAAGACAAACAGAAAAAGTTTATTAATCTGCAAATTGAAAAAAATAAAACAAAACCACTAAAAATGCTTCATTCTGCTTCTATAAATAGCCCAAAAACCATACACACAAATGGCAAAATGTGTTCAAGGAAATTTAATCTAGCCCAACAGGCCAAAATAAATAAAATAGCCCATTAGGGCTACACTTTTATTTCTCATATCTGCAAATGTTTTCATTTCCAAACGTTTCCTATCATATTCAATTATTCCTAGATAACAATACAACCAAAATTTCCTTTATACTCATAATAATAATAAGCAAATAGTTGATATTCATTACAGATACAGCCATCCTACACATTATACACTTTTCAGTAAAGCCTGCACACATAAAAAATTAACAAATTTCGCAAAATAAAAAACCCATTATTCTAACTCATGTCACAGAACTGACCAATAGGGTCAGTAATAAAATATTTAGTATATTGATTATTTAACACAATACATTCGTTACAAACAAATTTAAATAAACAAATTACAACTATCGAGAGAGAAAAAAAAACGAGAAAATCCTCAAACTTAAAACCTCGGCTTATCTTAGCCTGAAAATTAAAATAATACAAATTAAAACATTCATGTATAAACGTTTGTGTTAGGGATTTATCATAAAAAAAATTACACACGTGTAATTTTCAAAATGACAGTTTGTTTGTATAAATTGTACTGCTTCCTGGATAAATCGAGATTTGTATAAATGGAGAATTTGAGAAATGTGACCTGTTTACATGATTACAACGGTAAAAACAAGTGAAAAAAAAATATTCGTACCAAACTGTCAATTTAGCAGTTTGATTTCACAATTAATTTAACTGTGCAAAACAATTTCTATGTTATCAAACTGGAAATGTTAAGTCATGAAAACAAATCAAATATGATTATTCTAAAACTGATAAATTTCAGATAAATTTCAAAAAAATTGCAAAAATGTCAACATGATTTTTTTCAAAGATAATCAAACAGTGTGGACATTCAGAGAATAACAGACATATATTTTGTGTTTATTTAATTAACAAGGGTAAATAAATAACAAAAAAAAAAACATCCAGACTTCTTAATTCTGTAATGGTTGTCGATAAATATATATTCACTTTTTGCATTGTTTAACTACAACCAGTTCAAACACACCTTACAAATAATGTCTACAGTTTCAAATTTTAAACATTATCAAAAATACGCAAATATAATTAAAAGCACTGAATAAATCGTCTATTACAATAGTAAATACTTAGCAAGACATCGTATATCATTTTATCACACATAATCGACGAAAATATAAAATTTGCAAGCTCTGTTTGAACTGACTGTAATTTACTCCTGACATGATGAAAACACATAATTTTATCACAAGGTCTTTAAATCTTCTGAATTTTAGAAGCGACAACGACAGGGTTTTGTTTCCTTATATGTTCCTGTGCCATCTCTTTGTAGTTAAAGTTACAATCATGCTTATCCGAATATCTGTGGGTACTGCAATATAGTCCTCCACATCTACAGGGGAACCCTGGGAAAACAAATAAAACATACATGAAACTCAGAATGTGGTAACAAATAAAATAATGCTATTGTTTTCTGATTTATCGTAGGTTGCTTAAGGTCCAGTGGCTAATATTTCATGCATGTTCAGGACAAAAGTGCTTTTGTATAAATATGGTACCATCCATGTTTTTCATCATAAAAAAACTCCAAATTTATCATATTACAAAGTGTAGAAGTGATAGAAATGCACTTTTTATCAACAATAAGAATCAATGTTTTCTCGACTTTCAGCTTTTAAATTGCTATTGTTCAACTAGCTGTAGGCTTTTCCCATATATTATATTTGTCTCGCCAGTCTCAAATTGTCTCGCCAGTCTCAAACACCCCAAATATGTGTGTTTAGGGTTATCATCTGGACAGACATACGGAGTGGAGCAGTTACCAGACCTGCTTTCACCTTTGACATTGAAAATAAGTACCAATGTCCTGTAATATTTTGCATTGGTGATGTGTCCTGGTCAAAGTTATTACGGTGATGTCAAATACGTTTAAGTTCACAAAGTTGTGATATGGGATTTTACTAAGAGCTGAGCCAGATACAGTCGCAGGGAAATTTACTACTCCAGATATTTCTCGTCTTTAGTAAATCTCAAGCTGAACATTATACATTTGAGGTCTTTGAGCATGTTAAGAGGCAGTCATGAGTTGACATTTTAACAAATATTCCCAAAAAGTAAAATTTTCAATTACCTGTAAGTCCAACCTTCTTTTTACAAGTATGACATCTATTTTTCTTTGGTGTTTTCTTATCGTCTGATGGTGAAGAGGTTTCTGCTGGGTTAACTCCACCTATAAAGTTCAAAGTTCAAATAATAATTTTATTACATATCTTTAAGCTTCATATGTCATGTATGTATATATCATGTATATGTAAGACACCTGTTTCATCAATAATAAAATATGGATTTATGGAATTTTCTATCTTTACAATTTACAAATGATTTGAATCAAAACTTTAGAAAACAATTTTTAGCCCACTATATATATTCCCCAAAAAAGTGAACCAAACTTTAAAAAAAAAAACGTAAACTCTTATTGTGCAAAATAACATAATCGTGTTAGAATTTCATAAAAATATTTTTATTTATTATTGTGTCTATCCATTGGCAAGGCCACAAGACTTCATCAGACTTAGAAATTTAGATCAGTATAGAAAAAAAACTGTTTTTCTTCCTGCTAATTAATAAACAGCAATGATGATTTTTATTTACCCAAAAAATATCAAGCAAACATCTCACATTTTAGAAGTACTAAGCAATTTAAAATAAATAAACTGCTTCGCCAAGCGCTGCTGGATACGACCGCAGAGGTCAAACCCTGTACAGTTGGGGCAAAAATGAACACAATATTCAAGCTTGATACAGGTCTGAATTTGGATTATAATTAAATATTTGACTCATTATAGGTTTCTGACACAGAATAAATGTAGTCAAAGAACTTGAAATTGGTTATATGATTTGAATTTATATTAATTGAAGATTTCTTGCTGTTGTGCAATACACTGTGCTGTTGCACAATACTTAGTAAATCTGTTTTCAGACTATATACATGATATACAAAGAATTAGCAAAATAAATTGTGACCCCTAATTTTTTTTGGAAAATTGACAATTTCTTAAATCTTGAAATCTTGAGGGAAAATTGATTCCCCCCCCCCCCCCCCCACTTTTCCAAACAAAATGATATATAAAGAATTTTCTTTTTAATTTCTTACTTCTGAACGAAAAAAAATTGCCCCCCCCCCCCCCTTTCCAAAAAAATATGATTTGAAGAAATTTTCTTTTTGTAAAATGTCATGAATGTGGTACAATTCAAGAGACATCCATACACTTAAACACAAGTAATTGTCTGAAAATTATACCCTTTTTGGCCCCTAATTCCTGAACGGTTTGGGCAATTACCCCCAAAATGAATCCAAACCTTCTACTTGTAGTATTGAACCTTGTGGTACAAATTTCAGAGCAATCAAAATACTTATACACAAGTTATTGTCCTGAAACTAGAAAAAATGCTTGTTTTGGGTCCCTTTTTGGCCCCTAATTCCTAAACGGTTGGGATCATCCCCCCTTAAAACAATCCCAACCTCCTTTTTGTGGTACTGAACCTTTTGATTAAATTTCATAGAGATCCATACACTTAAACTAAAGTTATTGTCCGGAAACGAAGAAGACGACGTGATAGCAATATACGACCCCATAACACTAGAACGGTTAAAGTGATGCCACCAAAGTTCAAACTTGATCTGTGTTTTGTGGTCATTAGCATTGTGTATAAGTTTCATAACATTTGGTTGAGGCAAACTAAAGTTAGAGAACGGAAACAAAAAATTCAGCAATTTTTCCATTTGTAAAGGGGCACAACTCTAAAACAGATAATGTGACGCCACCAAAATTCAAACTTGATCTGTGTTTTATGGTAATAAGCATTCTGTATAAGTTTCATAACATTTAGTTGAGGCAAACTAAAGTTAGAGATTGGAAACCAACTTTGGGACGTACGTACGTACGTACGTTCAAGGGTAAATCTTAATACCCCCTCCACTACGACGGGGGCATAAAAATCCTAGGCGAAGACCCTAAAATTTAGTTTGTCATGTATTGTTATGTTACCTGTAGCCCCTTCCTCTTCTTTATCTTCTTCCTTGGTTGGACTCGTACTTGGCAGGGAAACAGTTGGTGTGGCTGTTTCAACACTTGGAGTAGATGATGAAGTCATTACAACTGTATCTTTTAATGTTTCTTGTGATCCTATAATCAAAAATATAAATATTTTATAAACAAGTCTACTGTCTTGCATCTGTTTGCTTCAGCAATTGTAACAATTAGTATTTTGTCTATGATGCTACTTTATATGATGTCACGACTCAAGTCTTGCAAAAAAAGATTATTGGTTCATATGTTAACAATTATCAACATGCATGATCAATGATGCTTTAATTGTTTAATAATTGCTTAAAAAATGTTTGAAGTATCATTCTTAAAAGTATGAAATATCACTATATATATCAAGATATAATGTCAAACAAGTTTTTTTTCAAGAAATTCCTGTCAGTGGTTTAAGAAAAAATTCTCTGTAGAGCAAAAGTGCATGCGTCTTGTTTGATTTTTCACAAAAATCACAGTAAAATAAAAAGTTTTTCCTGTATGTCGACATTTTAAAATTTTCTCGTGTTAATTGGAAACAATCATTCAATTTTCAACCATGGCCTCATTAATTTCAAACAGTATTTTATGAGAATCCATGACACGGTGTTATCCCGAGGCTGTTTTAATGTCTTTTTACAAAGACACTATATATCAGTTTTTGCCACTTGAGATCAGTATTCCAGCTAGGTTGTTTTCACAGGGCGGTCCACCCGCCCTTTCCTGAGTGCCGCCCTGTGCCCCTTTTCTGACGCCGTGTCTTTTTTATGACGCCCTGCCCTTTTTTGTATGTCCATGCCTTTATTGCCATAATATTTTGATGAAAATACAATTATTCTACCTGTCTTCATATTTATGACAAGTTTATGACCCTCAGCTAATTAACATTTATAGCAGGTGTAATAAGTTGTGATTACAGATGATCCGCTTATCGACATCGGATGGGTCATTAATCTGTTAATTAAACTTCATAATTGACCATTGTAATAATTTTTCTCATTAAATTCAGCCAGTCAGCATTTCAATTTCAATATTTCTCAAAAGATGACAATTAGCTTTTGATGTATCCGTAGATCGTCTGTTGTAATGTCAAAGATTTTTTTTAGACCTACCATGCATCAAAAATTTTCTAGTGAAGACTGAGCTGGTAATGTATGTCCTTGCATGGTCCCTTTAATACTGTTACCTAAAATAAGGTTGATTTTCGTCTAGCGTAAAAGTGACTAAACCCCCTCAAAACTCCTAGCTGAAACCCCTGCAGTTATCATAAGACAATGTTTGACATCCCTTTTTTGAAATATCAATTATCGTTTCAAAGTGCCCTTTTCATGATTGGCTCCCTACCCTTTTGAAATTCTAGCTGGAACACTGGAGATGCTATAAAAGTTGCCATCCTTTCTTAAGTTTCCATCAAAATGCAATCTATATTTTTGTACCCTCTTATTATATAAAATTGCTTCTTATGACATGTTATGTTATCATGGTTATGATCATAAGAAAATATAGACGAACTTAAATTGTAATCAACTTATGTTAAATAGGACAAATTTCTACTACTACAACATGTACAATGTAAGTGACTAAATAGACCATAATCCTTTACTAAGTATTCAGAGTACAAAATTTGTGCTATGAACACCGAATCCAGTATTTTGATTGATTGAATTTTGACTTTCAAGTAAGATAATCATACTGGAAAGTCCTATGACCCCATGACCTCGTCAAATCTAAAGGCAAAATAAAATATGGTGACCAAGGAATGCAAAAACATAATAAAATTATCAAAGCACCATCATAACAGAAGAAATTTGTGCATGAGAAATCAACGGTGACAAAATGGGTAAATGAACACACTACAATGAATAATAAAGTATTAGTTGCTAAAGAGCGGGTCTGCGTTTCTCATAAAATCTTTTAACTAAAATTGATCGTAAGTCATGACATTTTAGGAATAATCTACAAATGTAGTTTTACGATGGCAGTACATCAATTTTACTCATAAGATTTTTTGTGAATCCTACCTTAAGGCCTAGAACTTATAGTATACATGTTAAAGATCACATCCTGTATTACTCATATCCTTTTTAAAATGAAGGAGAAAAGGCTTCAACATGAAAAATCACTTAATGGAATCAATGTCCTTTGTTTTGACTGAATCCCTGAGAAATGGACTAAATCATGTAAATGATGGCCATGTTTATAGATTTATTATTTTGAACATGAAATACAAAACCTCCTGCAGATATTACTAAAAATAGAGAAAATTTTCACACCTGAATAAATCATGTTCAATTAAAAGGACAGACCTACCAAGTTTTTGATATTTGTTACACACTGCCTTTGTATTACTAGATAAAATTGTGAGGTTTGATGCAACCAAGTGAGGTTTGTGAAAGTGAGTTTATGTCATAGAGCACATTTGGCTTGTGAAATAGTTCAGTTTTCAATACACCAATAAGACAGATAGTGTGCAAGTGCATTTTACAATACTTCAAAAAGATGGAAAGTGCTTAAAAAATGTGAACATGGTTTCATTCATCACTAACAGAAATGCACCAGATCTACATGTATACCAAAAGCACATTTTTTTCTTTTTCAAATCACCAGAAAAGTTGTTTTCCTGTCCCAATAATGATTAGACTACTTGGGTATATTTTTCTAGCTATGTCCCAGTAATACGAGGCCAAAAAATTAAAAAATAAAGGCAACAGTAGTACATGTATACCGCTGTTCGAAACTCATAAATCGATAGAGATAAAAACAAATCCGGGTTACAAACTAAAACTGAGGGAAACGCATCAAATATAAGAGGAGAACTACTACACAACAGAAACTCAACATTAAAATGTAACACACACAGAAACGAACTATAATATAACAATGACCATTTTCCCGACTTGGTACAGGACATTTTAATAAAAAAATGGTGGGTTGAATCTGGTTTTGTGTGTTTACTGAACCCCACCTTAGTTTTTTCCATAAGTTTTGGGAGCTGACCCTATCTTTTTCAGAAAATTGGGAAACTGAAAACTGTGTTAAAACATATCTGATTGACAAAAACAACTTTGACAAATAGCTGCATTACCAGAAATATAGGTAAATACAATAGAGAATCTCTGTCCAGAACTAAATAAAACTCTTTCCGAGTTTGCAGATAAAAAAAGTAGACCAACTGACCCTATTTTTCTCAATATATATTAGTTACAGTAAACTCATAACCACTTTTTTGGCCTGAGCTAATTATAAAAGCTAGAGAAATTACTTGTTTCTCTCCAAATCCAAATTACTATAGCGAAGAGGAGTGAAAGCCAAATTAGCAAAGAGGAGTGAAAGCCAAATTAGCGAGAGTGAAAGCCGAATTAGCGAAGAGGAGTGCTAGGTGTTTACCTATAGAAGTTTGTGACAGTGATGAAGTCACACTGGTTACTGTTGTCTCTGCCTCACCTGACATCGACGGAGGACTCATACGCCCACTCACTGGAGATGAATTTTGTTTCCGATTTAGGACATCTTTATAACACTTTGAACACATCCCATCAAATGCATCATTACCATAGAAACCACAGCCAGCTTTGCACAATACGACTGATGGAAGATTTTGATTACCATTCTGTTCCATAGACGACATGATTCAACAAGATCCTCCTATGAAAAAAGAAAGTGGCATTAAACATCAATCAATCCTGTAAAATAGAAAGTGGCGATAAACATCAATCAATCCTGTAAAATAGAAAGTGGCGATAAACATCTATCAATCCTGTAAATAGTAAGTGGCAATAAACATCAATCAATCCTGTAAAAAAGAAAGTGGTAATAAACATCAATCAATCCTGTAAAATAGAAAGTGGCAATAAACATCAACCAATTTTGTAAAATAAGGATTACATTACATTCCGTATTGTACGTGTTCATCTACATGAAATACTGATACTGTACAGGCCTACCACCATGCATTAGGAGGCGGTAACCAGTACATTTAGCCTTCTCTGCTACTGATACATTTTGTAAGTACTGAATTTAGATAATAGGTATTCATGGAATATATTGAAAAGTACCACCTACAAATTACAAAGCATCAGTCAACATGTAAGATAATGATACATGTACCTACAGGGATGATTCCAGGTGTTTTTAAATGGGTCCCTTGACCATCAAATTGGGAATTTTTTATGCATAAAATCTAAGATGAAATAACACTATTTTCCTGTAAAAACTGAAAATGTATATTAAGTTTCGCCTGTACACTGATGTAAGAAGTTGTAACATTTTGAATAATTCTGGACGGGTTACTGATTATGATATATAATAATATGATAACCAGATCGCTTGACAGTTATTGGATTGAGACCAGGGAAGTTGTTACATTAAGATCATTGCGCATGATGCACCATCTTTTGTAGACTTGCATACATGTAGATGATAATCTTAAAATGTAGCTATGGTAACCTAGGCCTTTTACAATAACATATACATGTATATCAGCTAACATAAACCACTGAAAAAAATCATCCATTGGTATTTTTTTCAACAATAGGTCATCTTAAAGACTTTATAAATTTAATTTGATTCAAAGTGATTTCAAATTGAACTGGCCAATTGTCGAATTCAGAAAAGCAATTACGAAAGTTTATATACTTAATTGATAAGATATTTTTGTGATTTTTGCTTGCTGTTTATATAATTAATATGTAGAAGGTTGGCATAGTTTTACTTTAGGTGTCCCCCTAAGAAACAGGAAATTAAAGCATTGAACCATTGCATTTTAATATTATTTGGATCATCTTCACAACTTTTGAAACAGTTCCATAATGTTGACATTGTATTAATAATTTCATGAATGATCTATCATCCACATGTATTTTCAAAAAACGCTCAAACTTATGTCTTTTGAGGAAATAGAGCCTGACAAAATATAAAATAATTTCTTTCACAAATCAAGTTTTCATCATATTATATAACTGGCTCTGCTGGGCGATCCTTTTACGAGATCGGCACCCATTAACATTTATTCATCAATGTTATATCAAAATTTGAATTTGCCTCTCTGCCGAGGTCTGTTTTAATGACACCCATCTTTTTATCGACCTGCTGGACGATCTGCTTTTACGAGATCAAATACTCCCATAACATTTTCATCAATTGAATATGACTGCTAAAATCGTTTACCACATGTTGACATAATTTAATTGTTGTTAATAAAGTGCGATCGTTGACAGCATTCTTATCCGGATTTTAAAATGTTTTGATGACAAACATTGAAAAATTATAGTTGCCTAAATCATTGACGGAAACATTCCGAAAATATAGATTTTTATTTTATTTTTCCTGAATTAGGAATTTATATTCACATAAATTTTTTTTGGGCCGCCCGCCGATTTACGGGCCGCTAAGCAGCCCTAAACTATATAGTGGAATCATCCCTGACCTAGATGACTGTAGCTTTGCAATTAAAACTTTTTGATATATATACATGTATATATTCCTCTTTCCTAAAATATTCACCGACTAAGATCTGATCTAATTCATTTTTTTTCACAGATAGTAAAGTTGTCTTTAATTTGTAGAGTGTCAAACTGTTTCCCTCTCATTATTAATTAAAATACATGGTATTTAGGTCTAAATTCATACATGTCATATATATATTTATTTTGTTTATGTAAATAAGTCAAAAGAAAAAGAAACCCAAAAAATTTTCAATATTAACTCAAGTCAAGAGCTGTTTTGTTTCATTTAAACATGTGTAGATTATATTAGTCATGTTAGTATTGAATGATAATCACACAATACATTTAAATGAACTTTAATGGATACATTCAATGCCAATTAGGTTTATTATTCTGTGCTTGGTCTTCAAAATAGTTTTTGATAACTAGCTTTGTAAACAGAAAGCTTGGAATTATGATATAGTAAACACAAGACAATACATGTACATACATTGAATGTACAAATTGTAAGACAAAAAAGAGAATTCATTTTCACAGATTGATATCGATAATAATTTCACCTCTGTTTTTTTTCTCTCCTAAATCCAAATAATTTTGAGGATTTTCCCCATAAATTCAACACTTATTATTCATTTTTTAGTACACGAGTATAATAGTCAGTATACATTTTTGTACACAAGTATAATAGTCAGTATACATTTTTGTACAACACGACAAAATAGGGACAAAGGTACCAAAGGCAAATGAAATAATAAGGGAAAATGGATTTGATTTTGATTTTTTGGTGTTTTAAGACACTTTTCAGCACCACTTTTGGGCTAATTCGTGGCAGCCAGTTTTTATTGGTGGAGGAAACTGGAGTGCCCGGAGAAAACCACAAGTGAAAATGGATGAACAGACCAAGGGTAAACAACTACATAAATGATCTAGTGGAGGCTAATGAGATGTGTACAGACAAACCATAACTTGTGCAAATTATGCTTTTATCATGTTTACTAACTTCTTTTGAGAGAACAACTTTTAACCCCTCCCCCCTAAAAAAATCAAAATAAGTTGAGATTGAGATTGAAAAATTAACCTGGTTGTAAATGGTTAGTGTTTTGTGTCAATAGAGTATTATAAAACTTAAGAATACAGATTTTACATAAATATTATGAATATTTACAGTGACATCTTTGTTCCTGTTTATCAGCTGTTTATTGTCATGTTCAAATTTTAATGTTTTAAATTGTTTATCACCAACTATATACGTTCTACCTAATTATTAATATAAAAACTTTCACAAGTTATAAAGATCCTTTAATTTTTGGAAAAACGTAATATTCAATAATTTGATTGATGGAAATTTTCACTCCTGGAATGAATGATCAGATGCTTCATGATAAAGCAATATTGAACGTTTGACGACCATTTCCGGGACGGTTGTGATCATTACTTTGCTGAAAACGTTCAGTTTACCTCCTGTAAATCCTCCAAATTGATAATTGCGTTCCTTCTCCAGATTATTTTGTCTGCTCCTTCAGGGAATCTCTTCATCGACCCACCCTTTTCATTGTTTGTTTGGTATTTCTGATATCAAAATGGCGACCTTGTTATTACATTGTGGCCTTTTTTCATTGATTGCGGTTAAATATGGTGAAAAAAATTCTCTTTGTTATACTCAATTTAAAGATTAATATACCAATACTGCACACATTAATTTTCAAACCTGGAGGTATCTGTTTTACTTGAAATTATTTAGATGTTCTCTCTGTTACGTGTAGACTTTTATCCTCAATGTGTCACCCTCTTATTATTGTTATCACGTGACACGAATTGAATTACTCTATTGGCCGAATCCTCTTCCAAAAGGAGGCATAAAGGAATGACGTACGGGATACACCTTGGAAATGTGTCATCTATTTTTAGTCACAATTCTATAAATAACCATAAACGAAGTTCCGACTCACTTTTCCGACTATTCTGGAATGAATTGTAAACAACAAAACAACATCTACATATAGGAACAGTAGTAGATAGTTTTTTTGTTATCTAACAAAGAAAAAAAAACCAGAAATGCAGGATGTGTTAATCTGTTTAAAAATACATCCGATAATCATGATAATGTAAGGTTAATCTGAGACTACTATAACACATGTGACGATGTGTTAGGGAGCTACCATTTGATTTTTATGGGGGGGGGGGGGGGGGGGGGGGGGGCTAGGATGAAATTTGAAAAAAATAGGCAGGACAGGAGTTTTGAGTAAAAAAAAAGGCAGGATGAGATTATTTGCAAAAAAAGGCAGGATGTCAATTTATGTAAAAAAAAAAGTCAGGATAAACTAAAAAAAAAAGCAGGACCGAATAGAGTGAAAAATAAAAAGGCATGACCGCATAGAGAGAAAAATAAAAAGGCAGGACAAAATTTTTCATCCTAGCCCCCCCCCCCCATAAAAATCAAATGGTAGCTCCCTTATAGTAGTCTCAGGGTTAATCGATGTCATTTTTCTGGTATCTACTGAATCACAGTGCACTGAATATTATTAGAGAATGGCTTTTGGAACTAGTGCATTTTCTCTGATAATTCGTTTCATAAATTAAAAATACACAAAAGAATTGAAAAGAGAAGACAATCATGGAATACTGAACAAAAACCTCACAATAGAATCAACGTACAATAAAACAGTGGCGGATCAAAAAGGGGGGGGGGGGGGGGGGGGGCTAGGATCAAATTTGAAAAAAATAGGCAGGACAGGAGTTTTGGGTAAAAAAAAGGCAGGATGAGATTATTTGCAAAAAAAGGCAGGATGTCAATTTATGTAAAAAAAAAAGTCAGGATAAACTAAAAAAAAAAGGCAGGACCGAATAGAGTGAAAAATATAAAGGCATGACCGCATAGAGAGAAAAATAAAAAGGCAGGACAAAATTGTTCATCCTAGCCCCCCCATAAAAATCAAATGGTAGCTCCCTTATAGTAGTCTCAGGGTTAATCGATGTCATTTTTCTGGTATCCACTGAATCACAGTGCACTGAATATTATTAGAGAATGGCTTTTGGAACTAGTGCATTTTCTCTGATAATTCGTTTCATAAATTAAAAATACACAAAAGAATTGAAAAGAGAAGACAATCATGGAATACTGAACAAAAACCTCACAAAAGAATCAACGTACAATAAAACAGTGGCGGATCAAAGGGTGGGGGGGGGGGGGGGGGGGGGGGGCTAGGATGAAATTTGAAAAAAATAGGCAGGACAGGAGTTTTGAGTAAAAAAAAAGGCAGGATGAGATTATTTGCAAAAAAAGGCAGGATGTCAATTTATGTAAAAAAAAAAGTCAGGATAAACTAAAAAAAAAAGGCAGGACAGAATAGAGTGAAAAATAAAAAGGCATGACCGCATAGAGAGAAAAATAAAAAGGCAGGACAAAATTTTTCATCCTAGCCCCCCCCCCCCATAAAAATCAAATGGTAGCTCCCTTATAGTAGTCTCAGGGTTAATCGATGTCATTTTTCTGGTATCTACTGAATCACAGTGCACTGAATATTATTAGAGAATGGCTTTTGGAACTAGTGCATTTTCTCTGATAATTCGTTTCATAAATTAAAAATACACAAAAGAATTGAAAAGAGAAGACAACAACAAAAAATTTAAACAATCAAAACTGAAAACCGAAACCAAACTTGAAATATTTATGTTTTTCTTAATTGGTTGCTGTTCTTGGCCTTTTCTTCTTGTTTTAAGGAGTTTAAGAGGGCTGTGGAGAGAGAATGCTCAATTCGCTAATTCGTAGATTGTTATTGTTTTGCCTGTATATTTGTGATTCCTAGTCTTTTATATACAGTTATCATAGAGTTGACTAACTTTCTTGTAAATATTTTATCAGGGGTGGGTCCAGCCATTTAAAAAAAGGGGGGGGTCCAAGCATATGTCCCTATTCAAAAGCATTGATCGTCAAAAATAGGGGGTTCCAACCCCCTTGATCCGCCACTGTTTTATTGTACGTTGATTCTTTTGTGAGGTTTTTGTTCAGTATTCCATGATCTAGTCTCAGTGACCGGATTAGGAGGCTATAGTAAGAGCCGGCTGAGATCTAACGCTATACATTTTCATGTGCCTGTCCTTAATAAGAACCATATATAGACATGCCGAGTGGTTGTCTTTTATAGTAGTCCTACTTATTATTTTTTTTTTTTTTTTGGGGGGGGGGGGGGGGGGGGGGGATGGTGGGGAGAGAAAGAGGAGTGTCAATTTTGTGAATTTTAGTTGTTTCTGTTTTGGTTTAAGATTCCTGATCATTATACATTTTCATGTTGACCTGTAGATGTCGTTTGGATATGTATGTGCAACTGAGTTGCTGCCACGGTCTTAATTAATATAGTCTGATTGATGCATACGCAACACCTTCGTTATTTCATACACGTCATAGAACAACAAAAAAGGAAGTAACATACCAACAAAACACAAAAACACAATTAAACACAAATTCAAAGTACCCCCCCCCCCCCCACACACACACACCCTAAAAAAACAAAAATAAACAAACCCAATAAACAACAGTATCTTCACCATGTTCACTGAGAAGTTACACGATTGCTTAATCCGTTCATAGGTGCTTGAGGACAGGACCCTGTGTTGAGCCCCCCACAGTCCCTCCCATTATAATGTTAATTACTATCAATATGATCGGCAACGTGCAACTCAACTATAGAGCGCGGGGCACGTTGATAGTAAACATGTATATAGTCAGAGTACAAATATGGCATATTGGTATTCAGATGGTACAAATAACTGATATATATATTGTAAAATCGGGGAGCTATGATAATGAAATGGAGCCGGGACTGGGAAAAAGGGGGGGGGCTGTCCTCAAGCACCAATTGAGTTGCTGCCACGGTCTTAATTAATATAGTCTGATTGATGCATACGCAACACCTTCGTTCATTCATACATGTGATAGAACAACAAAAAAAGCAAGTAACATATACCAACAAAACACAAAAACACAATCAAACACAAATTCAAAGTTTCCTCCCCCTAAAAAAAAACAAAAATAAACAAACCCAATAAACAACAGTATCTTCACCATGTTCACTGAGAAGTTACACGATTGCTTAATCCGTTCATATGTGCTTGAGGACAGGACCCTGTGTTGAGCCCCCCCCCCCTCCCCCACAGTTCCTCCAATTATACATGATAATTACTATCAATATGATCGGCAACGTGCAACTCAACTATAGAGCGGGCACGTTGATAGTAAACATGTATATAGTCAGAGTAAAAATATGGCATATTGGTATTCAGATGGTATACAAATAACTGATATATATATATTGTAAAATCGGGGAGCTATGATAATGAAATGGAGCCGGGACTGGGAAAGGGGGGGGGGTGCTGTCCTCAAGCTAGCACCTATGGATCCGTTGTTTACTAAACGTCAACCAGTTGCAGGCTAATGGAATACAACATTATTATATACTGCCTCACCATTGAAGTTAAGTTTAAGTTCTCTGTAGGACCAAGCACTCCGAATGATCTGCCAACAACTTTTTACACTTATTTACTTTTGACATTGAGGAATATCCACCCCTTTTTTCCACACTGTTTCGTGTAGGAAGGCTTCATTGGAGTTTACATCAATTCAAGATAATAGCTGACTATGCGGTATGGGTTTTGCTCATTGTTGAAGGCCGTACGGTGACCTATAGTTGTTAACTTCTATGTCATTTGGTCTCTGGTGGAGTGTTGTCTCATGGGCACGTATACCACATCTTATTATTATAAAAACACTAAAACTGGGTAAAAATCGCCAATAAAGAGCAATAACTGCAACAAGGACCCGGTGAACGATTTCGATCTTCCGTCTTATTAGTAGATCTTGTCTTGCTGATCACTTTTGCTTATTTAAGTTTTCATCTATCTATAATTTTTTAAAAGATATTAGACAAAAACACATAAAATTGGTAAATAAAGGCAACAGTAGTATACCGCTGTTCAATAGTCATAAATCGATTAAGCGAAAACAAATCCGGGTTACTAACTAAAACCGAGGGAAACACATCAAAATCGTCATTAATGAGCATAATTCAAATAAGGAATCATTGGACGATTTCAGCAATGTTAAATTGTTTGTAGATTTTGTCTTGTTGATCTTTTTTGATTTTATTAAAGTTTCCATCTATCTATTATTGTTCTTTGAGATATTAGACAAAAACGCAAAAAGATATTTGTCATTTAAGGGCAATAACTCCTTAAAGAAGTAGTTTGACAGTTTTGATGGTACAAACAATATGTAGATCTCGATCATCATACTACACATTTTTGCCTTGTAAGATCTTTCTATTCATACCGGTTTTCAAGATAATAGACAAGTTTTGCATTTACCCCTATGTTTATTTTTAGCCATGTCGGACATGTTGGTTGACAAGCGGGTCATCGCCCTCATTTTTTAAACTATATACCTCAATGATGCTTTTGTCCAAGCTTGGTTAGATTTGGCCAAGTAGTTTCAGAGGAGAAGATTTTTGTAAAATTGACGAACCTGCTCACAACAGATGAAAATTGACAAAGCTTCTGACAACATACGAAAATTGACAAACTTATTGATAACAGACGAAAATTGACAAGCCTGCTGACAACAGATGAAAATTGACAAACAGGCGTGAATTAACGAACCTGCTGACAACAGACGAAAATTGACGAACCTGCTGACAACAGATGAATATTGACAAACCTGCTGACAACAGATGATAATTGACGAACCTGATGACAACAGATGATAATTGACGAACCTGATGACAAGACGAAAATTGACGAACCTGCTGACAACAGATGAAAATTGACGAACCTGCCAACAACAGATGAAAATTGACAAATCTGCTGACAACAGATAACAAACCACCAACTGGTAACAACAGATGACAAACGACCAACCTGCTGACAACAATTGACCAACGACCAACCTGCTGACAACAGATGACCAACGACCAACCTGCTGACAACAGATGACAAACTACCAACCTGCTGACAACAGAAAACAAACGACCAACCTGCTGACAATTGATGACAAACTACCAACCTGCTGACAAAGAGGGACGAAAGATACCAGAGGGACAGTCAAACTCATAGATCGAAAACAAACTGACAACGCCATGGCCAAAAATAAAAAGACAAACAGACAAATAATAGTACAGGTGACACAACATAGAAAACTAAAGACTAAGCAACACGAACCCCACCAAAAACTGGGGGTGATCTCAGGTGTTCCGGAAGGGTAAGCAGATCCTGCTCCACATGTGGCACCTGTCGTGTTGCTTATGTTATTAAAAATCTGGTAAATAGTCTAATTCACAGGTGACAAACGACCAACCTTCTGACCACAGATGATAAACTACCAACCTTCTGACAACAGATGACAAACTACCAACCTGCGGACAACAGATGACAAACGACCAACCTGATTACAACAGATGACATACCACTAACCTACTGACAACAGATGACAAACTACCAACCTGCTGACAACAGATAACAAACGACCAACCTGCTTAGAACAGATGACAAACGACCAACCTGCTGACAACAGATGACAAACGACCAACCTGCTGACAGATGACAAACGACCAACCTGCTGACAACAGATGACAAACTACCAACCTGCTGACAACAAATGACAAACTATACACCTGCTGACAACAAATGGCAAACTACCAACCTGATGACAACAGATGACAAATTACCAACCTTCTGACAACAGATGACAAACGACCAATCTGCTAACAACAAATGACAAACTACCGACCTACTGACAACAGATGACAAACGACCAACCTGCTGACAACAGATGACAAACGACAAACCTGCTGACAACATATGAAAAACGACCAACCTGCTGAAAACAGATCAAAATCGACCAACCTAATTGCTACAATTTTCAAAATATTGGCCGAAATTGCAGTTTGAGTTCTATGTTCTAATTTTTGGCACAGTGACCATGTTGGTTGGTAGACCAGGGCAAAAAAATTACATTTAGTATTGATATATTGAGCAGTTTCAGAGGAGAAGATTTTAAAAGAAAAGTTTACAGACAACAGAGGCAAACAACAGACGTGGGACACATACAAAGGGCAATAGAAATATGAGATAAAAAGTAAAATGTTATTCTTTCTAATCTTTTATTTGATGATCCTTTCAATGATATATTTATACTGCTTGTAGCACTCATATTGCAAACGTAAACAACATTACAAACATTCACATTCTTTTATGAGGGTCTAGAAGGGGGTTTATAGAATAGAGAATAATGGACAAACAGTGCAGAATTAAGGGCAAATTATATAAAGAATAGAGAAAAATAGGCAAAAAAAAAATAAAGAAAAGAGAATAATGGGGTGCTAAAATATAAAGAATAGAGAATAATTGGCAAAACTTGTAAAGAATATAGCAATGAAGACCCCCCTTTTCCTGACCCTCTTTTATCTATTTACAGCAACTAAACAATTTTCTGGTTATATCTTTCACACAAAAAAGTTTTGTCTGCTAAAAGGTTAAATTCCATTTTTCTATAAACTATTCTGTTAGTTTACAAGGATTAAAAGCCATTATTTTCTACATACATTATGACGTGTATACATTCATATGCATTAATTCATCCTGTGGATTCATTATCATTCGTGGAATACCAATTTTTGCGGATTTCGTTGGTATAGGTGAACCATGAATTTTAATGTTCATAGAGAAAATCCTGCACCCGGAGGCGGGCATCAGCTGGCCCCTGAATAAAAATGTGTACTAGTGCATATAAGCCTATTGAAAATACAAAAGTATTTTCAAAATTTTCAATAGGCTTATATGCACTAGTACACATTTTTATTCAGGGGCCAGCTGAAGCCCGCCTCCGGGTGCGGGATTTTCTCGCTGTGTTGAAGACCCATTGGTGGCCTTCGGGTGTTTTCTGCTCTTTGGTCGGGTTGTTGTCTCTTTGACATATTCCCCATTTCCATTCTCAATTTTAGTCTAAGGCAAAACCATGAAATCAAATATCCACGAAAATATGATTATTTCTGAATCCACGAAAATTGGTACCCACAAAAAATTAAATGACTATCCACAGTAATTCATATGTAAATTCATAATTTTTTGTTTTTATTTATCATTGTGATTGATAAAAAATGGGACAAAATGTGACCTTGACATTATTAAGATTTCTAGAATGTTCCATACAAATACATGTAATGCTATAAAATTTTAAAATGTCAGTTTCTAATTTTGCTTCACTAATCCCTTGCAATTTTTGCAATAATAAAAACATCGTAAAAACTTCTTTCAGAGAAAACCCATTGTACCCTTCTTAAATCAAACCTTCCCAAATAACTGATAAAAACAATAAAGATATGTTTAAAACATGGAATTTTTTAAATTAAATCTATGCTCGTGTCTGTCTAAACCTGCACTGTGAGCTTTTGATCCATAAGGAAAGTCTTGTGATTACTTTCAGATGAAGAACAACAATAAAAGCACTGTTCTTTTGCTTTGGTCTTTGTCAAAAACTCTATCCCATGTAAATGAAACTAAATTATGTTTTTGTAGTTAATTTCTTTTATGTAACTTGTTGCACAAGGCTAGATTGGTATTCAAATCTGAAATTTGAAGGAAATAAATCTAGATATCAGGTCAGAGATGTGGAAATATCATGCCATACTTGTTCCCCTAGCTTATAAAAAATCTCCTGATAAGTAAATATATTCCGACTGCTAGTCACAGACAAGTAATTTATGTAAAAGCACAACCAGTAGAGAAAAGTTAAAACTTTTGCCAGGCAAATAGATTTTTGCATAGAAGTAGTCTATGGAAATAATCTTTATATTCCAACGCCTGACTTGTGTTGAGAAAAATATTTTTCTACTAAAAACATGCTGAAAATAAAATGCTCCGCTGGTCGCAGCTTGATACGACCCCTGAACAGTTGGGGCAAGTATGGACACAACATTCAAGCTTGATACAGCACTGAATTTGGATTGTGATTAAATATTTGACACAGCATAGGTTTCTGACACAGAATGAATGTGGTCTAAGAACTTAAAAATTTTTAATTTACCTATTGAAATCATATCATTATTATTTGCTTTTATATATAAATCAGAAATAACCAATTTAAAATGAAAAATTTTAAAGAAAAAAAAAGGAAAAAAAGGAAGAAAAAAAATCCCCCCCCCCCAATTTTTTGAACCCCCTTATGATTCATCACCCCCAAACTCAATCCCAGCCTTCCCTTTGTGGTCTGGTATCTTGCAGTACAATTTCAGAGAGATCCATACACTTGAACACAAGTTATTGTCTGGAAACTAGAAAAATGCTTGTTTTTTGGCCCCTTTTTGGCCCCAAATTCCTAAACGTTTAGGGCAATTACCCCCAAACTCAAACCCAGTTTTCCCTTTGTGATATGAAACCTTGTAGTACAATTTCATAAAGATCCATACACTTACACACAAGTTATTGTCATGAAACTAGAAAAATGCTTGTTTTTTGGCCCTTTTTTGGCCCGTAATTCCTAAAATTTAGAGGCAATTACCCCAAATTTTTCCCAGCATTCCCTTTGTGATATGGAACCTTGTGGTACAATGTCAGAGAGATCCATACACTAACACACAAGTTATGTCTGGAAGTTACAAAAATGCTTATTTTGGCCCCTAATTCCTTAACTGTTGGTACCATAACCCCCCAAATCAATCCCCACCTTCCTTTTGAGGTATTGAACCTTATGGTAAAATTTCATAGAGATCCATTCACTTAAACTAAAGTTAGAGTGCGAAACCAATGTGTCTTCGGACGACGCCGCCAACGTCATAAAAATATACGACTGCAAAAATTTTTTTTGCGGTCGTATAAAAATTAAGGAAAAAATGATGAATCAATCTTGTTTGACATTTCAGCTAAAGAAGCTCATTTACAAACTATAGGCTCTAAAGAGCATGTGTTGCTCACCTAGGTCTATGACTGTGCATTATCAGCAAAAGGGCAAAAACACAACAAATTGGTAAAAATCTTCATTAAAGAGCAGTAACTCCATTGAAGAGTCAACTAATGATTTCAATTTTAGGCTTACTTGTAGATCTTGTCTTGCTGATAAATTTTGCTTTTAAAAGTTTCAATCCATCTTTTATTGTTTTTAAGTACGTATTAAGGAAACACACAAATTGGCAATTTAAGTGCAATAACCCCAAGAAGGCGAAAAACTATATCAGCCATGTAACCTTATTGTAGATCTTGTCTTGTTTTTTTTTCTTTTTAATTCTCTCTATCTATAACATTTTCAAGATAATGGACAAAATTGAAAACAATTGGTAAAATTTGTCTTTTAGGGGCAATAACTTCAATAAGAAGTCATCTGACAGTTTTGATGTAAAAGGTATATATATCAACATTCTAAACAGATTTTCTCTATTCATTTCATAGCAGTTTTTTGGATAATAGACAAAACTTTGATTTTTACCCAATTGTTTTTCTTTTAGGCCATTCATATTGGTTGGCATGCATGTCATTGGACACATTTCTTAAACTAGATACCCCAACAATGATTGTGGTCAAGTTATGTTAAATTTGGCCATTATTTTCTTGTACAAATTAACCAACCACAACTACAATGGAAGACAGATGCCAAGTTATGAGAAAAGCTCACTTAGCCCTTTGGTCCAGGTGAGCTAAAAATGTGGTCATAAAACCAATCTATACATTTTACAATGAATTCATGTTTTATTTACATTCAATGATAAAAATTTGCATTACTTATATATATATATTTATAATTATGCATACTTATCACAGAGCTTATACAATTTATACACATGAATGATGAAACAAAAATCTTCAAATAAAAAACTGAATTGTCTCCCTTGCTTCAGGTTAAAAAATAACTTGGTAAACGAAAAAAATAGCCATAGGAGGAGGAAAAAGGTTACAAAAGAAAGGGGGTTCCTTCCCCTGATCTCTTCATCTTAATCTGACAATGGGAATATTTTTGCTATATTTTCCAGTAGGAATTAAACATATTAAAAAATCTCAAAGCATTAGTACAAAAACCAAAACAATATGGAATGTTTCAAGTGAAATAATTGGCAGATCCTTAATGGTCCCTTTTAAAGTCATATAAATATATATAAATCAAAGAAAGAAACACTCCCCTCCCATTTTTCAAAAAAAAATTGTTATTCACTTCTCAATATTGTTGTCATATTTTCTTTTGCTTTATGCATTTAATTAGTGCTAATAATTATGAAAATTTCATTGGCAGATCCTTAAGGGTCCATTTTAAACATTTTGTGCTAATTCAAATCCCCCTTAAGACAGTACAGTTTTTGATTTGGACATCTTGCAACAGCATGAACACAATTATACACTGTTCCCGATAGAATTAAACCAGCAAGTATTATCTTTTTTGATAAATAGTCTTTTTGACAATTACTGACTTGATTCTGTTATTACACATTTTTAATGCAAGTTGTGTCCCTTTACCCATCTTAGACTGGTTCTACTGTATACCAAACCACATATGCTGCTGATCATGCAAAACATGATTAGTTGAAAATGATATATACTGGTAGACATTTTAACAAATATTTAATGAAAAATAAATATTGTTATAGGACAAAATTTATTTTAAAAAAGATTAAATGAAATTAAAAGATTTGAAAACAGATTACACACAGATAAAATTTCTCTTTCCTCTTGCTCTTCATTTGCAATGAAAATTTAGTTCTTCGAAAGGGAAACAACTTGTAAAATATTGATTGCTAAAAACAGGATCAATTGCGGATTTGGAAAATTAATTTTCGACTAAATAAAAATAAAGAAACTGAAAAAATAAGAATAATGATGGATTCTTATTTTTGAAGGGGTTTGTAAAGGGGGATATGTGCATGGACCCAATTAGAAACAAAAAGACCATTTCAACGATGAACAAAAAACATTAAATAGCTAGGACCTTGCTTTTCCATCAATATGCATGAAACACAGTGAATAACAAGCTCCAAGCACGAAAACAAGTTAAATGAAAATTGCAAACACTTTGCATGAAAATAACCCTTTACTCTCCTATTTGAAAAATTGCATTGTGTCAATTTATTCTAGAATTTACGTTAAACAATTCCATGTAAAACTTTTCTCAAATCAGAATCCCCCATTATACATTATATTTACTATATTTAGGGGGATAAGATTGAAAATGTAATCTGGATAAGATTGAAAATGTAAATCTGAACCCAGTCACATTTGAAAAATTCTTCAAACTCCCGAACACCGGTACCCTTGTTTAAGTACAGTCCATTTTAAGTACAGTCCATCAACTTTCAAAAATATTTTAAGATAACAGGAATGTGGAGGAATCAGCATTAAATTTTAATGTAAATATATCAATTGGGGCAGAAATTTTAATTTTAGGTAACAGGAATTTGAATTACAATAGTTTGAGATAACAGGTATTTGAAATACAATAGTTTGAGATAACAGGAATTTGAAATACAATAGTTTCAGATAACAGGAATTTGAAATACAATAGTTTCAGATAACAGGAATTTGAAAAAAAGAGATTACGATAATGAGACATACATTGTAAGTGTAATTCATTTTGAGTCACAAGAATGAAAAATATTTCTGCTTTTCTTATTAAAATACTTATTCTATCCCAAAAATATTTGCCTGACAATACTTGCTGATAATTAACTAAATTAAACGTATATCACAACTCAAAAATTTCATCATTCTGTCTTGCAATTCGGTCCAATGATGTCTTTACAATTTTTGTAGAACTTTTTGACTTAATCATGAGAACAGGAGAACTGGTCAAGTCCTTATCACTGCCGCTGTATCCATCGTTATCGTAAAAAGATGGGAGTTGCCCATTATCAAATGAACTTTTTCGTATATTAGAATTTATGGTGTTTGCAGATCGCTGAGATGATGACTTCCGTCGATATGGTAATTCATTGTCAATAAAATTGTTGGGAAGGCTCCTGAAAAAGAAAAATTAATTTAGTTTTCATTGCATGTTAAATATCTGAAATTTTGAGGACCATTTCACTAGGACAAGTTAGATTTATATTCAGAAATTCATTACCTAAAAAAAGGGGGGAGAAGATATCAATCGGACAATAACATATCATACATTGAAGAATTTAGACAGACAACGCTATGAGGGTCTGGATGGGGTGTCCTTCATTTCTTTATTCTTTATTTAATTTCTCATTATTCTCTATTCTTTATATCTTCTAGCACCTCATTATTCTCTATTCTTTATTTGTAACTCTTGCTCAACTAGTGACACACTGTTATGTTGCTCAACTTTCATAAATAAACTACCAATAATTAAAATCTGTATCTGCATGAATTTTGTTGATTAAATCATCTATGTTTACAGAACTCGTGTTACACATTTATACTTGTTCACATTGATAATTTTTATTCTAGGGCCAACAATCACTGAATGTTCTGTCATTATTGTCTTTTAAATTCTAAATTGCATAACAATGTTGTAATAGTTTACTAGAAAAAAAAACAAAAGTAAGGCATGAGATGTATCTTTTAATTTGACAGTCTATATTTTTTTTTTTTTTTTTTATTAGTTGTTAGTGGCTTTGTACTAGCTGTCAGTAACTGCGAGTACTCTCAGATCTGTACTTAAGTGTCTTTTTGTTGTTTGGATGTACAAGTACCTGGCCACGTCCACTTGTATTTGTTTTATTTGTATTTTTATCCATCTGATGAGTTAAGCCTCTTTCAACTGATTTTTTTATAGTTCGTTCTTATGTTGTACTGTTACACCACTGTCCCAGGTTAGGGGAGGGTTGGGATCCCACTAACATGTTTAACCCCGCCACGTTCTGTATGTATGTGCTTGTCCCAAGTCAGGAGCCCGTATTCAGTGGTTGTCGTTTGTTTATGTGTTACATATTTGTTTTTCGTTCATTTTTTGTACATAAATTAGGCCGTTAGTTTTCTCGTTTGAATTGTTTTACATTGTCATTTCGGGGCCTTTTATAGCTAACTGTGCGGTATGGGCTTTGCTCAATGTTGAAGGCCGTACGGTGACCTATAATTGTTAATTTCTGTGTCATTTGGTCTCTTGTGGAGAGTTGTCTCATTGGCAATCATACCACATCTTCTTTTTTATATGATCATGATAACGTTCTGAGGCCAAAACATAGAACTTAAGCATTGTCTTCTAAATCATTGACGTAAATTCAATTCATTATTTTTTCATCGATTTTGATTGGTCTGCACAAGAGGGTGACATTAAAAAATTGTCTCATGTTGAGCCATGGGATAAAGTAAATTATCTCCCTCACATTAGCCAACTGAAATCTGTCATTTCAAAGTGAAGTATAATAAATATAGTTGTCACATTGGCAATCATGCCACATCTTATTTAAATATTAATAGAACAGCAACCTAACAAGTTAACAACACAAAGAAACAATAATATGTTTGAAAAGTACTCCTGTTGTCAAGGCCATTCAAGAATTTGTATTCCAGCTAGAGCTACTGACCGTTAAAGAGTTTGGCTGAAACTTCAATCTGCTGACCCGAGGCAAATATTTTTTGTTGCTGTATATCAGTCTGACATCCATGAAATTCACTCGCTCATTGTCATAACATTATTTTATGAAATAAACAGGCCAACTTGGTTAATAATGGCTGAACCTTCTAAATTCTTTAACTAACCACAGGCTAACTGATGAGTTAATTTGACATTATTTAGTCAGTCATTTATAAATTTACTAACTCTCAGGATTGTATGAACAAATGAAATCATCATGGCCCACAATTAAGGTTAGTCACTTTATAGGGTTTTGCTGAATGTTCATACCCTTGACCACGGGCAAAATGAGATTATTTGACCCGTTATATTTACTTGCACAAAACTGACTATGAAATTACACAATTGTCTAGATTGATAGTCAATGTTTTATAGAAAATTTTTGAAATATTATCATGGTGATTACCCAGAATGCATCAGATTCTAAAATGGCCAATATTAGATTTAGCTACAGCTAATACAACATTAAAAAGCTTTTTTGTCTATCTAGTAGAGAGTATCTACACATATTTGCATGTTTTATCTGTGTGTGGGTTTACATAGTTGAAGGGAAAACAAACAGATAAAAAAAGAATACAGAAATGACACACCCCCCTTCCCCCCAAATTGTCCAGATGGTTTTACATGTTTTAAATTATATTTTTTCTACTTAACACCTCACCAAGCAGAATGCAGATAGAAAGATACATGTACAATGTAACTATGAAACTAATAAATTAACTAACATATAATTATAACATTAAATAGTTTGGTGGATCCTGCCTTTTTCTTCAAACAAAATTATAACTGTATTTTCAATTCAATCATTGTGCAGTTAGTTCAAGCCAGGCAAAAATGGTGAAACAATGCTCCTCGTCATAAAAAAAAAGATGTGATGAACAGTTAAAAGTGAGTCAATAGTGAATTATTAAATATGTAAAGCAAAGTCCATTCATTGTTAATTAGTGTACACTCTACATACATGTACTTAAAAATGCATTATTTATTACAACATAAGAAGTAAAATAAAAAAAGAAGAACTTCAATTCAGAATAAAGGAAGTGATTATAATTAGAGTGCCCTCTACAATTTCAATGACAAAAACCTTTTTTCTTTCCAATGTTTCATCCTTTTTTTTGTTTAAATTATTACTCTGATCCCATGTGTCTTGAAAATTCTTTCAAGTTATTCCTGAATTGTTTTCCCAATTTAATATTCATATGTACATTTTACAAAGGATTGCAGACATTGTCAATCTTTTCAATTCTAACAAATTTAACCTTTAAAAAAGCTTTGATATATGACTATTTTTGAAAATATATTTGAACACTATGTCTTGTATGTGGCAGATATGTCATATATATATTCAAGATACATTGTTTATAAATAGGCTTGAAAAGGGGAGACACTGTTCTGATCCAATCTGACACAATCAAAATCATAGTAAAAAGTAAAATAACAAAAATACCGAACGAATTCAAAACAAAAAGTCCCTCATGGCAAAATCAAAAGCTCAAACACATCGAAGGAATGGAAAATGGAAAACAACTGTCATATTCCAGACTTGGTAGAAAATGGTGGATTAAACCTGGTTTTATAGCTAGCTAAACCTCTCTCTTGTATGACAGTCGCATAAAATTCCATTATATTGACAACAATGTGTGAACAATTAAAACAAACAGACATAATAGGTAAAAATGTCTAAAATTGATAAATGATAACACTAATTACTCAAAAAAGTATGGACTCACCAGCAAACTACACTAATCAAAATCCCACTCATGAAGGACAAAAACCACCAAGGCAAGGACAAGAATATAGACCATTTTGTATTTGAAAAGAATAAAGAATAGAAAGAATGAATAAAATGCTCCGCAGGGCGCAGCTTGATACGACCGCAGAGGTCGAACCCTGAACAGTTGGGGCAAGTATGGACACAACATTCAAGCTTGATACAGCTCTGAATTTGGATTGTGATTAAATATTTGACACAGCATAGGTTTCTGACACAGAATGAATGTGGTCTAAGAACTTAAAAATTTTAAATTGGACATTCACCTATTATGGTCCAATATCCAAAATCTAAATACATGGTTAGATTCAGCATATCAAAGAACCCCAAGAATTCAATTTTTGATGAAATCAAACAAAGTTTAATTTTGGACCCTTTTGACCTCAATGTGGACAAAGTTGATATCAGGGCCCAAAAATCAAAATTCTAAATACATGGCTAGATTCAGCATATCAAAGAACCCCATACATTCAATTTTTGTTGAAATCAAACAAAGTTTAATTTTGGACCCCGATTTGGACCAACTTGAAAACGGGGCCCATAATCAAAAATCTAAATACATGTTTAGATTCAGCATATCAACGAACCCTAAAAATTCAATTTTTGTTAAAATCAAACTAAGTTTAATTTTGGACCCTTTGGACCTTAATGTAGACCAATTTGAAAACGGAACCAAAAATTAAGAATCTAAATACACGGTTAGATTCGGCATATCAAATAACCCCAATAATTCAATTTTTGATGAAATCAAACAAAGTTAAATTTTGGACCCTTTGGACCTCAATGTGGACCAATTTAAAAACGGGGCCCAAAATCCAAAAACTTAATACACGGTTAGATTCAGCATATTAAAGAACCCCAAGAATTCAAGAATAAAACCCCATTGAAATTGATCAAGAAATAAGCAATTTATACGAAGTATCTTCTTTTGCACAATACTGTGCAATTGAATATTTCTTGCTATTGTGCAATACTGTACAATTGACAATTTCTTGCTATTGCGCAATATTGTGCTATTGGATATTTCTTGTTATTGCGCAATACTGTGCAATTGAAGATTTCTTGCTATTGTGCAATACTGTGCAATTGAAGATTTCTTGCTATTGTGCAATACTGTGCAATTGAAAAATTCTTGCTATTGCACAATACTTATTATATAATAATTTACACATCCTGTTTGGTGTGTATCTCCTACCATATCATTATCATTTGCTTTTAAATATTAATCAGAAATAACCAACTTAAAATGGAAAATTTAAAAAGAAAAAAAAAAGGAAAAAAAGAAAAAAAAAGAATAAAAAAAATCCCCCCCCCAAATTTTTTTGAACCCCCTTATGATTCATCACCCCCAAACTCAATCCCAGCCTTCCCTTTGTGGTATGGTACCTTGCAGTACAATTTCAGAGAGATCCATACACTTGAACACAAGTTATTGTCTGGAAACTAGAAAAATGCTTATTTTTGGCCCCTTTTTGGCCCCCAATTCCTAAACGTTTCGGGCAATTACCCCCAAACTCAATTCCAGATTTCCCTTTGTGATATGGAACCTTGTAGTACAATTTCAGAAATATCCAAACACTTACACACAAGTTATTGTCATGAAACTAGAAAAATGCTTGTTTTTTGCCCCTTTTTTGGCCCCTAAT